CAGGCACTGCTGCACGAGAGAGATCCTCCCACTGGACTGTACCGTTAAGTGGATTATCCCTCCATGCAGCAGAACCGGCAATTTATATTAAAACACACAACTTTTCGAATCTTAGGTGGATTTGCACGAATGGACGTTGGGTAGATAGCTGGGGTCTGAGTGCATCATTCGTGAGATTACCGCTCAGATCCCAGCTAAAACAACCGAACGCCGCACGAAAAACATATTCACCAAAACATGCATTTAAAAGACCGATTGGCATATGGGGAATAAAATACCGAACGGCCCGAAAGTCCAGCGGTGTTCGCGCCGTCGAGTAGCCGTTTTTAGTACCACACGCTTGACGATCAAACACCGCTGGAGGAACAAAGGATCCAAGATGACCGACCGCCGCGTGGTCGGTAGTCGAACGACGGCCACCTAGGAGAGCCTCTAATTACCGATTGCAACATTGTTGCAATCGGTTAACAAGCGCCACACGTCTCTTAATGTGTGGGCTATTACAGGGTGGTTTATTCGGTTCACGAACGGCCCGCAAAGGTGCCGTTCGTGAAACGAAATGAAATACAGCTTTCGGCAGATAGCTAATACAGGCAATACAATACTATACAGTCAGCATACCTTACACCCAGGAACATACATATCCCCACAACCATACAGGCAACCCTTAAAGCCACAGTCTCTGTATAATGTCCAAGTGGCAGAATATTTTTTAAAGATTCTATTCATAATCAGAGGTGTGAAAATGGATGTTGTGGCACTATCTCCATAATGGGGCGGTCATAAAAATGACCACTCTCTGACACATTTCTGACACATCATCGTGAGTTAACTCCTTAAGATATGGTGGTCATTAAACAATAATTATAGGACTATAATGCCTCCTATAGACCAAATAAAAAAATTCTGCTACTATGGTGAGGTCATCACTCATTACCCATTTAAATTAATTGGTCAACTCATATTATGGATGTGAATTTTAGGAGAAAAGAAGTTCTCTTATAATTAGGAAGACAGGGGACGGGGCCTGAACGTAATGGCGACTGGATGTGCTTTCTATGAGCTCATCATGATTCTTGTATTTAGTTCAGTCTATTTTGAGCTGACAGAGGCAGCCTGTTATCCTGCATTGATTGACCAGCTCTGAGCTGCTTCCAGCAATCATCTGTGGCTTGCTGCCTGATGGAACCAAAACCCTGATCCCCCCCATGGACTGGCAGAATTATCACAGTCCAAACCCTGAGGACTTCTTACCTCTGCGGGGGGCCAGTGGTGCTGTCAACACTCAAGCTGCCACCATACCTGGCGGGCCAAGGAGAAGACTGGATTGCTGTTCAGGCTGGACAGCCTCTTTGAGTCTTTCTGGCAGAAATTGTGGCACAGCTACCTCCTGTCTCCCATACAAGACCCGACATACAACCCACCTGCGCAAACACTCAGATGTCTCCGTGTCCTACAAGTGTCTACAGGCCCTGCAGCAGCCCGCCTCAAGTGGCATGGACTGCATAGGGTACTTTGGAGAAGAAAGGCACACAGTCATCTGCCGAAACTGGTCATATTTAAGCTGGATATTGGGTTTTCCTGGAGGATTGAGGTATGACAGGATCCATGGCACATTGAACAACACCTGACTTACCATCAGGCACACTTGGCCCCTCAACTTCTGGCGCTGGACCTGTGGACTAGCAATAGTTTTCCAATACATGGTTATTTTGCAAACTTTCATTCTTACGTTTTCCCATCTTTAAACACTTAACCAAACACTCGTTGGATTAATACACCTCCAGGAACCAGGACAGAATCTTACTACAGCATGGTAACGAAAATGGGTTTATTAAAATTTTTCCTAAAAGCAAATTCTGGAATCATATCTAGCTTAAAACTGAATCAATAGATTGATGATATCAGACTGCAGCTGAGAATATGAACAGACCGCTAAGAGGAAGAGCTCCCTCGCCAGCCGCCCGCCCATTGCCCAGAAGCCACTGGACCACCAGGGAGAGAGGGAACCCTCCCCTCCCCCCCCCAGCATTCCCAAAGGTAAGGAGGGTGGGGTTAAAAAAAATAAATGTGTTAATGTAGTGTCTGTTAGTGTCTGTTAGTGTGTGTGTGAGTGTGTCTGTTAGTGTGTGTGTGTGTGTGTGTGTGTGTGTGTGAGTGTGTCTGTTAGTGTGTGTGTGAGTGTGTCTGTCAGTTAGTGTGTCTGTTAGTGAGTGTGTCTGACTGTTAGTGTGTGTGTGTCTGACTGTTAGTGTGTTTGCCTGGGAGTGTGTGTGTCTGCTAGTGTGTGTCTGCTAGTGAGTGTGTGTGTCTGCTAGTGATAGAGTGTGTTTGTGTCTGACTGTGTGTGTATGTTTGCCTGTGAGTGTGTCATTGAGTGTGTGTGTGTCTGCTAGTGAGTGAGTGAGTGTCTGTGTGTGTCAGTGAGTTTGTGTTTCTGTTAGCTAGTGTATGCGTATCTGTCAGTGAGTGTGTGTATTTAGAAGGCGGGGCGGGGGGAAGGAATGGGTGGGGGCCGCGCGCGTGTGGGGGGCGGGGGTGATAGAGGGGGAGTTTAGGGGGCGCCTGAGTTTTGTCCTGCCTAGGGCAGCACAAAACCAGGATACACCACTGGTGGTGAGTCAATTTGGAAAATATAAAGACAGAAAATAGAGTATAGTGTAGTATATTCTATACGTGGTGAAGTAAAATAAGAGAAATGCCACTTTCTTTTTTTCTGGAGCTTATGTTTAGCTCCAGACATATGCGCCTGTGGATATGTCGCTCAGTCTGATTCCTTGTAGATGGTAGGTCAGGGTTAAGGGCCAGTTGAAGTTTCGAGAGTTCACTGGTATTTTAGGGATCCTACCAAATTATTAATTATTTTGATAATTTTTATAAAATGTTGTTTTTAATATTTTATTACCCCATAAATATTCTCACAATATGTATCCAGTGAAAAATACACATACACCAAATAGAACTATCTCATAGAGCTTCATCACATGGTCTTTGTCTCAGCTTAAAGGACCACTATAGGCACCCAGACCACTTCAGCTTAATGAAGTGGTTTGGGTGCCAGGTCCCTCTAGGATTAACCCTTTCTGCTATGTCTACAAATGGGTTAATCCAGCTTCTAGTGGCTGTCTCATTGACAGCCGCTAGAGGCGCTTCCGCGCTTCTCACTGTGATTTTCACAGTGAGATGATGCCAGCGTCCATAGGAAAGCATTGACAATGCTTTCCTATGAGATTGGCTGAATGCGCGCGTGGCTGAATTCAGCGCATTAAGCCGATGACGGGAAAGGAGGAGGAGAGTCCCCAGCGCCGAGGGATTAATCCCTTCCTCCCTCTAGAGCCCGGCGGGAGGGGGACCCAAGAACCCTATAGAGTTAGGAAAACAAGTATGTTTTCCTGGCACTATAGTGGTCCTTTAAAAAGTACAGGCCAAACCCCAAGATCTTAATCTCTTGTGAAGATGCTCTCTAAGATAACATAGTATATTTCAATATTATCTCGTTAACAGCCTTCCAGGCTCCTAACATCTCTCAAATCATGTTAGTGAATATTAGTGGCTTAAAGGAAAAGCAGTGTTAAATAATCTGCACTAACCATCCCCCACGTAAACTTTTTGCAGGTAATGCATTGCAGGGTATACTGTCAGGAACATGTATTTTTATGTTATTGTCTCTTTAAATAATTCTGTTATTTCCATTTAAGTTCACAGGTCCACTGGCAATAAACAGTCTGTTTAAGATGGTCAGTGAACCTGTGCACTTTTAATGAGCGGACATCAGCCCAGCCTGTCATCCTCCTGTGCTTTGCATGTTGCTACTAACTAATTTTGCAGGTCTCAAAATCTCCAGATCAACTCAGAACTGATTTTCCACTTACCTCTCCGGGGATTCCTTCTTAACCTAAAAATCTGATCCTTATCCTCACCTTGTTTCCTGCATTTCTCCATTGAACTTCAAATATTTCAAACTCAGTTGTAGCTGAAAGCTAAATGAACTCTCTGTTTTGCATTCAGTTACAGCCAGCCAGTTAACCAGCCTGTATCTCTGGGAATTGTCTTCTGTTGGAATCACTGACTTGCCTAAAGACTTGGGTAAATCCCCATATTCTGTTATTTTCTTACATTTAAACAATCTTGTATGAACTTTCTTTGTTTTACCTACTACAAATTGGCTAATATGCAAGGTGCAGCACAAGAATTGCTTTCTTCTTTTTTTTTTTGCTTCATATTATCAAAATCAGGTTCTGACTCGGACTGTCTGATTTAAAAATACGTTCATGTTTACTTCATGTTTATTTGATCTAATTTTGCCAGTAAAAGTCTCTGCAATTTGATATACTAATTTCCTGCTTGATCTGTAAGGAACAGGAGTGAATATGACATATTCTCTATACTCAAAGTTAGAGCACAGTAGATTTACTGTGTATCATGGCCCAGTTTCACACAAAGTTACATTAAGTAGTTGTAGAATGCAGTGCCCATTTGGGTATTAATCGGTATAGATTGAACGAAGTGTGTAATCTCTGCCTTAGCCACACCTCCAGTGGTGGCGGGCTATGGGAAGCCAAGGACCCTTATTTTATTTTAAACTGCTTAAAATGGTTTAACACTGAATGGAAGGAGAGTGCAAGGGGACTCAGGGCACTATAGCCAATTCAATTAGACAAAACTGTTATAGTGCCTACAGTGTCCCTTTAATTTATATTTCCTTATTAGAGTTTATGGGCTTTTCAATCTGTAATTTATCTATTTATTCCTTTCGGTGCATCACAGTGACTGTAGTAATGGATGGATCTGTCACTTAAAAAAAAACAAAAAAAAAAAACTTATATTAACAAAAGAATAGCAGTGTGTTTATTCTGTGTTAATATCAAAAATATACTCCACCTGCACTTAGGCAAGGTAAAGTATTTTAAGGTACTAGCTAATTCAATGCCAAGTGAGTTGACTGAACAGGAATTATTTCATTCAATTGTTTCATATTTAACGTTTTTTATGGAGCATTTTTTTTTTTTTTTTACAAATTTTGCATAAATCATAGGCAGGGTTGGAGACAGAGGAATATAGTATTTGGCAAATGGAACCAAAAATAGTATAGAGCTCTTCAGCTCAGTGAGACGTTTTTACAAGGCTGGCTAGTTTTAGAAAGTGTCTGCCACATGCACGTCATTCCAGGGAGCTAATGGGCAGAAAAATAACTCCTGGGAGTTTTGTGAATAACCCTGTTAAAATCTGAGGCTTATAATTCTTTTGGAAACTCAACCAAGATTTTTCAGAATAGAAAGTGATGTAGCAGATAATGTGCATTCAACTGTTCTTTGATGACAGCATCTCGAGAATTCCAAGCCTGTTTATGGCTTAATGTAAAACTGGGTTAAACTACTCCATCTACCACAACTCAGTTTTAAAGTTAGATTGTACATTAGTTAAAAGTATAAAATATGAGTTTTTTTTTTCTCAATAATTCCATTAGCATACATAAAACCTTTCACCTGTATTTATTTTAAGGCATTTCCCATAATGTCTCTTGTGGGTTTGTATTTACAAATTTTATTTCAAGCAGCATTCAGAATGGGTGTCATTAATAAGTAACAAAACATAAAAAATAAATTTCAACTGTAAAATAAATATTTTAGCAATTTTAGAATTTTGAAGGTGCAGACCACTTAGTCGATCACAATAGGGTGAACCGGTAATATCCACTGCCATAGTAGTGCAAAGCTTTTACCCTGAGGATGCTTTCGTTTCATGGAGTTAAACATCTCTAGGTCCTCTTTGTCCAGTAGCCATCCGTGCATGTCTAACAAGGATAAACTGTGAAGTCGTGACACACGCTGAATTATTGAATGTAGAGTCGATGCATCGGTTTTAAACTGGTGGCTATGAAGTCTGTTAATGAACAGCTCATTTAAATGGGGCAGATTATCTAGTGTCTGGAAAAAGTCTCTCCACCCAGATTGGGTAATATCGTGATTAACACCAAGGTTTAAGATCTGGATGTTGTTCAAAAACCCTTTCCTTGCAGCTGTTGCTGGAATATAAAAGAAAAATACAAATAAATAAATACTACTTTAGCACAATGTTTACTTAACGTGTGGTTTACGTAACCACAGCCGGTTCCCTTATTTACCACTATAACATCTTGTCTTTTCAAATATATATATATTCAGCTCTTGGACACCTGGACAATTGTATATTCAACCAATATAATATCACAACCTCCACTTCATCCTTATTACAACGTATCTGTTTTGCCGCTCCAACTGAAGAGGAGGTTTCATCCCTCAAACACTTCATTAAGTTTAATCTGTCTACTGGAGCAGTCCTATCATTGTACAAGATGCCTGTCCTCTCACCCTTCAACTCTGACATGGTTAATTACTAAAGGAAATGAACAAAATTCCAAGTAAATTTCTAATTTAAGGTCAAAATAGCTGAACTGGAAAAAATCCAGTTGATGTAAATCCAGATGATGTAAAATGTTAAATTCATATTGAATTACAGAAACAATGTGCACTAACAATGCTACACTGAGAGATGTTTATGCCAGGATAAAAAAAAAAATAGTTACCCAACTCCAGTAAGCTGTGGTCATTTAAAATGTGGTTTTGAAGACGTAGTTCCATGAGGTTCGGCAGAAATTGGAACTGCTCTATAATTGAGGTAATTGTTTCTGTGATTCCAGGTCCACTGGGAAGGGCCAGATATTCCAACTGCACCAATGATGACAAGGCTTGTACTGCAAAGAATACAGCTTATTTAGCTAAATAAACAAAGACAACAGTCTTCCATTGCGAGTGAGATATGCATTATATTAGAATAAAATGTATCACACTTAAGTACTGAGTCATTGGTAAATATCTAACATGCTACTGGAGCACATTGAATGTTGACACATATTCAAAAATAATGTACACAGTGCATAACTTTATAAAGACTTGTTATTTGTATTATCAGACTTGACAAAGGGACAAAATGTCTGAAATGTTGCTAAGCCACCACTTGGCTGTGATAAAGGCAAGTAAATTACATTGTGAGCTGTGGACATCATGATACATTGGACACAAATGGATGAGTGTCTCAAACCCTCAAATAGCCTGTCAGATAATTCTTCTCAGCACAGTTGATTTAAAGGTGCACTATAGCATTAGGAATACATATACGTATCCCCAATTCTATAGTGTCCTAGTAACTGTTTACGTGACAGTGTCAGCATTGACAGGGTTTATAAAGTTGGTTTGCTTACTGTTCCACTCCACCTCTTTGGCTGGGATCATCGATGTTGATGATCTCAGCCAATCCAATGATTTCCCATAGGAAAGCATTTTTGAAGCTAGTGTATGTGTACATCAAAACAATGAACTACTAATGGGCGCACTGCACCAATCAGATGATCTTTCTAAGACCATCCAATACAAATGTCATAATGACACTAGAGTCAGGTTAAACCCGCAGTGAAAATATTGCTGTTCTGTAGGAACGTCTGCTTGCCCGCCTCCTACCTTCTGACTATGGCCCTGGGATATATGGCATTTGAAAACTCTATTTGTGCCCTGTGACAAAACTGGAGATTGTGCACAAATATGACTATTGTCCATATTTTGTATGATTCCCTTCGTTTGTTGCACTGTTCCCTATGTGTTTCATCTGTTGGTTCGGCTGGATAGACTACCAGACAAACTGTGGAGTTACTGGGTGTCCACCATTTCATGTATCAGAGGAACATGGTGAGAACAATGGATGAAGCACATGGTGAGAACAATGGGTGGTGGCCATTTTAACTCACAGACACTGTTTTGACTTTTCTACACGGTGCCATCTCGCTGGTATTTGGTGCACAAAGACATCGTTCAGTAGTTTTAAACTACAGAACAGGGGACACATTTAACAGTAATTATTTTTCATATAGCCTGTATATGTTCTGCGGAATCTGCATTAAACCGTATCTTCCAAACTACTGAACGTATCTGGGTGAATTTTTTTGGGGGGGGTTATTGCATGTTGTGGGGTCCCTGTGATATGTTTTATAATACTGTATTTTCCTGCCTGTGATAATTAAGTTAGTCTATTGTGTTGAGATAATTGTATCACAGGCAGAGAGGAGGATTTCTGATGTAATGAATGGGAGTATTAGCTGTGTTGTAATGTGTTGATTGGTTGTTCTTCAAAACCTTGTGGGCTGTACTATGTTTGTAGAATGTGAATAAAAGAGGCTGTTTGTGCCAGTACAGTCAGTTCTTCTTTACCCTTCAAAACGTAACCTCGTCTCGTTATTGGAGGGAACTGCTATAATCACACTGGGGATTGCTATGCTCTGCATACTCCCTTGAGCTTTAATCACTTATCTTTTTTAAGAGCTTGTTCCTGAAATGCTCTTCTGGAGGAGAGGTCTTCCCCACACGGTCCTGGCGGACAGAAGCTGATCCAGGGTGGACAGAAGATGGCAAGACTCCAGTTAAGCTACGGCGGTTGTGGTGTCCGGTGAGGTGCTTGGGGTCCTTGGCGCAAGCTAGGAATCGTCCATCAACGGAAGGTACTCGGTCGGAGTACGGGGAGTTCCGTTACAAGGGCTAAAAGGGGGAACATGGCCCCCAGACCACTTCATTGAGATTAAGTAGTCTGGGTGCCTATAGTGTTCCTTTAAGCAATATATTCTGGATGAAACCGTTTTGCAAAGACTTGTCTTCTATGAACACATACAAACATTTCAAGTAGTCCTTGTCCATTAGTATTTAATTCTAGGGCAATATAATGATGTGAATCAGAGAGAGTGTGTCAGTTAAGGAGAATTAATTTATTAAAACTGTTTATTTAGAAGATGAGTTTACCTTAAACTCTGTGTCATGGAGGGCAATCAGTGAGATATCAGCTTTTATGTCATCTACAAACGGGACCTACATGAAGGTCACATGTCAGAAAAAAAGCATGCCTTGTCTGTATGCAATGTAATGAAAAAAAATACATCATACCAAAGATCTTTGCATCCTCAACATTCACAAAATGATGTGATAGAAGATTCAAAACTTTAAGTTTTTTTAGTGAAAATAATCCCGATACTGTAAAAACAAACAAAAAAAACAATTACATTACTGATTACATCATGGATATAGTATTTATGTATAAGAGACATGATCTGTTTTCTATTTGCCAGAGTGATCAGGAATATATTGAACCATTCTTAGAATATTTTAATCATTTGAATTTGAGATTTACTCAAGACAATGATGGTCACTCCGTAAATTTTTGGATGTTATTTTGTTCCCACAATTGGATTTTCCCATATATTCTAGTACTTTTTTGTGAACCTACAGGTGCCAATACAGCATTGAGAGTTCATAGTAATCACGCAATTCATTTCTTTCAATATATTTTGGTCGGTCAATTTTTGCAACTAAGAAGGGACTATTCTTATGATGCAATCTTTAAGACATAATCTTATAGTTTAATGTTTAGTGTAATATTAGTGTTTCAAAGCAGTAAAACATATCACAACAATGATATCATCAGTGAAAGTGCCATTTGTGTGAAAAATGCACAAAAAGTCACTTTCACTGACAAAAACTCATATTTGTGTACTCATAAAAACTCATATTTGTGTACTCATAAAAACTCATATTTGTGTTCAGCGAAGTCTCCTGAGTATAACAATACCCCCCATGTACAGCTTTGGTGTTTTGGAAAGTTACAAGGTCAATATAAGGCTTGCCCATTTCAGTTTGCCAGATTGGTTTGCTGGGTCTGTGTTGCCTTTTGAGCCCATATGGTAGCCCAGGAATGTTAATTAACCCCATTATGGCATACCATTTGTTTATAATATCAAGAGTTCTTGATACAGCGTTGCTAGTTGTTTGCAGATACTATTGATTGTATAGAGTAGGACTGCATTTTTATATCTTACCCAAATGGAAAATGTCACTGTCCTTTATCAATAATCCATACAGATTTAATTCACAGATGTTTCCATTTTTAATGATTGCACCCATTGTTTTCTCAAAATTCGGACACCAGTCACCATTTAAATGAAAAGTCGTCAAGTTAGGGAAACATGAAATACAGTCCGCTGCACAACACAAAGGAAATTATTTTTTTTTAAATGGTTATTTACTGAGCATATTAATTAGAGAATGTTCCTAAAAAAACATTTCACAAAAAGCTTACTAAGGGCAAACAAAGAAATGAATAAAATGAAACATAAAACAAAACTCTAAAAAAGGGAGTACAAGTGGGGCGCTTCCAGAAAGTAGTGTTCAGTATGTAGAAGGGTGAAATAGGTGTTTCCCCCACACCTTAATAAAATACCAAACAGAACAACACAACACCTACAACAAAGTGTAAACAATCACACCAAGTAGTGGTGAACCCTTCAAACTGAATACAGTTGTACAATATAAATATACTTATGTATATAAATGGTGAGGAAATCTTCACAATATCTGCAAGATAATAATATAAAACATAGTGTGTACAGTTTATATAAAGAGATTGAAAAGGAGTAAATAGAACAACTCACAAATTACAGAGCCGTGGCTACAGGCTACAATCAAATCTCAATAGGCCACTGGTGTGTTAGTCTGCTTCATTCAGTATGTTTGTTTATGTCTGTTTGTGTGGGTCAGTGTGTGTGTCTGTATGTTTCAGTGTGTGTGTGTGTGTGTGTGTGTGTCTGTATGGGTCAGTGTGTGTATGTCTATATGGGTTGTTTTGTGTGCCTGTATGGGTCAGTGTGTCTGTATGGGTCAGTATCTGTCTGCATGGGTCAGTGTGTCTGTATGTGTGTGTCTTCATGGATCAGTGTGTGTCTACTTGAGTCAGCATGTGAGTTGGTCTGCATGATGGTGAAGCAAATGGGGTGGCAGATTTGTTTTTGACTTGGGCAGGAAAAATGCTTGCACCGGCCCTGCATTGAAGGTATTACTGTACTGAGTACAACATTTTCACTTCAGATTTGCAAAATATAAAGAGAGCGTTTAATTATATTTAATGTTATCAAAGATGCACAGAAGATACAATATTACCAGAACATTTAGCAGATATTGGTAGCAAAATGGTCATTTGAAAAGTGATAAAATACCCCTAGATAAATACCATAGAATGCGTTTTCTTTAAGATAATATGTTCTTTTGGTTGGTCATTATAAGACCAAACATGTAAATTGTGAGAGCTTGAAACACTGAAAAAGTATTGCGCTCCTTGTAAATTGTGTCCTCTAACTACCAAAATATATTGGATTTCTAGACATATGGTGTACAGTAATCAAAACAAATACATTAATATATTTTGAATGTACCTATTTTTATTTATATAATATTTTAAAAACACATTAATCAAATCTAGTCATCTTGCTGTTTTGCCAAGTTACTATTTCACATAAGCTATATCAATTTCAACCATGTTTGGACACATTGCTTTTCAGTGAGTGACAACTGACTTATTAAGCTAATTACTGCAGTCTAAAGACAGATACAATTTAAATTGTAAATAAGGAAATGTAAGGTCTGCATTAGCAGGGGTAAGTGATGGACCAGGCCACAATCACAATCATGGACCAGGCTCCAGGTTTTAGACAAACCGCTCAAAATTGCTAGCCTGTTGTTATGGCTTCTTTTAAGTAATTATTTTAAAGGAACACTATAGTCACCTAAATTACTTTAGCTAAATAAAGCAGTTTTAGTGTATAGATCATTCCCCTGCAATTTCACTGCTTAATTCACTGTCATTTAGGAGTTAAATCACTTTGTTTCTGTTTATGCAGCCCTAGCCACACCTCCCCTGGCTATGATTGACAGAGCCTGCATGAACAAAAAACTGGTTTCACTTTCAAACAGATGTAATTTACCTTAAATAATTGTTTCTCAAATCTCTAAATTGAACTTTAATCACATACAGGAGGCTCTTGCAGGCTATTAACATAGCAGGGGATAAGAAAATCTAAATTAAACAGAACTTGCAATTACAGGAAGTGTTTATAGAAGGCTGTGCAAGTCACATGCAGGGAGGTGTGACTAGTGTTCATAAACAAAGGGATTTAACTCCTAAATGGCAGAGGATTGAGCAGCGAGGCTGCAGGGGCATGTTCTATACCCCAACACTGCTTCATTAAGCTAAAGTTGTTTAGGTGACTATAGTGTCCCTTTAATGATATGCTTAGTCGCATTATGGCTTGGTGAAAGATCATTGTAATGTCAATCAGCAGTGAGTAAGGTATTGTCATGTGTAAAAAGGGGCATCAATTCTTCAGATGAGAATATCCTTTTGCCTCTTTATAAATCACTGGTACGACCACATCCGGAATATGCTATGCAATTTTGGGCACCTGTTCTAAAGAAGGATATTATGGCACTAGAAAAAGTGCAGAGGTGGGCTACAACATTTTTTAAAAATGGATGGAACATTTTAGTTATGAAGAAAGGTTAACAAATGTAAACCTGTTTAGTTTAGATGAACACAAAGAGGACCATGATTTGGTCTAAGGCAAGGGAAACGTGTTTTTTTTTTTACAGAAAGAACAATAAGGATGTGGAATCTTCTGCCTGAAGAAGTGGTTTTATCAGAGTCCATACAGATGTTTAAACAGCAACTGGATGCATACTTGCAAAAACAGAATAATCAAGGATATAATTTTGTGACCTTCGCAACCATCTTAACCACAGTGCGCCATGACAAGAGATTTGTACTGAATAAAGGAACTTTAAATGCTTTTTTTATTTTTATTAGGGTGATGGTAATAATAATAAAAACACAATTGCAGATTTTAAATATGTGACAAATAGCTGATAAAATGAATCCTTACCTAGTTGATGGTAGTAATTGGCCAAATTAACATTTCTCAGCATTAGTTTTTCAAGGTAGTGTAGTTTTTTAAATCCATCAGACATCATGTCAAACACTTCATAATAATCAGCTAAATCCATCTTTAGTTCCTTTAGCTGTGTGAATTTGTCCAAGTGTGAAAGAATATATTCTGTGGAAAAAAAATCTAATTTTAAACTAGTAGATGCCAGCAATAAACATAAATATCAAACCGCCATAACATCATCCATTAGATATTAAGGTATTTATTCATTAAATACCAAGTTGTGGTGCATTCATTGCTTGGTGGATAGGTTTCTTTGTGACTTTTTTGATACAATAACTGCTCGTCTTCTCAAACAGCATTTACAAAATGTAGCTTTGGACACTTGGTTGTTGCAGCCTCTTATGGCATTCCACATTTTTTTTATGTTTGTAGCACTTGTTCTCTCATTGCCTGTAGATTATCAGGATAAATTACTCTATCATTTCCTAGCAGGGCCTCCATCAGAAATGTTGGGAGTGGATACAGGGTGTGTGTTTTGTGGATACAGTGTGTGTTTGTGTATAGGATGCAGTGTTTGTAAAGTGGGCACAGTGTGTGTTAGTGCATGCGTAGTGGATGCAGCATGTGTGTAGTGGATGCACTGTGTGTATATTGTTTGTACGTATATATATTTATATACACATACACTTACAATTTGTGTTTGAATGTGAGCATGCTTTTGTATTTGTGAATGTTGGTGTTTGAATGCAGGTGTGCATTTGTGTGTAGTGTATACATTTTCACACACACTGATACACAGATACATACACTGTCACACATGCAAATACACAGACACACACACTGACACACAGATACACACACATATACCAACACTGACACATACATTGATACACAGACACTGAAACATTGACACAGAAAGAACACAAAACAGCACAGAAACACACACAAAGATACACACTGATACCCAGAGAAACACACACAACACACAGATGCACACAGACATTCCTGACACACATATACACACATACCGACACACACATACATAATAACAGACACACAGACTGAAACATTCATATACATACACAGATATACATATTGACACACACATACTGAAACAGACATACATACACAGCCATACATACTGACACACAGACACATACTAACATACATACAGACACACACACATGCATAAGGACATACAGATACACACATACATACACACACACACACACACATGGACATATAGAGGCATACATACATACAGACACATACACACATACTGACATACAGACATACATACACACGTACGTACGTACGTACGTACTTACATACATACAGACACATACATACATACACACACATACATACTGAGATACATACACACATACATGCATACTGTCATACATACAGAGACACACATACATTCATTCCTCTGGACTGTAAGCTCTTTGAGTAGAGGCCCTAATCTACCTACTGTTCCTGTGTCACTGTGTAATTGTCTCATTTATTGTAAACACCCCACCCCCTTAATAATATTGTAAAGCGCTGCGGAATTAGTTGGCACTATATAAATACCAATAATAATAATAATAATAATAACATACATACACACAGGTTGATACATACATACTGACATATATACTGACATAAAGAGACACACATACATCCATACAGAACCACCCACATGCAGCTAATTTTTTAGCCTGCCTCCTGTTTCTTACCTTTTCAGTGCAGGAGGGTGGCTGAGGCTGACGGAAGTTGGTCTGGCTCTCCCTCTTCATGGCCTTTCTTCTCCATCCCGCGATGAGCACTAGTTGCGGCTGACATCATTAAAAGGGGCCCCTGAAGATATATGGCCATCGGGTAACCATAACTGCATGGGGAATGTGGACGCTACACGCGGGGAATGTGGTTGTCACCTCATTATTTCAATCAGATAGTCTAAGAAAGACAATCTGAATGGTGCAACTTGGGTATGTTGCGCACATGCCTACTAGCCTCTCAATGCTTTACTATGGGAAAGTATTAGATGACCTCAACCAAAAAGGTGGAGCTACATGTCAGAGACCAGAGCTTCAAGGGAGAAAAGATAAATAAAGCTACATTTTTTAACCCTGGCTGAGGAGGTGGTTATGGTGCTTGGAGTAAAGCTTTAAATCCACTTTGTGAATTTTAGTGATAGCAAAATTATAATTACCTGGTGGTGCTATGTTAATCATATGCAGACTCTGTAATGTGGACATCTGTGTTATCAGTTTCTGCTCTTCTGTAGTTAGTTCCACAGTAGATATCCTGCACTTCACAAAAGAGTTTTTATATTGTTCAATGCAATGTGAGATATTTCTTACAAACCCAGGACAACTCTTCAGGCTGAGTTCAATATGGTGGGAAAGAGAAAGGAATACTGAGAGATTGTTAAGAACAGGCTCCTCAATCATATATTCACCACTTGCATTGACTTGTAGAACAGCAATTTTATGATGACTTTGATTTAAACCAAATTCAGAAATGTTGATTTTACTTTTAACAAAATAGTTTTTCACATCCGAGTGCCAAGCCTCATCTGAAAGCATAAAAGCCTTAGAATAATCTTTGTCAACTGTCGGCACATCTAAATGAGAGCCAAAGTCTGGACCAAGGGGGACTTTATTCATTATTGGTTCAATCATCAGTAGTTCTAGACTGTTAATCATTGAAAGTCCTTCTGGGTATTTTGAGAGGAATATTAAAAGACTCTTACTGGGATGTGATAAATCCACACAAATATCCTTCCTAGTAAGATATTGCAAAATGATAGGAGCACATTCATCCACATAATTGCTTTTGTATGCAACATCAATAGCAAAATTCAGTAACATATGGACAACAAATGAAAGATGAAGGTCTGGCTTGTTGCTTTTTAAAGCTGTTAGAATATCCTCTCTCCATGCTAATTCGGGATGATGTTCGAAGTGACTCTTTACACCACCTTCATAGTCAAATGCTTCACTTTTATTCAGAAGGTCGAAGAGATAGGAAATCACTAGTAAAGCTGTTCCTGGTGAATGAAAGCAGCAATATTTCAGGAACACATAGTAGCGTCCAACAAATTTTGTAATGTTATTGATTTGCTGCAAGAATGAAATCCCTTTATTTAATTGATCTTTATCGGTAGAATCCAGGTACTGACTGAGCCTTTTGCCCGCAAGAAACTCCAGAAAAGTTGGATGAAAAAACTTGTAAATAGGGCGAAGCCGCTGGGAGGTGAATTTGCTTAAAAGTCCACATTTGAGAGTCAATTCCGTGTCAATATCAAATGCACAGAGATCTTTGTCTGTAAAATCAAACTGAGCCCGAAAAAGGCCATGTAGGGCAAGTTCTCCGCATGCTGAAACTAGTGTTTCCCTTTTATCTTTGAGTTTAGAGTGTTTTAACATGATGTGCATCAGGTATCTTTTGCAAACGACGGCATCGTCAAATAAGATCTCACTTGGGTTTTCTACCCAGTAAACACAAAGGGAAAATGCAAAGAGAGGAGTCTTTAATGCAGCTTGTAATGTATTTGAATCAACTAATTGAAGTACAAAATGTTCAAGAAATTCTATGTCATGAGAAAAAGACCTTCTATAAATATATAGAGAGCTATACAAAGGGAATTCTTGGATACTCAGTTCTGTCCTTGATAACTGACGCAACTTCCTGCCCATGCCATTGCGTACAGTGACTGCCACACTTACTCGATTGGCGGGGTTTTTTAATAAAAGATCATCTATTGCCCCAGGAACCAGGTCCATCTCATTATAGTCATCAAGGAGAAACAGGACTTGGTTCCCTAATTGACTTATAATTTCTTCCAGAACGTTTTCATCAAGCAATGTTGTGGATCCGCTCAGTTGTTCTCTGATTATGTCACTTAATGTTTGTTGGTTTTCAGTGGAGGAAACTGAGATATAAAAGACAAGGCAGAACCGGCTGAGTATGGGACAGGTTCCTGAGGCCCAAAGAATGGCTATTTTTCGAAGCAGAGCCGTTTTCCCACTGCCAGCCTCACCTTCTATCATGGTGATATCACTCAGAATGGACATTATATCAGGTAATGTCAACTGCCGAACTGGCTGATTCCTGGTGTCCTTCAAGACCACAGATATATCTGCAAAGAGGGATTTCAGGTCTATGGAAAGATGGGAGGAATCAGGAAACAAGGACAAATTGCTGAAACTTGAACTATTATATGTTTCCACTAGCTGTCTTCTCAGGTTTTCCCATCCAAAAGAAGAGTGTTCATTTTGTAAGTCAAGACCTGAAACACAGAACATTCAAATATTAGAAGTTTAAACAACTCTGTACTGGTGGTCATAAATATTGTCGTCCACTTGATCAATTAGTTTAGCCTCTTCACATTCTATTAACATTTTTATGAATAAACACCGCCCAGTGACCTTTCAAAGGTTAGTCTCTCTAACTTAAATTATAGAAGTCATTAGAGATAATAAAGAGCAGAGAGAAGGTAGAATTATATGCTTCTCCCTTTTTGTCCAAGAACTTGTACAGCATGCAATCAACAGAAGGGCACACAATGTAGAAGTCTCTATCTCCTTTAAGAGGCTCCATCACAGTTTTCTATGCAGCATGAATGGAGTTTTCAGGAAGCTAAAGGCAGGTGTATGAGTTTTAGCTGAATGTAGTAGTGGATGTGTGTGAACTACATATATCATTAAATCCAGGTTCAGCAGGGATTCTTAGGAAATGCTCAACTTTCAAAGTTTTGATAACTTACATTGGGGGCCCAGGGCACTCCAGGCACCTTAACTATTACATTGCACTACTACATTACATAACCATAACTAATAATAACCATAAATACCTTAATATTAAATCTTGGTTGATCAGCCTGGGAGCCAATAAAAGTACGACATGTCTTAACTTACAGCTAATGCTAATGTCATTACTGTGATTGGCTCCAAGGGTAATTAGTCAGCCTGCAAACCAATCAAGAAGCTTTGTTCAGTTGCCTCATTGTCTTCATTACTGGAGAATTTTATTATTCGTGCGTCTCCAGCAAAACACAGGTGATATCATGCTACTCACCAGTTTTTGTAAATGTAATGTTCTGTTCTTCATTTTTGTAAACCATCTGCAAAAGCACATTCAAACTTCTCAAAACAAGATGCATGGAACAGGATGGCCTTGTAAATTATTATTTTTTTATTGTCTTATATGATTACTACTAATACCCTTTCAATGCTAGATCGCATCCTTCTTTACTTATTGTATGACATAACTGACCAGTAAAATACAAAACATAGGTACAGGGGCACATGGATATGCTGTCTAACCCATAGGGAATAAACAGAAAAAGAAACAAATGCCATTCTACCTGTGTATGATTTACTGAGAAGACTGTAGATTAAAAGACTGTAGATTAAAAAGTAACTTTTAATAAATAAATCTAAAATAAGAATATAAAAAAGAGAAAAATAATATGAACAGCAGGAGTAAATGGAGACTATACAGCGAGTAAAACTCTGACTACTTATATAAGCTGTAAAAGTGTATACATAATAACACTAATGCTGAAGCAATACTGTTTAGCTACAATATAACATCAGTGTATTCCCAAGTAATAGAAGTGATACTGTATTATATATCACTAATAGCTGTAGCAAAAAGGGGGGGGGAGATAAGACAACTGCTAAACCAGTGCTGTCAATAGTTCAGCTAAGACAGATTTCTGACAGACGGCGATTAGCCAGTTAAATATCACAAAAGCTGCCTAGATCATAGCAGCATTTTGATAATAAATTAAAGCTTGCTGTCAAGCAGTAAAGTGTAAAATAAGGGGTTGCTGACCTGGCTCTGTTTTTTTCCTGCAAGATACCTAGCAGTATATTCTAGTGTTACAACAGCTGCCTGCACTGAATGATGTTAACTTATGCTTGACCACAGTGGAGCACAAAGTAGTAGCTCACCTGTGAAGGACTGACAGGCAGCAGTTAACTGGTTAAAAATCACACAAGTTGCCTAAATGCTAGCTGCATCTAAATAATAGGTCAAAGTATAAAGAGAGGGTTTACAAACAGTTTTGAACAGGTTGCCTAGGTAGTAGAAAATATACAGACAGTGACAGAGGAAGGCATATAGAATAAAGATTCCTAAGTCTTGTGCCTTCGAGGGCACCCCTTAATAAAATGCCTGGTCTTATCAATCTCCCCTCATACACATAATAAAGGAAAAAGAAAGAACTAAAGTATGTACAGAGTACACAAAATTAGTGTTAAGAGTCTCCAATATGCACTCCTGAAATGCTGGACATAAATTAACTTGATGTCGGTAATTTAGCAATAGATAAGCAGAGAGTTAGATGCCGACACCAATAATGTGTCAGTAAGTGTCCAGAGCCCCTGACGTGCACGTTCTAACCCAATTACCACCCCATAGGAACAAAGAAAGTGTTATTATTGGCACATCATTCACAGATCTCCCACATTTTGCTGCAGTGGGCCATCACTGGAATGTGCCACCCACCAGATATAGAGAGTCTAAAATTAAAGAGAAATAATACATTCCTTTCAGATGAATAATTTGAGAATAAGAAATTCTTGATACTCAAATGGATATTTATTGTTGCTCGAGAGTTAGTACAGGTGGTCCTCTTAACAACCTACCTGTTTTACGACTGCTTGGACTTACGACCAGCTCTCTAGCATGTGGATTCAAAGGATTCCCCATGTTAGAGAGCTGATCTATGTTCGGGGAATTGGACCCCGAACATATAGGCATGGGATTCCCTGTAATTCCCTGTAAGCTAAAACATGTTCAGGTAAGTTTCCCCAAGCATGGATTCGTGGGATTCCCTGCCCTAGTGAACAGGTCTATGTTCAGGGGAATTCCCTTAAACGGAGACCTGCTTTCCTGCGCATGCTTGCTAGTGCTTCCTCATTTACCAACCAATTAGTTTTACGACTGGAACGTAAGAACGGATAAGTGAGGATAGCCTGTAATTTTACAAAATTATCAATAATAAAAACTGCCACTGCATGGCACATTTTTGGTAGGTTTGTGGCTAGAGGAAGGTTTTATTTAAAAAAAATAAATAAATCAGATTACATCACCAACTAATGATTTGCCATACATCTAACTAACACTGTCATTAATGTCATAACAAACACATTTGGCCTAAACTAATTTGTAACCATATTTAATGTGCTTTAAGAACCAAACTTCTGGAATAAAAGGGAATCATGACATGTCACACATGGGGTTAAAGGCATACAACTCTGAGTTTCACTGCTCTGAATATGATTTACTCTTCATCTCATCAAAAATTCTCAGCTCATAGAAAAAAAGGACAAAGGGGTGGAAAGTTGACAAAGGGATGCGGATCCCCATATTGTCTTACTTGCACATAGCCGTTATCTGCTTCTTTTTTCTGTTCAATTTCTGTGTCTTTCATCTGCTCCAATTTATGAAGAAATTCACACCTGTAACAATGCACGGAGTATACCAATGACAAACAGCTCGTACTGCAGCTCATACTGCATCATAGGAGGTAGCAGAGACAGATTGGACACTGAGACATTGACATTATAAAATATAAAAATATAGAGGGAGAGGGAGGACCTTTAAAATGTCTCTGTCACAGACTATGTGTGTTGTTTTCTTTCCATTTTATTTAGAGCCACAAATACCTTTGTAAAAGGAAGTAGGAGTCGATACCTGCCTGGAAGATAGGGCTTGGGCAGATGGGTCGATACCTGCCTTGCAGGACTAGCCCTTTCAAAGTTGGGAACCTGTAACTGCTCGCTTGACCCCTGGTCTTAGTAACGGTCTTCACTGGTAGATCTACAGCCCTGGTGACATCCCATCACAATATTTAAAAAAAAGAAAAGGTTGAAAACAGGGAATACCCTTCCAAAATGGATTAGACCTTTGTAAAGGTAGTAGTTGTAAATGAGAAAAATAAGGGTATAGGCTAATCTGGGGAGTTTTATCCTCTCCCTAGTTCACACTAAACATTCCTGCTGTGGTTCTGTAATTGTTGCATTTGGGTTAAAGGACCACTCTAGGCACTCAGACCACTCCAGCTTAATGAAGTGGTCTGGGTGCCAGATCCCTCTAGGATTAACCCTTTTTTTTTTTATAAACATAGCAGTTTCAGAGAAACTGCTATGTTTATAATAGGGTTAATCCAGCCTTTAAAGTCTCTAGTGGCTGTCTCATTGACAGCCGCTAGAGGCGTTTGCGTGCTTCTCACTGTGAAAATCAAAGTGAGAAGATGCAAGCGTCCATAGGAAAGCATTATGAATGCTTTCCTATGAGCCTAGCTGAATGCGCGCGCAGCTCCTGCCGCACATGCGCATTCAGCCAAAGAGTAGGAGAGGAGGCGGAGAGGAGGAGGAGAGCTGGAAAAAAAAGGTAAGATTTAACCCTTTCCTCTCTATCCAGCCCGGCGGGAGTGGGACCCTGAGGGTGGGGGCACCCTCAGGGCACTATAGTGCCAGGAAAATGAGTATGTTTTCCTGGCACTATAGTGGTCCTTTAACTGAGCGCCAGAGCTCCCACTCAAGCTATCATGCTCATTACTGTTTGTGAATACAAATGATTAAATATGAAAATCAATGAAATCATAAAATAGTTAACTGAGGTCATGACAGATCCTCTTTTATATGTCGGTTCCCAATACTTACTGGGGGCTGTATTTCAGGTGCTCTACATGAGGAACATCTCCCGGTTCAAATAAGTGAAGGCAGATACCACAAGTAAAGCACTTTACAATGTCAGATATTCCTAATAAAGAAAGACAGATAATAGGTGTTGTTTTAACTGCAGCACCTTATCAAGCAAAGAAAAGTGATTGTGGTGTACTAATATTTAAAATGCATAAGAAATGTTATCAGACATTTTGTGAAGAATATCATATGGTTATAATGTCGCTGTTAAGTGAATATGCTTCAGTTATATTATAATAATATGAACCAGACTTCAGCCATCGTCTTTGCATTTAAACTAATGTTAAACAAAGTTTTTTTCTTCACTAAGAAGACAAGATGTCAGTGTTTATATATATATATATATATATATATATATATATATATAAATAAATAAAACACATATACATATTAGCAGTATATAGCTACATTGTATTTTAAAACACAGACGGAGGGGGTAGTATGAACAAAGGCATTTTCTGGACAGATGGATTATAACTGCTTGATTATAATAATTAATTTTATTTATTTATAAAAATATTTTACCAGGAAGGATACATTGGGATTTCTCTTTTTTTCATGTATGGGTGCTGGGTCCACAAAACATTGCACTGTTACAACAGGATACAATATTACAAAAAATACAATATACAAACAATATATATTTGTATACACACATACATACATATATAAATTTAATACATAACAGGTGATAAATATATTCAACCATGACAGGTGCAATATATTCAATACATGACATGTATTTTCTTTCAAAATACACTAGTAGGAATATTTCACTCACCTATGTAATAAAAGCCAACTCTTGCTAGATCCATAGGGTGGCATTCTGTATTGAGGTATATTGCCATAGATCTCTTAAAAGATTTTAGATTGAATGAAGATTTAACTGTGTCCCTGAGGTAGAGATGAGCGAACCCGTACCGAACATTGCGATTTTTGGCCCCCGAACCAGAGCCCGGACATTTCAGTACAGTTCGGGTTAGAGTTCGGTGTTTGGCGATTTAATGGCGCGTTTTGAAAAGCTGCAGGGCAGCCAATCAACAAGCGTTTGACTCGTGTGCCCTTAGAAGCCATCACAGCCGTGCCTACTAATGGCATGGCTGTGATTGGCCAGTGCAGCATGTGACCCAGCCTCTATATAAGCTGGAGTCACATGAGCTCTTATTAGTATAGGGAGAGGATGCTGCAGCTGTGAGGGACAGATTAGGAAAGAATTCTGGTGTTGAATCTGCAAACTACAGAGATTATTTTTGTGGGTGCTATACTACATTTTTGTACCCTGCCCTGAGCCCAGTGCCACAGAGAAATAAGCAATCAGTCTGTTTTTTAGGTGGGCACTTGCAACTGCATGTGTGCCAGGCACATTACTTTCATCCTGTTCTGGTAGCTCAGTGGGCAACATCTAGGCATTTTTAAATACTGCTGTGACATTGCAGTTTGACAAATTCAAATTGTTTTGGTCCTAAAAAGTAAATTTGTGGCGTGCACTTCATATCTGAGAGTCAAATAGAACCGTCAAATACGGCTGTGACATTGCAGTTTGACAAATTGAAATTTTTTTGGTGCTAAAAAGTAAATTTGTAGCGTGCACTTCATATCTGAGAGTCAAATAGAACCGTCAAATACTGTGGTTACATCGTACTTTGAAAAATTCAACAATTTTTGGTGCTAAAAAGTAAATTTGGGGCGTGCACTTCATATCTGAGAGTCAAAAAGAACCGTCAAATACTGTGGTTACATCGCACTTTGAAAAATTCAAATTTAAACCATCTGTTAGTTTGGTGGGTGAACGCAAAGAATGCGGAGAGTGTCAAATAAGGGACGTGGCACTGGTCGTGGTGCTGCTGGTGTTGGTGGAGCTCCTGTAGCAGGGAGAGGACGTGGCCAATCTGTGCCAGCTACATGCACAAGTGAAACACCTTCCTCAGCTGCGAGTAGGAGACAGAACCTTCAGCCTTATTTGGTAGGCCCGAATGCCGCTCTACCAATGGTGAGGCCAGAACAAGTACAGGCGATAGTAGATTGCATGGCTGACAGTGCCTCCAGTTACTTCACATTGTCTCCCACCCGGTCCCCTGCGGAAAGCTCAGAGTTGGCACCTGCAGCCCATGGCCATCTGTCTTTCACCTCAGTCCTTTGCAAATCAGCCACGCAGTCTGAGCCACAAGTCATGCAGCAGTCTTTTATGCTTTTTGATTACTCTGCTTGCAGGGTTTCCGTGGGCCATCCACTTAGCCCTGCCCCAGAAGTAGAAGAGCTTGAGTGCACTGATGCACAACCACTTATGTGTCAGGATGTGGACATGTGAGGACCACCGCAGCACGTCTCTGATGATGACGAAACACAGGTGCCAACTACTGTGGCTTTCTGCAGTGTGCAGACCAGTAAGGAGGGCAGGGTTGAGGAGTGGGTGGAAGATGATGGAGGATGATGAGGTCTTAGACCCCACATGGAATCAAATAGGTAACGAAGAGGGCCAGCAACAGGAAATGGATAGATTAAATGTAACAATTGACATTTATTATATCTGCCATGATAAACTATGTTTCTATACTAAATCCAATTTAAAAACATGTATTTTCTTTCAAAATACACTCACCTATGTAATAAAAGCCAACTCTTGCTAGATCCATAGGGTTTGCATGCGCATTTTGTGGCCAACTCTTAAATGAATCAAGTCGGACTCCTTCATCCTCAAAGATACTTGAACTTCTGTGCCCTTTAAAAAAAATAAAGCATCTCTAATTATTGAGTAACGACATCATAATCTGCCATAATATTATTTCTGTTGATAGAGAATGTAGGATTAAGTGTGCAAAACGTACCACTCGCTTCAGTTTCAGAATTTGGAATTGCAATGTGAAGCTGAGAATTGTCTTTGTTAATTGGGTCAAGAATTAGTGCCTTTTGATGATCTAAGTATCATAACCACTACAGTGTGTTGTAATTATTATGGTGCCAGGAACTCCTGGATGCAGAATTCCGGTAATCTGTCAAACCATTTATAAACAGTTTTACAATTAATTTGTTGTGTCAAGCACACATTGTCCTTCCAGTCTGAGTTTCTATGATAAAACCAAAAGTCATACTTCTACATTATCGCACTACCTCACACCAAGTTCAGACAATATTCAGTGGCTGAGTGTGTTGAACTTCTAGCTAGAACAATGAAAGTACAAATGAGCTCTGCAGTGCGGTGCTTAGCAATTTAAGTAAGAGTGATCAGCTGATGCTCTCAGCCAAGGAGTTTGAACTGCAGGGCTTAGCTCGGAAGAGCTAAGAGCAGCTCATGAGGAAACATTTTGACACTTACGATAGGCGTGCCAGGGCACTTCTGGTACCATAACCACTACAGCATGTTATAGTGGTTATTATGCTTGAGGTATTCCTTCAACATTTCAATGGTTTGTTGTTTTACTTACTTTTAGCTGAGGGTAATGTCTGGCCACCAAGAATTGTCGTAAAATTCTTTCCCTGAAATATACAACATAGAACAGTATCTTTTTTACTGCAGTTAAGAAAATGCTTTAGGCAGAGCAATATCTCATTCAAAGCACAATGATCATTGTGTATATGATGCCTTCAATTATTCCCCATCAGTGGCGTACATACCAGGGTCGCAGGGGGCCCGGCTGCCCCTGCGACCCAGTATGTAGCCACAGGGCCAGCCTCTTCTCCAGCCTCTTCTTCCGCTCCCTCGCGCGCCGCACTGATACCGGAGCCGGAAGATGACATCATCTTCCGGCTCCAGCATCCCTACGCGGCGCGCGAGGGAGCGGAAGAGGAAGCACTGAGGAGAAAGTGCTCCCTCGCGCGCCGGCCACCCAAACAGCCCGCCCGCCCGCCCAGGAGCCCAGCAGCAGCAGCACCACTGGACCCAAGGGAATCCCCCCAGCACCCCAAAAGGTAAGGAGGCTGGGGGGATTCAATTTAAAAAAAAAAAAATGTGTGTGTGTGTGTTAGTGTGTGTGTGTGTGTGTTAGTGTGTGTGTGTATTAGTGTTAGTGTGTGTATTAGTGTTAGTGTGTGTGTGTGTGTGTGTGTGTGTAAGTTTTAGTGTGTCTGTTATTGGGTGTGTCTGTTATTGGGTGTGTCTGTTATTGGGTGTGTCTGTTACTGAGTGTGTCTGATGTCTGTTAGTGAGTGTGTGTTTGTCAGTGAAAGTGTATGTTTTGTAAGTGAGTGTGTATGTATGTCTGTCGCTGAGTGTGTCTCTGTTAGTAAATGTGTGTGTCTGTTAGCTAGTGTGTATGCGTCTGTTCGTGAGAGTGTGTGTCTTCAGCATTTACCTTTCTCCAGCGCCGAACTTCCTAGGCGCTGGGGATCCCGCCGCCTCTCAGCTCCGAATGCACATGCGCGGCAAGAGGCGCGCTCGCGCATTTAAAGCGCCCATAGGAAAGCATTACTCAATGCTTTCCTATGGACGTTCAGTGTCTTCTCACTGTGATTTTCACAGTGAGAATCGCGGAATCTCCTCTAGCGGCTGTCAAAGAGACAGCCACCAGAGGCTGGATTAACTCTCAGTGAAACATAGTCGTTTCTCTTAAACAGCTATGTTTTGAGCTGCAGGGTTAAAACTAGAGGGACCTGGCTCCCAGACCACTTCATTGAGCTGATGTGATCTGGGTGTCTGTAGTGGTCCTTTAGGTGTGTGTGAAGTATAACGCATTTGCGGGGTCGCAGCCCTGCGACCAGGTGCCCGCCGCCGTGTGTTGCGGCCCCGACCCGCGCCGAGTAAGCGGGCGGGGGGGGGGCCTCGGATCAATTTTTGCACCGGGGCCCCATGGGTCATGTGTACGCCACTGTTCCCCATCCCCCAAATTGGAATGCTTTGTAGGATTACTTGCTTAAAAAATAAAAAGCTAAATTGGAGCCAGGAATTTAAAAATGGTGTACTTAAACTCCACACTGGATCAAAAGACATTTATAGAAAAAAACAAAAAACCTTTTGATAAAATGTAATGTTTTGCTGATTCTACACAGGAGACGCCTAGCTAGGAAGCTACAGTCCTTAGTACACAGCAGAAACAATATCCAGATACGAGATGCCAAACATGAAAATTTGAAAGATTATTGAACATAACATAGCATGGGGAGCGGGGGGGAGGAGGCAAAAGACCAAAATAAATAAATAAACTCTTTTCCAACCTTAGTCTATGAAAAATGGAATTGTAAATTATAGAACAAAATAGTTCAACTGAAAAACTCTTCAGCTTCGCTAACTTTCCAGCACTATAATTTTATTCGCCTGTGTTGGCCTGTGTGTGTCTTTAAAACCCCTTTTGTGTATCTTACCCCCTTTTTGTGTCTATTTCTCTCCCTTTAGCATATTTGCCTTTTTAAGGACTTCAATTAAAAGTATTTTTAATCATTGATATATAATAACTCTTTATAGCTTAAACATTGAACACTGACGCACTAGAACTATATAGAACAGATTAAATGCCATGCATTACTATATTACATAAATGATGCAACAAACCTAAAACAAAAAAAAATAGTTATCTTGTAAAGACCATACTGCTATTGTACTTGCACAGTAAGTATCAGTAACAGACAGGATCAATCGTCACCAAGAAAAGGCTACACAAATTTCTCTTTCTGTTTTATACAGGTCTGTTCCTATCCTATAAACCTTTTCTAGCATGGATTTATGGGATGAACAGTTTAACCACAGCAGCACGATTCCATTTATCACTTAGGATGAGTGGAGCTAGTTTGATAACTGATACCATTCAGAACATAGCTGCTATTTACACATGCTGTACATAAACTGTAGCTTGGTGTATCTAGCCAATGCATCCATTAAAGGGACACTACAGTCACCAACAAATGTTGGCACTTTAAGTTATGTTCATGTTGGAACACTGTTATGTTATTTATTTATATATGGGTCATTGCCTTTTTATACCTAAATGAAGGATACGGATGTGATGGCAGGGTGTGGGGCAATGACCTTTTTTCTATGTTAATTTACTATTCTATTTAATAAAAGCTGTGGACAATTTGACCCATATACTTTAGTGTCCATGTTTTTTATTGGGTTAGGTATGTGGGGGGTTTTGTCCTGATTCCTCCTGCCCATATGGCGACTATTTACCTATCATGCATTTTGCAAAGCTTCTCTAACAATTCCAATACTGGTTATAATGGCTACTAGTGTAATCTAATTAAAAATAGAATCCACCTACCGTATATCCAGCAAATCCAACGTAAGATTTAATGTAGTTCCTGACTTCAGCTGGTGTTAGCTTACTTTGAAGGAAGTTACACCTAAAAATATCAAAATAGCACAAATGACTGGGCAGAATACCCTAATTAACAGACTAACATAACAATTTTGATGCAATCTGTGGTGTTACCGCAGCAGGTTCCCCCATTTACCATTATAAAGTCTCAAAGCATAGAATGTAGCCAACCTTACAGATATCTTAGCTATAATTCTATATAGTTAGTAAGAGTGCCTCTATTGAAAATATATAAATAATTGAGAATTCAATACAAAATAGGGATTGTCTTGGAAGCAATAAAGTTTTGTCGATTAAAATATTTTATTAAATAAAAATATAACTACAGACAAAACTGAGTAATCCATTATAACAATTTACAGCAAAGTTTACAAGATTAAAGTATCTGCTTGCAACTTCAAAAAAATATAACGGGACATGGTGCACGTTAACCTAAGACAAAACGTTAAAGTTTAAACATCGGGGTAAGACATCAGTTTGATAAGTAAAGGAACATTGAATGAAAAACAATATTTTTCATTTCAAACAACTCATCAATTTGCAAAGTCTCTTAAAGGAAAAGTACACATACAATTTTATTCTAAAAACCCTGCAATATTTGATATTGCCAATAACAATTACATATATTAAAACAATTCCCACATAGAGATGTCGCGAACCGTCCGCGAACTTCTCGCGAATGGTTCGCCGCGGTTCGCCACGGTTCGCGGCGAACTCCGGTCAGCTGACACATCCCGGCCAATCTCCAGCAGACCCTCCCTCCCAGACCCTCCTACTTCCTGGACAGCATCCATGTTGAAGGCAGCTTCAACATGGATGCTGTCCAGGAAGTAGGAGGGTCTGGGAGGGAGGGAGGGTCTGCTGGAGATTGGCCGGGATGTGTCAGCTGACCGGAGTTCGCCGCAAACCGTGGCGAACCGTTCACGAGAAGTTCGTGGACGGTTCGCGACATCTCTATTCCCACACCCTTGTACACCACCAAGTGTACAAGGTGGTAAAAAATCCTTATCTTATAAGAATCCTCTGGGGATATCCCAGGTAGTATCCCCCCAAACACAGAAAACCAATACACTATAAAAAAAGGATGCAGCTGTGGGTATACAAAGAAGACACTAATATAGTGTAATTCAGTACAGCACATAAAAATGGCCCATCCAGAAATACACCCACTAGAACAAGCATGTCAAACTCAAACTCAAACCCGGGCCAAATAAACAAGGTTTAAGTTTATGTGGGCCGAATTTTTTTTTTTAATACATTTTCATAGAAACATAGGTTTATCTTGAAAAGTACAGTATATAAAAAAAAATACAGAATCCCCCTCTACTAAACCATAGCACCCCGTTCTAATAAATTCCAGTCCCCCTTCTACTAAAGCACCATTTATATATTAATTTTAAAATATATGTATTTTAATTTGGAAATATAATGACTTATTTAAAAAAACTAAAAAAAATCTGCTTATAGTAATCATAGGTCACGTTATTAAATTTAGATTGTATTTCTATGAGGATTCTAATAAAATAAATATTAGCACAAATCACATGTTTAAGCACTTTATTAATTTAAGTTTATAATCACTTTATATAATAATCATGTAATTGAACATATAAAAATCTTCATTGATATAAGTAAAAGAAATGTATTTTAATTATATCACCCAAATACTATAGATTGAATGTTTGGCTTTGGTTTACAAATCTCATATTATGTGTTATTCATGCATTTAAAATATATGATGGTGTTGTAAATAGACAAGATATATGTTTTTGCTTTCGGTGTTTATACTCTTTAGAGCCTTCTGGGCTTCCTTTGTTTTTTTACCCAGTTTCTTTGCATACTGTGGCAAGAACGCGGCGTCCAGGTGCAGACCAGAGGAGGAACGCAAATGGCGGCTGCGTGGAACACATACATCATCATGGAATTCCATCCAGAAGCAGCGCATCGGAAGTAACATTGTGGCAACACAGGCCAGTTCACAGAACTCATCAAATCAGCAAACAAGATCAGATACAGTTGAACCTGAAGGATGCCACCCAATGGACCACGAATGGGAGCCCAGAACTAGCCTTATATAATCATGGAAATGTGGGAGGGATTTGTTTTGCTTTTTTCCTTTGGGAGATTGTTGGTATTGTATTTTATTAGATTTTGTGCTATTTCACTGTTTGGACCCCTGAAGAAGTCCCACATGGGTTCGAAACGCATATGGCCGTCCACTTTTATTCATTATTTGTCTTACATAATGTTTATTTTTATATTGGCTATTTTAATTTGTAAAATAAATAAAACATTTTTTTTTTAAAAACATTTTATATTTATATTCTTTATATTTATATTCTACATATATATGAATTCTACATATATATTTAACTATTAATTTTACATAATTATTTTATTAATTATAATTTGAGGAACCTGCCTGAAAACCCAGGCAGAAGGTCCAGAGAATTTAATTGGCAAGGCCTATATTTAACCCTGTAACTTTTTACAACACTACAAAACCTGTACATGGGGGGTATTATTAAACTCAGGAGACTAGTAGCTACTACAAAAGACTGAACATAGCCCATTCTGAATACCCTGGGTTGTTTACATTTGCAAATAGTATGCCATGATGGAGTTTATTCCCATTCCTGGGCTACCATGTGGTCTCAAAAGACAACATAGACCCAGCAAGCTAATCTGGCAAACTGAAATGGGCAAGCCTTATATTGACCCTGTAACTTTCCAAAACACCATAAAACCTGTACATTGGGGTTTTTCTTATACTCGGGAGACTTAGCTGAACATAATAATGAGTGCTTTAAAACTGTTAAACTTATCACGACGATGATATCACCAGTAAAAGTGCAGTTTTTGTGTAAAAAAAAAAATTAACACTAACTTTGGCAAGCGTTTGTGATAATGGTGTTGTAAATGGACGAGATATATGTTTTTGCTTTAGGTGTTTATACTCTTTTGAGCCTTTTGGGTTCCCTTTGTTTTTTTCCCCAGTTTCTTTCCATACTGTGGCAAGAACATGGAGAACAAGTGCAGACCGGAGGTGGAACGCAAATGGCCGCAGCGTGTAACGCATCTTGGAGTACCGGTCAGAACCCAAGCTCTGGCAGTGACACCGCGGAACCACCGGACAGTTCGCAGAACCCAGGAAATCAGCAAAGAAGATCAGATAGAGCTGAATTAGACTAGCACTATGGACACAGGGGGAGAGATTTATTCTGCTTATTTCCTTTGAAAAATTGTTGATATTGTATTTTATTTGACTTTATGCTGTTTCACTTTTTGGGTCCATGAAGAAGTCCCACTTGGGGACAAAGCGTGTAGGGCCGCCCACTTTTATTCATTATTTGCCTTATATGATTTTTATTTTTCTATTGGTTATTTTTATTTTTAAAATAAATACCAGCCTATGTTGTGAAACCTCTGGAGTCCTGCTTTCCTTGGTGTGTAGTGATTGCTGCCAGGAGTAGTGAAGACGTGTACAAGCCCCCCATAATTCTAAAGGGAGACACCCTAAGGTTACATAACCATCTACCTTATAGTGAGTGTACTTCTTGCTGGGCCATTTTTATGTGCTGTACTGAATTATACTATATTATTGTTTTCTTTGTAGATCCACAGCTGCATCTTCTTTTTATTGTAATATATGGAATATGTATGAAACTTGTTTATTGCTTATTTAGGTTTTGCTATACATGGCTATTGTCAAGTTCCCTCAATTGGGGCTCAAGTCCATCAAAGATAAGGCAAAGAACCCTATTTGAAGCCATTCCACATTTGCCCCAAAATGGAAAATTCCTTTTTGACTCCAAATTGGCTGTCGGATTTCTCTTTGGACAAAAAGCTTTTACTCCAAATATTAACTATTCTTTACCTATAACTGTTTTTGAAAAAAAAAGCAGGGGAAAAAGCAAATATCTGCACAGAAATTTGATAAAACAACCTCCAGAAGCAGAGAATTCCACAGCTGTATTGCTTTTACTGTAAAGAACATCTTGTTTTGTTTCCTAATATATATAGGTAAGTAAAATATATAATAATAAAATAAGTCTTACTCACACTTTTCAGAGCTAAAATCCAGCTCTGATATTGCGCACGTAGAGTGGAATAATCCCCACTCAAGGATATACGGAGTAAGGTTTGATAGATGAATATCTGGCGTAGGTTCAACGTCCAAATTGGCCAGATATTCATCTATCAAACCTTACTCGTATATCCTTGAGTGGGGATTATTCCACTCTACGTGCGCAATATCAGAGCTGGATTTTAGCTCTGAAAAGTGTGAGTAAGACTTATTTTATTATTATATATTTTACTTACCTATATACTGTGCCATTGGAGTCCTGTTTTATTTTTTCTCTCTACATATGCTCTATCGAACTTCAAGCATATAATCGTGAAGACTTGATCCCATGTAACATCCTAAGAATTTCCTTTTTACACGTGGGACCTATCATTACGGACTGTGAAAAGTTTTTTGGACTATTGCCAATCACCTATTTTATTCTAATATTTTATTATACTTTTATTCATATATTGTTAATATTATACATTTATATATTTTAGGCGCACCCTTATTTTATTCTTTGCTTTGTATTCCTTGTTACTATTAGGGGATTATTGGGGACTCCCCTTTGAGGAGTGCAGCCTTCTTATTTATATCTTGTGTGGCAATTTAGAGCTGATTTTCTTCTTTTGTTTTTTCCTATACTTTTGTTTTGGCTACTCTGGCTTTAAATTTGAAATTCAATTTGAATTAGTTTGGAAGTTTTCTTTAGTAATTCTGCTACAGGACCATAGTTATTCAATATTGGTTCATTACCATGTAACAAATGGGAGGAAAATGCTGTAGGCTGTGCACTAATAGTTGTTTCCAGTTCTGATCATTCTAGCTGCCTATTTGCAGGTCATTATAAAACAAAATATAAACAGCAAGGTATATGGTTTGATGCTAGGAGAATACCTTGCAATGAAGGTTCACTTATTTTATGAATGTATTTCAACTGTTGACCTGCCTCATTTACTCAAAACTGTTAAAGGGACACTATAGTCACCTGAAGAACTTTAGCTTAATGAAGCAGTTTTGGTGTATAGAACATGCCCCTGCAGCCTCACTGCTCAATCCTCTGCCATTTAGGAGTTAAATCCCTTTGTTTATGAACCCTAGTCACACCTCCCTGCATGTGACTTGCACAGCCTTCCATAAACACTTCCTGTAAAGGGAGCCCTATTTAGGCTTTCTTTATTGCAAGTTCTGTTTAATTAAGATTTTCTTATCCCCTGCTATGTTAATAGCTTGCTGGACCCTGCAAGAGCCTCCTGTATGTGATTAAAGTTCAATTTAGAGATTGAGATACAATTATTTAAGGTAAATTAATTCTGTTTGAAAGTGAAACCAGTTTCTTTTTCATGCAATCTCTGTCAATCATAGCTGGAGGAGGTGTGGCTAGGGCTGCATAAACAGAAACAAAGTGATTTAACTCCTAAATGACAGTGAATTGAGCAGTGAAATTGCAGGGGAATGGTCTATACACTAAAACTGCTTTATTTAGCTAAAGTTTTTAGGTGACTATAGTGTTCCTTTAACCCCTTAAATCAGCAATGTCACTTTTAATTTTTTTTTTCATAAAGCTAGAATATCTGATATGTACTTGATCTTTAAGGACTTCAATACCACGTTTCTAGAATTGTCATTATTTGTCTTTACCGCAGTAGAAATGACCCATTCCGATCTACATTCAGCAGAAAATAATATTTAGTTTGATGAACCTAGGGGAATTCCTCTGTCTGTTCATGAGGAAATCATTATTTTGATGATGAATATTGCTCAATGAGCACTGAAGTTAAAAAGAACATCAACCTTTCATTAAATAAAATTCCAGTAGAGGGCAGTAATGTCTAGATGTGGAATCCTGCATGACATGGAAACAAAAATAATGGCTGACTTTAGTTAGGAAAAGGATGAACAAACTGATTAAATTTAATTTGCACGCTCACATCTACAATTTGTCCTCTGAATCTCTTTAAATATTTAGGTTGGATTCTCAATATAATATAAGCAAGCATTAAAATGGATCTGTCACTTCTCTGGAATTTACATCATTGAATAAAATATTGAAAATCACCTATAACCTGTGTTAATGTTTTTTTCATGACCTGCACCATTTTATTGCTGTTTACATTTATAAGAGATAATTAGCTAATTACAACCTAATCCAGTTCAAGTACAAGGCAGATAGAGGGTTCTTCTTTTTTGTATGTATTCTTAATACTGACTGCAAGTGCAAATGACAGTGTAGTGGAGCTGAAGTCTCAGCTGAAGTCCTCTTGAGCCAGAACAAAAAGCTGCTCCATACAAAATAACACAAACCCCTCAGAGGCATCCCTGTGTCTGGGAGATAATTGTGTCAAAGACCAGTAACTCAATTATCTCTCAGTTACAGAGAACCATACATAAAATACAAAAAAACACCCCCAAACTACATTCCAACTGTACAGGAACACAACATGTCTTATATCCCCGAATAACCCAGATCTGAACACAGAATTTGTGCAAAAAGTGCTCAGATCCAATTTGGTGTAACAGAATCACCAGTCGGGTAAAGTTCTGACCGGCCAGCCACGACTTGGTAGTCCAAAATAGTTCCAGAGAGAAAGAGGCAGCAGCCGGTCAACTTCCGGGAGTTCCTGTATGCACACAAACGAATGCTCCCCTAGCTCTTAAGGTGCGAATGCTCCCCTCAGACTAACAAGTCTTTTCTCCGAAAAGTGATCTCCTGGCTTGTCTGTGAGCGGAGCAGGCAGCAGTACAGTTTCTCTGGGGGTTGCGAGCTATGGTATCCGAAATTAGTTCCAGGCGCTCGACGACCAGGTACTGCTGCCTGTGTGGACACCCTAGTTTGGGTGACAAACTAGCAGCCATTCCATAAAGCACTGTATGTTCAGTCATACAAATGGCAGCCACCCAGAGAGAGCACTTGAGTTAATTGGTTCTTTTGAAGATAATGAGCCAGGGGGTGGTTGATGTTCAGTAGAATAAAAGGGTAAAACGAGGGTACATTCAGGAAAATCAACAGGAGATACGGGCAACCGAATGAGATTGGACAGGGTCCACCACAGACAGAACTTGTAACAATGATTGACCGGAAGGTAATATGGAGGTGCCCAGGTGCAGTATGAAGAAAGAAATGTGAACTTTAACAGTAAATGTTATTTTTCACACCTCAGAAGTAAGTTCATTTGAGCAGGGCCTTCTTCACCTCTAAATTTTCAGTTTCTACAAATCTAAGGTGCTGTGGAATATGTTGGTGCTATATACACCGATCAGCCACAACATTAAAACCACTGACAGGTAGAGCGAATCACATTGATTATATCATTGCAATGACACCTGTCAAGGGGGGGATATATTAGGCAGCAAGAGAACAGTCGGTTCTTGAATTTTATGTGTAGAAAACAGAAAAAAATGGGTGATTGAAAAGATCTGAGTGACAATGGCCAAATAGTGATGGCTAGATAACTGGGTCAAAGTATTTCCAAAACAGTAAGTCTTGTGGGGTGCTTCTGGTATGCAGTGGTTATTACCTTCCAAAGGTGGTGCTAGGAAGAACAACCTGTCAACCAGGGTCATGGGTGCCCAAAGATCTTTGATGCGTGTGGAGAGCAAAGAATAGCCCATCTGGTCCGATCACACATAAGAGCTACTGAAGCTCAAATTGCTAAAAAAAACTTAATGCTGGCCATGATAGAAATGGCATTTACTGTCCACACAGGAAAAGTTGTGCCGAGCAGCAACCAAATCCACTGAAGGGTTAATGCTGAGCAGCAATTATGCAAATGGGAACCTGGTAACTGCCTTTGGGGTCAAAGGCTGGTTACAGCCTATCAGATCTAGAGGAGGGGTATATAGGCCCAGTTCTCATCCTGCTCAGTGCCCTGTCGTGGTTTCCCTTGTGGTTGTCCGAGAGCGCGTTATTGATTCTGGTTATTTAACTTTGTCGTTGTTTTTGACTTCCCTGTGTTCTGGCATCCCTGACTCCTGGCTTTTCCTTATCGTTGTGTCTCTTTCTGTATCCCTTGACCTCGGCTATTCCTGACTATTCTTTGGTACGTTAGTCCGGCCATTCTAAGGTCCGGTATACGTTACCTATCAGTCCTCTGTGTTACACAATTCTATGTGCTGGATCATTCTGAAATCCTGACAATAATATAGTTTTCTCCGTATGGGACTGCATAGCCGAAGACCATCAGTGTGCCCATGATAACCCCTGTCTACCGCTGAAAGCACTTTCAATGGGGACGGAAGCGTCAGAACTGGATCGTAGAGCAATGGAAGAAGGTTGCCTGATCTGATGAATAACATTTTCTTTTAGATCAGGTGGATGGCCAGGTGCATGTCCATTGTTTACCTGGGGAACAGATTGCAGCAGGTGCAGTATGGGAAGAAGGTAGGTCGGTGAAATAGTTTTATGCTCTGGGCAATGTTCTGCTGGGAAACCTTGGGTCCTGGCATTCATGTGGATGTTACTTGCATCACCTAACCAGAGATTGTTACAGACCACATACACCCCTCATGGCAATGGTGTTCCCTGATGGCAGTGGCCTCTTTCAGCAGGATGATGTGCCCAGCTACAAAGAAAATGCTCAGGAATGGTTTGAGTAACATATTACCTACTATAGCCCTGAATACCATGTATTCTTAAGAAACCACACAGACCTATTTTAACGGCACATTTGTCAAAATAACCTCTTCTGGGGGAGAATGTTGTGTATTTTGCTCTTACTGTAAATAACTGTTTCCCTGCTGTAGGTAAAAACTAATTTCTTCAAGACCAAATAGATGACTTATTGCCCATTGTCCACACATCTATCTAGATAGCTTCCTTTGTGAAAAGTACCCATATTTTCCATACTCTTTAAACTCAAGGTAAGTTTCCATAACTGATCTATAAAGAGGAAATGCATTTTTCTTATTAATATTTTTTTTTAATGGAGAGGTTGATTACGTAAAGTATTTTTATAATATAAGGTTACCATTTATGTGCTAACATAAATACAAACACTGTCTTATTACACAAGCAGTGGAGGCTGATGAAGTTTTAAGATCGTGGGGCAACAGATTCCACCCCCAGAATTTTACTCCTCCCTATACAGCACACATATACAATACAGAGAGATGGGCACAACATAAATATATCTATAAAATACACAGAGCTGAGCAGGGTTGCCATCAGAAATTTTGGGGACCCTGACACAGTTCACAAGTCCACCCACAGGGCAGCAGTGTGTATACTGAATGTAGTGTGTGTTTAGTGGATGTAGAATGTGTGCGTAATTCACTGTGTATAGTGGATGCAGATTATAAGGTATGGTTGTCATGCCCTGATGGTGGCCTTGGAGCGTAGTAGGTTGACAAGAAGCAACAATCATTATAGATTAAAACAGAATGAAATCAGAAGAGAACAGTCTTCAGAGTCACAGCCCCAGTCCTGCAGTTTGAAACATTACAATTAGCAAGAGTGTCTCAGGTCTCAGCTGTATAGTGACTGAGGACTTAGTTAGCTACATCTGGAAGAAGGAGAACATTTCTCCAACTGACTCTGACAAAGTCAGTGTTGGTCTGGCGGTACCTGATTTTAAGATATGTTTCCAGAACTGTCATATTTTGAGGGTGGTCAAGTGGGAAAAGTAGGGGACAGATGAACATTGGAAGGAAATAGATTTATTTGAACCTCTATTATAATGTAACTATGTAACTAAGCAAGGAAAGGTGGTTTTGTAATATAGAATAAAAGTTGATTACCAAGGAAACCACTTGGCATGTTCTCTCCATGGATCATCATTTTCTTCCCAGTGACACAGACAACCTCCACAGGAGAAGCACTGAACAGAGTCTCTTCTACCTGAAAAAAATGACAATAATATATTGTAGAAATAGTATAATAACCCTCAGTCTCACTGTTCACATGTATGTCATTGACATCCTGCAGGATAATGAATCAAGCTGTTTTTAAATCACTTTACTTGCCTATTGCAAAATAGGTGCTCTATGTAGTCTTGTTTTAGTAATTTAGCTATTTTAAAACTAAAAAAGGCTTTTTTTGTCAGATAATCAAACTTTGTTATTATGACAGATTACGCTCTATCACCCTTCTGATTATTTTCCATAACATTGCAGAGGATTTATTCGCTGTTCACTCATAGGCGGATAGAGCTTCTATAGGTCAATAGTTTGGATTGTTATAATCTATGCCTGGATTTTAACAATCTGGGTCCAGTTTGCAGCTGTCTGAATTCTGGCTTGTTTAAATCCTGCTCAGCAAAATCTGGACACCACACAGTGGGAGAATTTGCCACATAAACCCCCCCTAATCTCTTGCACTGTCACACTCGTCCTATTACATAAACCCCTAGAATCCTCTCTTTTATAGTTGCCACACTCAACCTGTCACATTAATGCCTCTAATCCTGTCACACTCAGCCACACTCGTCCCGTCACATTATACTCCACCAATCCTGTCACCCTTACTGCCCCTCACCCTGTTACATGCCTGTGATACTCACTTCCCTGATAATGTCGCACTCACCCTGGCATACTCCTTCCTTCAACCATGTCACAATCACCCCCTATTATTCTTATCCTCCCTCATTCTGTCACACTCACCCACCAACACTGTCTCAATCACCCCCATTGCCCTGTCACACTCACCCTGCCACAGTTACCCCTTTACTCATTCTGTCACAGTCACCAGGTCCAGTGCGAGAATTTTTTTTTATAGAAAAAAACTACAACTAAAGTCTCCCTGAGGCTTACCTTGGGCCAGAGAGGGGGGAAACCATAAACTTGGTGATTGAGTGGGACAGGAGCAGGAGCCTGCAGGTTAAGTCCACTGGGCAGTCTGGGAGAACAGCAATGTAAGTTAGGTTGGTGACTTTACTGGCTGCAGGGAGAGTGAGGTGATGTGAAAAATTCGAGTGCCCAGCCAGAGGCAGGAGATTTAGATTTTTGCACCCTCCTGCCCTGGCGCTCTAAGGCGGCCACCTGTGCCACCTTATTGGTGCCCTAGCCCTGACAGTCACCAGCTAAAGACATTCATCATACACAAGTCATGAAACATAGCTTTGCCATAACACAAGCACAAAGGCCACAGACAGTCCCCATACATACAACACACTGCAAGCAGCTACTCCACACATGTATGGTCCCAAACACATACTCACAAAGCCATACATTCACACACAAGGATACTCTCTATTAGATGCACACTTTCAGGTGCATACACGGGTAGAATATGCCAGACACACTCAGACTTGCACACAACCATATACACATTGTGACTGAGTGTTTGTATTTGTCAATGTGTGTGTCTCTGTGCATCAGTGTGTATGTGTGTGTATGCATGTCCATCTATCAGAGTGTGTATATGTGTGCATGTATTAGTTTATTTGTGTCTATGGCTGCAATATGAGGGTGGTATGGTATGGGCAATGCAAAGGTAAAGTGGAAACATATATATAATATACATACATACACAATACATGGGGCAACACATGTAAATTATATAGGATAATGCATATGTGAACGCATTAAAGAATATGTGGGGGAAATGTCTAAGACACTGTTTTCTTATCTGCAACTCTGCAATTTTTTGATTGCAATAACCGCTTCACATCGGTGCTTATGTATACACGACTGCCAATCTAGTAACCATACACTGCAATCTTGGATAAACGATTATTATAATTGCTAATTAAATTTGTTTATTGCAAATTAATTTAGTTTGCAAATTATGCCATAACTACAGTCAGAGAGCTTACAACACAGTGGCACAGAGAGACGCGACACTGCAAGCCTCTGAACGATGAATACAGAGACTAGCTTCGGTATCCAGTGCTGTAAGCCCACCTTTCAATATAGCTACAGCTCCTTATACACACACAAGACATGCCCTATTTTTTTTCAGTTTGGGTGTTAGTGGGGGCCTAATGTTTTAGTTGCACCTAGGGCCTCACAAAGTCTAAAGTCACCATTGCACTGCAGTATCTGGTGCTGACCAGACTGACAGAGTATGATGAGTTAATGATGTCTTGTGGAGGTGTCTGCAAGTGGTGAGTTGAGACATTGCTGTCAGTCGAGTTACAGAAACAGAGCTCTCATTAATTAGGCTTGCAAACATTTCTGTGAATTCTTTTCAAATAGTTTTTATTAGGTATTTAATATTATAATAAATTAAAAATGACAATAAATAAATGAACAATAATAACAAATTGGGAAGGGGAAACTTGGGGAAGGATCCATCCGAATTTACAATATTTTTGTGCAATATTAATATGTCAAGATTTATTGATGATAATAAAATAATTATATATATTATATATTATATATGTAAAACGAATAAAAGAAGTTTGTACTAATAATAATTTACAGTTTGAATATCTTTCTTGACCTTATTTTCCCACTCAGTCCAGAAATAATGAAGCTGATCCCATAATAAAGATGGCTGTCTAATAGTCATCTCATACGATTTGTTTTCTAATACTAACTTTAGTATAGGGCTGTCCAACATGCGGCTCCCCAGATGTTGCTGAACTACAACTCCCATGATTTCCTGGCTATCTGTTTCATTGAAAGAATCATGGGAGTTGTAGTTCGGCAACATCAGAGGGGCCGCAGGTTGGACTGGCCTGCTTTAGTACATCAACTATACAGGGTATAGCAGGGGATTTCCAATATCTGGGTAAGTAGGATTTGGCGGCTATAAGAATATGTCCTACGATAACTCTGTCTACTTTATTAACAGAATCTGGAAAATTTTTAAAGAGCCCAAGTTCCGATGTAAAAATGGTAATATTTGGGTCAACAGTCTTAATAAGTTTATGAATATCACTCCAGAATCTAGCGAATTTAGGGCAATACCACCAAATTTGTGACATGGTACCTATCTCATCACACTCCCTCCAACATCTGTCTGAGACTTTAGGATTTATTTTGTGACGGCGTGATGGAACCAGGTACCAACGATGGAGAATTTTTAAATGATTCTTATGATGACCAGCACACTGCGTGATACCTCTCAAGGCGAGAATAAAACTTATCCAATCCTCCAGTTCATATTGAACTCCCAAATCTCTTTCCCATGATTCCATAAAAGATCATTTAGATGTGGGCCTTGGAGAAATATGGGAATAGCAAAATGAGATTATGCCTTTACGATTTGGATTGAGATCTATTTTTTTCAAAATTTTACATTTTTAATAATTTATCTCCTATACCCAATTCTAATATTTCAACATTTTCTTTCAATTTGTCTGTTATTAGAGTATATTTTGGTAATATAGAATCGTCCAAATCTAATTTTTCTTTAAATTGATCAAATGTTAAAAGGGAATTTCCTGATAAGAAATTATCCAAATTATACATAGAATGGGAGTGCCAAAAAGTTAGATCCAGAGGGGTAAGTAATAATTTAGAATTGATAGTGGCATTGCTCATGATAAACTGGAGGATGGTCTAACACTACTAAAAAGAGTAATCTTGGTTGAAGGAAACATGTGTTTAGCCTTAGGGTGTCTATTTAAAGGCAGCCATAACAGTTCTTTATTAGAATATGGATGAATCTTTTCTGCTTCCATTTCTAGCCACCTCGACCTGTTATGATCCATGTTAAATTTAAAAGCAGAATCTGCATTAGCCGCATTATAACACTTCCTAGAATCTGGGACACCAAGACCATTTCTGTGAATTCTCTCTCACAGTTTGGAGGATATATCTAGTTACACCTCATGGCACCAGCAGTCAAACCTGTACATTATTTGTGCAATGTGAGAAGAACCATCCCTACAGAAAGTGTGCGCATGAACACAGCATTCTTTTTCACTTGTCCCAGGTTAAAGTTTCCACAATGCACACGTTGCTTTTTTATTTACTGTTAGGAAACTGATACGCTAAATATGTCAGCTGTGTTGTGTTAGCAATTATATTACACTTTTATACCCTGTAAACATTGTTGTAAAATATTTTATTACACTATAAACTTAGTAAGGGCAATAGACTCAAGGTAATGTTTTCAAAAGTATGGGATATTGTAAAGGTGCCTCTATTTGACTAATGTTATGTTAATGTTATGATATATTGTGATAACTTTTTTTTAAAAACTGCATTTTTGTGCCCAAATTTTACATAAACAGTTTCCGATTCACTACAGTTTTTGTCTAGCAAATAAACACTTACAGGGTTATTCACTGAAGGGTGAACTGTTGAAATTCAGAGCAAATTCAAAGTGAATTTCAAATGTAAGGCCACAAAAGCAGAAGTGGAAGAATTCTTCAAGACAACTATGTTTCCAATTCAGTTATTTTGACCTGAGATTCATTTTGAATTCCTAGATATTCACACTTTAGTGAATAACCTTGTTATGCATTAAAAGTGAAAAGAAAATTATTTGTAATTTGGATGCAAAAAAATAGAGATATTTGATAAATGAGAGCTGGTATAAGTTTGAGTAAATAAACATAAACATTATTTAAAGAAAATGATTTTCTAGATAAAAATAGAAATTCATAAAAGGAAATCACCAAAGGTCTAGAACAAGGGTAAAATGTAAAATTTTATTATGGCGCTGGCCCTAATTGTAAGGTAACATCTACGTATGTTGGAGAATTCTGCATGTGTTATGTGGGGGGGTGATGGCTGCTTTGTATTGTGTGTGTATATGTGGGTTGTGTGGTGTTGTCTATGTGTGTGGACTGTATGAATGTATGCGGAATGTCTGCGGTGTTATGTGAGTGTAATTGGTGGTATTGTGTGTGTGTGGAGGGGTTTAAGGCATTGTATGTGTGTGTGAAATGTTTGTGGGCTTGTGTGTGTAAGGTGTTTGCTATATTGTGTGTAATTATGGGCTGGCTGTTGTTATGTGTGTGTGTTTGTGTCTGTGTGTGTGATGTTTGTGGTATTTATGTATGCTGGGCTGTCTGTGTTGTTATGTGTGTGTGGACTGTTTGTGGTATTCTGTGAGTATATGTGGGCTGTCTGTTGTGTTTAGGTATGTGTGTGTGCTGTCTGTGATGTTAAGTTAGTGAATGTGGTTGATTGATTGTACTATTTATGTGTATGTGTGATGGGGCTATCTGTGATGTAGAGTGGATCTGTGCGGTAGAGGCTATTTTTGGTATTGTTTGTATATATATATTATGTATATGAACCATTTGTAGTATTGTGTGTGTTTATCTGGGCTGCCTGTTGTGTTATGTATTGCTGTGGGATGTCTATAATGTTAAATGTGTGTATGTAGGTTGCTTGTAGTACTTGTGTGTATGGTGCAGACTGTCTGTGTTATTGTGTGAGGGGCAGCTTGCAGGGTTGTGTATGTGTGGCTACTTTTAGTGTTGTGTGTGATTGTATGTCAATTGTGTAGAGGTGGTGTTTTAAGGATCATACAAGAAATATTATTTTAATATAAACACAATTTTACTAATTGCAAATTCTTTTTTACTTAGTATAGCGGCAGTACAATAGAGTTGTTCTACTTTCAGATTGGACGAGTAGTCTGTATAATAAAATATGCAAATTATATAACAAACCCTCCCCATCATACCTTAAATATTGACAATCACGCCCAAAACCTCCAGTATTAACAAGAAGTAAGAAGAAGGAGATAAAATACTGCAAAAATTTCTAAATACTTTATTTTACAGGGAGAGCAATTTGTACTGCCACTATACTAAGGAGAAAAAAATATCTGTAAGTAAAATATCTGTTTTTCCTATATAGGATACTGTATATAGGATGATCCCAAACGGTCATCAAGATACGGGTGCTAAAAGCACCATATGCCCAAAAGCAGCTTCTGAGGAAGAAAAGATGTATATCTGTAATGACGGATTAAGGTATTGGTTGAAGACCATGTCACCACTTTACAAATGTACTCAGGAGAAACCAATGCTTTTGCTGTCCAAGAAGTAGACATAGCTCTCATAGAATAAGCCTTTCTCCATGTAGATAGTGATTGACCACCTCGCGACTGTTGCCCTTAAGTCTTTTTTACCCATATGCATGCCTTGATAATTGATGAAGACTTTGAAAGTTGAGGAACGGTTGATGTAAATATCCAAAGCTCTCTTTATATCTAACAAGTGTAACTTGGATTCTTCAGAAGAAGAGAGTGTCTGGCACAAAGTGGGAAGAGTAATGGGTTGGTTGATGTTGGTCTTGGTAAGCACCTTTGGTAAAACGAGGGTTTGAAATGAAGCACAATTTTATTGTTATGAAAAATAGTGAAATCTGACTCGCAGGACAGTACCTGAAGTTGGCCAACAATACTGGCAGATGCAATTACCCCAAGAAAAGCTGTCTTCAAAGATAACATCCTTATGGGAACTTCATCCAGTAGTTCAAAAGGAAAATCACAAAGGGAGTTGAGTTCTAATGACAGATCGCATTTGGGAAAAAAGGACTTCCGTGATGGCCCTTGAAGCCATTTGGCCTTGAAAAATCTCCTGATAAGAATGTGGGATGCCAGATGCATCAAAAGAAAATAGTTAAGAGCTAACACTTGCACTTTCAACCAAGCCAAATTGAAACATGCAGAAAAGCCATCTTGCAGAAAACCAGGAACAACTTGAATTGACAGGAATAAGCAGCCATGTTCTTTGCACCAGACCAGAAAGTTCTCAACATAACTGGGAAACTAACTTCGCTTTGGCCAATAAAGAATGATGGCTATCATAGTTGCTTTTTGTGATCTTATTTTCTAAAGAATATGTGTAATCCTGGAGACTGGATGGAAATTGTATACTAGACTAAAATCCCAGATGACAGTGAGACCATCTACAAAATCTGGCTGTTCTGTATAGAAGAGTAAAAGTTGGTAATTTCCTGTTCAGTATGATTGTTATGAGATCTATATCTTGCTGGCCGAGTTTCTTTGTGATTCCCTGCAAGCATGTTCGGATCTAGAGATCACTCTTTTTTGTGTCCTCTGTACCCTGCTCAGGTCGTCTGCTATCATGTTGTCTAATCCTCTGATGTGAAAAGCAGAAATGGCTTCTAGTCTTTTTTTGACCACGCCATAATCTGTGTGCAAAGGCAGAAAAAATAAGCTACTCCTGATCCTAATTGTTTGCTCAGGTAGGAGACAACTGTGTCAAGCAAGTAGAGCTCTCAGAACTGCTTTCAGTTTGGAGGAATGTTTTGCCTTTTCAAGAGTTCATCTGCCTTGTTCGAATAAAAAATTCATGTGAGCGCCCCAACCTGTTATTGAGGAATTTGTGACAATTGTAAGCATGTCTTTTTGGTGGTAAAACGAGCAAAGAAAAAAGGAAATCTGGATATATCTACCATTTAAGTTATTTTGAACTTTTGTGTAGATGGCAAACTCCGAGTCCAAATCCTCCTGCTCCCTGGACCAGATTTGAAGAATTTCCCATTGAAGGGGTCTCATTTGTACTTTGCCAATATACTGCTGGAGTACAAGATGTGAGAATTTGCTCATTAATAGTGATGTCGCGAAGCTGCCTTCAACATGGATGCTGTCAAGGAGGTGCAAGGGTCTGGGAGGGAGGGTCTGCTGGAGATTGGCCGGGATGTGTGAGCTGACCGCAGCTCGCCACGAACGGTTCGTGGCGAACCGTGGCGAGCCGTTCGCGGGAAGTTCGCGAACGGTTCGCGACATCACTACTCATTAACTGTCTGAAAGAGCAGTCTGAACCTGTTTGCAGAGTGGTCACCTCTTTTATTTTTTATTTTAATTCTTTATTTTTGCAGTGCAGAGACATACATACAGGTTTGTGCTGGCATAGAAGTTTAGGCATGCAAAACAATGAAGATGAACTAAATTTTTGTAAAAGAAAGATACAACAAGCAATATGAACAACCTGCCACAGAGTGCAAACTGAGATTATTAAAGGAGAAATCACAGCACATTTTTTTTTATTACATGAAAGAGAAAGAAGTTAAGTCAGGCCTGTCTAGTTAGAAGGTAAGGCCTAAACTTTGCTGTGGTTAGCTAAGCCTTAGGCAAAAAAATTAATACACAAGAATGATAGGCTAGTTAGGCATGTAGGTTGTAAGGAAAGCTTATATTCAGAAGACAAGCTCGGCACACTTAAGCTGGGTGAAACATGTTGGAGTAACGCAAAAATTAAATTATAGCTTTAAAGCCACTGGGTACTAATGGCCATAGATAAGGAAAAAAACAACAAGAAGTCCTGCACTAAAAACAAGGTGGAAACAATGGAATCTATATTATCTTCACATGGATACACAGTCGATGCCCTGAGATAGGAGGCTGCTGTTACCGGAGTGTGACAGTCCACCGAGCTGTGGAGGGGCACCCAACCACCCCAAAGCTCAGATGCAATTCTACGCTGCAGCTCCAGGAATAACAACATCATTGCCATTCCCAGGGTCCGAGTCTCTGGAAGGTTGCAATGCACGCAGTAGACTCCGGCGAGCTGGAACTCTCCGATTGGGTGGAATACAGAGGTAAGATTGGCCCTCCTGGAGTGCAGCTTTGGGACACGACAGCGGGGCTTGAAGGTAGGTCTATGTGGCGAAACCGGCCTCGCCACGTGTCCTTGGAGGGGGCTGCTTGCCCGCCTCTTGCCTTTGGACTATGGACCAGACTTTATGTGAAGGTATTAACCCAGATAGCTATGCCATGGAGCCCATTCGTGTAGTTAAAGACTTCGGCTCCATGGCAATTGAACTGTGTGAATAGGATCTGAGCGCTATTTGGTAGTTTTGTGCGCTCAGATCCCAGCTATCTGGGGACATGTGACATGTCTGTGTCTTATGTGTAAAAGGTGACTTTATGTATTTTAAAGTGTTTTGTGTCTTTTTGCAACCATGTGCTTAATGGAGTCTTGTGTCTGTCCTGGGAGATAATTGAATTACTCTCCAGGATAGAAGACTCTGAAACTGGTTTGGGCCAGAAAGCCATGCTTCATTTAGTCACAAAGGACTTTCCCTTAACTTTTGAACCCCTGGTCTGATTCGTGCCATTTTTTAATATGTTGTTCCCCTGAATGGATTGATTATGATAAGTTTTATGTATGTACGATGTTAACTCCCAAAGTTATAAAAATGTACAAAAAGTAACTTTTCAGCTTGGAGATAATTGAGTAGATACAGTAATTGACTCAATTATCTCCTAAACAGAGGGGAGGAATATGCTGGGTGTGTTTCTATTGTCCCATTGTGTCTGATTGGCTGCTGTACTTGCATTGTATGTGTTGTAATGTGTTTATTGGTGGTTCTGCAAAACCCTGTGGGCAGTACTATGTTTTGTGGATTGTAATAAAAACCAGGCTGGGTGTGCCAGCACTGGAGTTCCTGTTTTAACCCTCAAAGTGAAGTGTCGTCTCATTATTGGGGGAAGGATTTATTGTATGCTGTTCCAGTTTGACTGCTAGGAGGGTAAACCTATTCGTATGGTTTCCTATTCAACTGTCTACAGCATTCATATGCTTGAGAGCATTCATATTCTCCTACGGTTCGGTGGTTTTGGTGTCTGCTGCAGTGCTTGGAGTCCTCAGGAAGTGCTAGGAGCATCCTTCAACGGAGGTACCCAGTCGGGGTGCCAGGTGATCCGTTACAGTCTACCACAGGTCACTGTCATCCTCAGCCCCTGGCTCCTCTGCATTGCACATGAAGGATACCCTGGAGACTTATCTGGGTCCCGAACGCACGGAACCTCAGGAGAAGCAGGCACCACGCAGGCCAAGATTCTCTCCCAGAACTTAGCACACAGAGCATCAAACACCAGCAAAAGTGGATCCACTCAAGTAGGCTTCAGTGAGTGTACATGCATCATGACACTCCAAGCATTGTCAGCCATCTTAGTGAGCAGGCCTCTAGTTTACAGTAGCATGTAAAAGACCATTTGGGGGGGCCAAAAAGCATGCCAGTGGTGACTGGGATAACCCCCACTGGTCCAAAGGGGGGGGTGCGGGTCCAAAAAAGGCTGGTACCAGGCTTCGGCAGAGGCTTGGCTGCGTCCTCTGCTCCGAATCTCTCAAGACAGTCCAGCACGGTCTACAACTGCCCCCCTGGTCACCTCTTTTCTGATCTTTCTTATCTTCTAAAATTAAAGCTTGAGGGAAAGAGACATGGAGTCTACTTCTAGACCTAATGCACCATTCATTCTTGTTGAGGTAATTTTGTGATTTTTCCCAGCTTACCAGCTATCCATATTCCTACAAGGCTTGCAGTGTGACTTAAATGTTTCTTTGCAGTTGCAAACTCAAGTTGGCTTTTAGAACCCAATTGTCTAAATAAGGGACAACAGAGATACCCTTTTCTCAAAGTCCATCTGCCAGAGGAATTAGATGTTTGGTAAAGATTTTTAAAGCTGTAGAAAGGCAGAACATGAAGGGCTTTGAACTGGAAGTGTAAAACCCTTGTTCCAGACTTGATTGCAAATCTCAGGTATTTCCTTAAGATAGGCGTCCTGCGTCCTTTAATTCTAAGGTGGCCATATAATCTCCTTGCGTAGCATGTGGGTAATTGCTAAAAACCTCTCCATTCGGAATCTTTGATATTGGATGCATGCATTCCCATTCTTTAAATCTGAGACTAGACATAAAGTGTTGTCTTGTTTTACTACTATGAAACGTCTTTTATAGACCCCTTGAAAATGTACTTCTTTGGAACTTTTTGTATGACACCTTTTCAGAGAAGAACCAAAGATTTGGCTAGCAGAGCATCTATCTTTACTTGAGAGGAGTATGTTGAACAAAAGAATTGAGAAGAAGGAACCTCCAGAAATCTTATCTTGCACTATAGTGGTCATTTCCCATTGCTGAATGAACGCATAAAGTCTTCCTCCCACTCTCTGTATGGCATCATAATTTCCTCCTTTTGTCTTGACTTTTATGAGATTGCTTCTCACCGGGCATAGCATCCTGTGCCTGTCTGAGGAAACTGCAAAACCATTCATTATATCAGTATGATCTTTGTGTGATTTGTGTTCCATCTACTACTCCTATCTTGAGGGAGAGCCTTTTTAGTACCAGACATCTGCTCAATCATTTCTTATAGTGGAGGACTAAACAGCTTTTTGAATGTAAGCTCACATACAGCTACCTTAGAAGCTGTCTCTGCAGTACAGGATTTCAGCCAGATCTCCTGCCTGGCAACTGATTGTAAACTCATGATCCAGGCTGACAGTTTCACAACTTCTTCTGTCATGTCACATAAATAATCATTACCTATTCTAATGGTTTTTAAGCAGGTGATTTAATTTTTTGTCTGTTCCTTTTGGATACCATCTTACAGAAACTGTAACCAGCCACTGATGCTCCAGCAATGCTGGCCTTATTTTGGAAGGCTGCAGTTTGAAATGTTCTCCTGCATGAAGTCTCTGCACACTTGTCCATGGAATCCTTGAAACCAGCCACTTCTCCAATAGGAATGTTGACCTGCAAATTTACCTCTGGCAATTCGTCCCAGTTTTCAGAATCTTGCAATTTGGAGATTTGTTTGAAATGCTTTAACATGAAAGGTTTTTTTTCTGGGTTTTTCTGTTTTCGATGGATAAGAGTCAAGAACCTTGGATGCACTGGAAATTATTTCCCTTTTTTCTGCAGCGTCTTAACCTCCTCCATGATACTTGTGAAAATGTGAATCAGGTGTGGACTTTTGGCTAAAGGCTTCTGACCAATATGAATGGGAGCAATACCCTGAAGACATGCATTCCAACTGATGTGTGCAGACTCCTTGTCTGCTCAATCATAGGCATGCCACCCAGGACCTCCTCCACATAATTTTTTTCTGTTTGATGGAGCATATTATCACCAGGTGCAGGGGACGGCTATGGTGACGTCTTGTGTACCCTCATATGCCAACCTGCACCTTGGTTGGTGGGAAGAAGAAGTGGTGTTCATATCCCCCTCCAAAAATCCCCTGACCCAGTTCATTTATCTTTGGAAAAGGTATATCGATGATATCATAATCATCTGGACTGGGTCAGGGGAACAATTTTTGCAATTTGTGCAAGGTCTGAATGTAAATGATCTAAATCTCAAATTCACGGCTGAGATTGGAACCCCATCTCTCAGCTTTTTGGATTTGATGATTTCTCCAGAACAACATGGCACTATTAAAACAAACTTATTCAGGAAACATACTGCGACTAACAGTTTACTGAATTGGAAAAGTTATCATCCAATTCCACAGAAAAAAGGGATCCCTACGGGCCAATATCTACGTTTGAGGCGAAATTGCTCAGACATAGAGGATTTCAAGATCCAAGCAAAGGAGTTACGTCTTATGTTTAGGTCCAAGGGATACCCCAATAAGGGCACTCCTAACTGAACAGGAAGCCTTGCTAAGTGAAAATACCCCTATGACCTCTTTGCTGAAGGAAGGGGATCAGAAACAACTTAGGTGTGTTGCCACCTTCGACGCCGGCTGGGACCAGGTTAAGACCATCATGAATCGCTTCTGGCCTCTATTAAAACAAGATGCACATTTGAGGGATGTTCTTCCGTCACATGCATCCCTAACAGCTAGGAGGGGGAGGAATCTGAGGGACTCCTTAGTACATAGCCATTTTCAACTTCATAAATCTCCGACACACTGGCTTTCAGATAAAATTAAAGGTACCTACAAATGTGGAAGGTGCAAAGCTTGTAGCTTCATAAGTTTGAATTCAAAAATTTTTAGTAACAGCCAACACACGGAACATTTTAAACCTTTGTCGTTTTTCAATTGCAACTCTAAAGGGGTAGTCTATTTAATTACGTGTCAGTGTCAGCTTATGTATGTTGGTAAAACTTTTCGCCCCTTTAAAAGGCGAATACTGGAACATATAAATTCTGTAAAGACAACACGAAATCTGGAGACGTCTGTCTCCAGACATGTTAAGACAGCCCACAATGGGGACCCTACAGTTCTAAAATTTCTGGGCATTGAATTGATTAAACCAGACCAGAGGAAGGGCAATTGGGACCAACGCCTGAGAAGACGTGAATGTTATTGGATTTATCGTTTGAAAACATTGTCCCCGAGGGGGCCTTAATGAGGGCTTCTCATATTCTTTATTTATTTAAAAGTCTCTATAATATTTTTATTTTGTACACCTCCATATCTTGGTTAGTCTTTCTTGATAGTTGATTCTAACTTCTCGTTAATTCTTCACTGTTATTCACTGATGATAAGCATTATATGATAATGAAACCAGTTGCCCTCCCTCCCCCACCCCTCCTTTCTCTTTTTACACACTATATAGCCGTCATTACACATAACTGTTGAGGAAAATACTTTCCCTTATTTGAAAGTGAACTATGTACTTACAATGGAATAATTATGGTAATCTTTGAATCCATCATGTTGTCTTATTATATGTTATTTTCCTTAAAAAATTATCGATACTGTCTCATGACCTTTTGGTCACATAGTATGTTGTATATTGTGCAGCTGCTCTTCAATAACCATTGACATTATTTTTTGACTTCTCTGTCATATGTTATGTAGTTGTTTTCAGCACATAAATGTGGCAGTGAATATTCTCTCTTTATTTTAAAGCAAACCATATATTGGCTATCGCAACTAGATAGTTGAAATTGCACAATCATAGCAATTTATAAATTAAATATGCCGTTTATTATATGGTTCTCCCCTTTTTAAAAATTATCGATATCCTTTCATGATTCTTTGCTTATGCATTATATAATTCTTAACAGCGCATAACTGTTGTGGCAAATATCCTTTTTATTCTAATAGCGAATTATATATTCGCAATTGAAATTACATATACGTTAAAATTGTACAGCTATGGCAAATTATAAACCTACTATGCTATTCTATCAGATGTTCCCTTCGTTCTATAAAAATTATGGATACTCCCTGGAAACCCTTAGTTTATACCTGAGGCTTACGATCGTTAATATTATGAGGACATCGATATACAGTTAATTTATGAATTACTTCTGCCATATTACATCTTCATTCATCATAGGTAATTATTTATTTTTATGGATATCTTCTCCCTTTTGTAAGAATTATAACTATTGGGCAGACTGATGATCAATGTTTTGAGATGTCTTTGGAAGCATTTGCAATGATATAAAAATAATTAGGACGGACTAAGGTATCGATACTTTGCTCCATTGTAATTTCTACATAGTTCATTACTAGCCGATATTACTATTTCTTGTTTTTTCGTGACCATTAGTGAAGAGAGAGATTCTAATTGGTCACTCATACTGTCAATTTTTCTATGTTAAGAGAAATTGACATTCCATGTGGGGGGCTCTGACAACGTCACCAATGACGTGGTACAGTCTGTGCATTGATTGGCTAGTGTGAAAGCCCCACGTGGATGCAATTTCAATATTGTCTGACGTTAGTATTATCTGAACATTGATTGGCTACTGATGTATTTAAACACTGGGGATGTTTAGGCGGGAGCTTCTTAGCTGACGAAGGAGTCCTTGCACTCCGAAACGCGCGTCGGGCGTTTCAGCTCTTTATCCCTTCACTTCACTTCACTTCACTTAGCACTATGCACTTGAAGGGATTTGTTTTTGTTTTTTATCTTTTATTTTTCACTTTTTTGTAGTGAGTAGTTTTGTTGATGTATATAGTCTAAGCATTATCTAATACTTCATCGAGGGCTGATGTAGACACCGGGTTTAAGAACAGCTTTAGCATAGAACACTCACGAAGGTGTTTCTAGGAGCTTACAGGGAACAAGTCTAGCGGTGTCTATTGCAGCAGCTCTGTATAATCATAGCATATTTAGTTAATTGGATCTTTAGATGAAGACATTGATCAGTTTCCCTTATAATAACAAGCTTTATTCCCGGCTAGGCAGATCGTACTGATGATTGTGGATTGCTACAAACTTACTCCCAGTTTAGACAATTAAGGGGGGGATATAGTTTGTATCTTATTCAGCCATCGTTTACATTTTAGTTTCTTTTGGGCATCATGATGTCAATAAAGCTTATTTGCCCCTATATTTATCACTTTTTGCCCTAAGATACTTTTTGATTTGTTAGAGATACTAGAATTTTTTATTGCTTATATTCTATATACCTTTCAAGAATTCTCCAAGAGATATTGTATTCATGGTGTATTTATTATTTATATCAGTTACTTGAGGGACCTCCTTGAGGGTGCCCTCCCAATTTAGTTATTTCTGCCTTCCTCCTCCAATGTTTGTTGCACTTCCTTAGTGCAAATTGAAATAAAATGGAGCTACACAGACATCACTACCTTTCAGTTCTCAACCCAGGGAACTGTCAGACTAATTCCACAAGTAACAGCTAGTGCACTTCACCAAAAAAGAACTCCAAAGAGGCTCCTGTGCCACACAAGTATACGTTTTGGGGCCTAGTGATGGTATTGGGCACTCTGGGCCAGCTGAAGAAATATTTTGATCTGCCCATCTGGCCCATTTAAGTCAGATAACCTCACGTGGCATGAAAAGGCATCCAACATGCCATGCATGGCACGCGTACTGTAGGTTGCCGACCTTTTGCCTACAATATACAATTCTAGTCAGTAAAATTATTATTCAACAAAGAAAGATTGCTTAATCTTGAAAATGATTTAATTTGGTCTCATACATTTTTTGTTATAGCAACTAAGTGACATTCAATATACAAAAATAAAAATAAAATCAAAACTTGATAAAGAAATAGAATAGCACAATTGTGCCCTCACCTGTAAAGACAAATCCTGCCCTGGCCAGATCAGCAGGTCGAATCCTAGAATAGAAAGGCCAACAGGCAAAGGACAGTAACCTTGACTCCTCCGTCATTAAATTTTGTATATCTATCTGATTGATCTCTGGCTGCTGAACACGGACCTCATATTTAGGAATGTTACCAGTGTCTTTACCTTGTATAAAAGCACAACTTGGATTGTATTTGATGTGCTTTTCATATGGAAATGTCCTCATGCTCGTTGTGCAAATAATAAGGCCACAGCAGAAGCACTGGATACTATGTTCCTCACCAGTGAAATAAAGTCCAGCTCTGGCCATCTTCTTCGGACACCATGTGGACAGGTGTCTGTATGAGAAGAATGACTGGAGCCTTCTGACTTCACTTCTCATTCCAGCATTGTAACCTTTATTCCGTTTCCAGACCCTTTTCCGAATTTCAGCATTTATCGTATTTTCATTGACAGCCAGCTGCTGAAAATCTAAGTTCAAAAATAGAAGCTTTCTTTCCATCTCAACGGGATCAGCCTCGTCGATATCCAAGAAATTCTCTGTCTGATTTCCAGTTTCAGGTTGCTGTACATCAGTTATCTACAGAGAGATAATTATAGATCACTTCATCTGAATTTCAGATTGCTGTTCAGGTTAATCAGGCTAATTTAGATGATGACATTTGTTTGTTTCACATAACAGGGTCATTGTAAATTTCAAAAACCCATAGAAGGACAGGACATACAATAAAGCAACACAAAAAATATAATAATTTAAATAAAAACTAATCATCTGCAACAATATATTCTGAAAAAAATATATACATTTCTAAACAAAGAAATTAACAGAAATAACAGAAAAAAATATTAATTATTAATATTATTAAGAACATAATAGAAAAAGAAATGTGTGCTCTATCGTGTCTAGGTATGTTACATACGTTAAGTGTATTGTAAAACTGTTTGTCTGTGAGAACTTCAATCAACCCCTTGAAAGACAGCAGGCGTTCTATGCCACCCTTAAAGAGCGGTCCTAAACACCGGTGGGCAGCAGCCCATGTGTGCGCCACCATTCGTCCACTGCAGATTGCGGTCAGGGAATCTGTCTGGCGATCCAGGCAGTCCCCTGTGACCAATGACCGAGATCTGCAGCATGTTATCGCAGTGACAGCCAGGCACTGCGATCACTGTTACAATGTGTCAGCCAATGATTTGTAATATTGTCTGACACATTCCCTCTGCACCTCTCCTTCACCTCACTTTGATCTGAGAGAGAGAGACAGAGAGATCTTTGATAGTTACTGTGTGAAAGGTTTTTAAATGTTTTACATATCAAATTTGTTTAACCCTTTCAGTGCTGATCACAGCATTAACACTGTGATCAGCCTGATTAAGGGCATTCAGTATTTTTGGATTTGTTTTATACCTTAATTCCCTGGTTGTCCGTTGGGGTCCCTGGTGGTCCGGTGGCCATAATATCCGGTCTGCAACTCTGATTGATTGATCAGAGCTTGCAAGACACATGTTCTGCAGCTCTGCACATTGCGGAGCTGAGGACCGGTGTCTGCGATGGGCACAGGAGGGGCATCGCACCCGGCGGCATATCAAGCAAGCCAACGGGCCCCCTCCTGGTGTCGGGTCCTCAGTCAGTGACCCAGGATCCGACACAGTCTGCCCCGGGAACCCCCCTAGTGAGTGACACCCGGGGCGGACCACCCCGCCGTTAGAACGCCACTGTGTCAGTATGTCTGTCAGTATATGTATTTCTGTGAGTGTCAGTATGTCTATCCCAGTGGCGGATCCAGAGCCTGATCTCGGGAGGGGCACTTGTAGATTATTTAAAGAAATAATCCAGACACAATAACCACTACAGCTCAGTGTAGTGGTTATGGTGTCAATAGTGCCGGGACCCCCTCCCACAGTAAGTAGTCAAACCGTTTAAGAACAGTTTGACAACTTACCTGAGATCTGCTGGGAAATGGGGCTGTAGTAGGGCATAGGAGCAGTGGTGTGTGTGAGTGGTGCAATGTGTAAGGGGTGCAGTGTGTGTGTGAAGGTTGTAGTGTGTGAGTGAGGGTGTATGTCAGGGATGCAGTGTATGTGTGGGTCAGTATGTGTGTGTAACAGTTGCAGTGTGTGTGTATGGGGGGCAGTGTGTGTGTATGGGGGGCAGTATGTGTGTATGGGGGGCAGTATATGTGTATGGGGGGCAGTGTGTGTGTATGGGGGCGGTATGTGTATTGGGGGAGCAGTGTGTGTATGTGGGGGCAGTCGTGTATGGGGGCAGTTGTGTATGGGGGCAGTTTGTGTGTATGGCGGGCGGTTGTGTGTGTATGGGGGCAGTGTATGTGTGTGTATGGGGGGCAGTGTGTGTATGTGGGGCAGTATGTATGTGGGGCAGTATGTGTGTATGTGGGGCAGTGTAATGTGTGTATGGGGGGCAGTGTGTGTGTGATGAGGGGCAGTTGTGTGTATGGGGGCAGTTTGTGTGTATGGGGGGCAGTGTGTGTGTATGTGGGGGCCAGTGTGTGTGTGTATATGGGGCAGTGTGTGTGTGTCTGGGGGGCAGTGTGTATGGGGGGCAGTTTGTGTGGGGGCAGTGTGTGTGAATGGGGGGCAGTTTGTGTGAATGGGGGGGCAGTATTGGGGGCAATTTATGTGTGTGTGGCTTTTTTTTTATAATAATTTTTTTTTAATTTAATTAAAATATATATTTATGTCCCCCCTCCCTTCTTACCTTTAATGGGGGCAGGGGGGACATTTCCCTGGTGGTCCAGTGGGGGATTCCCTGGTGGTCCCAGAGGGGACAGTGAAGTCTAGCCCGCGCTCCCGGGCTAGAGTTCACTCTCGCGAGATTTGGAGCGTTGCCGTGGTAACCGCGGCAACGCTTCAAATCTCACGAGAGGAGGACCCGGAGGAGCTGCAGCCTTAGCTCCCGGGTCCTCTCTCTCACGCCCTCTCCCTCCCCCGCCGGCCGCCAGCATAGTGCCTGCGGACGGGGGAGGGAGATCTGTGATCTTCCCCCCGGTCCGCAGGCACATTGCAAGGCTGGCACTTGCATGTGCTGCTGGCAGGGGAGGGAGAGGGAGACCGGCGGATTTCTAGGGGGGGGCAATTGCCCCGTTGCCCCCCCCTGGATCCGCCACTGGTCTATCCATGTATGTATCTGTGTGTGTCAGTATTGTGTGTGTCAGTATGTCTGTCAGTGTGTGTATCTGCATGTGTATCAGTGTGTACTTGTGTGTCTGAGTATCTGCATGTGTGTCAAGTTGTGTATCTCTGTTTGTGTTTGTGTATCACAGTGTGTGTGTGGCAGTGTATATATGTGCATATATCTCAGCATTCAAACTCCAACACTACACACAAATATAACCCTGCATTCAAATTTCAACACTACATGCATACACACTCCTGCATTCAAATGTCAACACTACATACAAACACACCTCTATGTTAAACACCATTCCATGATCCATTTCTCTATGATCCACTTTTAATGCTCACATCCCCATTGAAGGAGCTTTCGGTGCTGGATAGGGGTCATTACAGGCACTCTAAATGGTCAGCCCCAATATGCAGCAAACTGTGATGCACTTTGTGTTCTGACACCTTTCTATCATGGCCAACATTAAGTTATTGTCACAGCACCCATTCGGCACCCATTCTGCTGCCGCGTTCCCAATCCCAATCAGTGTGATCATATGGAAAGGAGGAAGGGAGACTAAATTTTAGTTAAACAGCATGCAGCCCATCATACTGCTGCTGCAGTGCCCAACTAGTCCATCAACATTAAGGACGAAGTTCCATGGTGTTATATAGCTCCAGCTTGATCATGTCATAATTGACGTAAGCATAGGTGGATCATCTCGTCATCGACGCGCAATCAAGTTTTGGGGTCAAAGGGCCCATCACAACCAATCAGAAATGTTTTCATGTTATGTAAAAACCTAATGTGCCTGTATTCAGTCATGGTTTCCACCTGCTGGTTATTAGAGAGTGTGATCTTGTTATTGTTTATCTGTTTTTAGATCTTGCCTTGTTCCTGACTATCCCTAATTCTATTATCCTTGGTTTTGTCTATTTGTTCTTATATCTGTCTGTGTCCCTGACCTCAGCTTGTTACCGACTATTCTTTGTATGTTAAATCTGACCATTCTAAGGTCCGGTAACATACTATATCTATTTTAGTATTTTTATTCGTGTGTTTCTTAATTCTGCATATTGTGCCACTATATCATCCTGACCTTTTTTCACAAATTTGAACTACAGTAGATTTTCTGTGCGATCGCCCCTGAGTTTGCCTTCGCTCCCCACGTGCATCAATGAGCCTTGGGCACCCATGATCCTGACAGTGTATTACGAGTTGTCCTTCCTTGCAATACTTCTGGTAGGTACTAACCACTACATACCGGGAACATAGGCGTGCGCAGCCTATTGCATTAGGGTGTGCACCCTAAAGCACAAACATACGCCGCGTGTGTGTGTGTATATATATATATATATATATACACATATATATATATATATATATATATATACATATATATATATATATATATATACATATATATATATTCACAGACACACACACTCACAGACACACTCACACACACTGACACACACATACTCACACACTTACAGACACACACTGACACACACACACACACACACTCACTGACACACTCACTGACACACACACTCACAGACACATACTCACACACTCACACTGACACACACTCACAGACACACACTCACACACTCACAGACACACACTGACACATACTCACACACTCACTGACACACACACTCACAGACACATACTCACACATTTACACACAATCACAGACACACACTCACACACTCACAGACACACACTGACACACACACACTCACAGACACATACTCACATACTCACACACTCACTGACACACACAGACACACACTCACACACTCACTGACACACACTCACACTCACAGACACACACACTCACAGACACACACACACACACACTGACACATACACACTCACTGACACACACTCACACTCACAGACACACACACTCACAGACACACACACACACTGACACATACTCACACACACACTGACACACACACACACAGACAAATTATTATATTTAAAAAAAAAAATTTAAATGTCCACCCAGCCTCCTACCTGGAGTGCTGGTGGACTTGTTCCTGGGGTCCAGTGGGGGCAGGCGCCTTTCTCCAGCTCAGCCGCGGCGAGGGAGCTCTCTGCTCTCTGCTTCCTCTCGCCGCGCGGGCTGTCTGCTGTAACTGGGAGCCGGAATATGACGTCATATTCCGGCTTCCGGCATCAGCGCTCGGCGAGAGGAAGCAGAGAGCTCCCTCGCCGCGGCTGAGCTGCAGGGTGGGGGGGAATCATCACCTCTTGCCCTCCCATGACAGGGGCAAGAGGTGAAACAGGGGACACTGAGTGCCTGCAGGAACAGCGTTCCTGCTCAAAAAAAGTATAGGAACGCTGTTCCTGCAGGACTCAAACCATAGGCGTGCGCACGGGGATTAGGGTGTGCCCAGGCACACCCGGCACACCCCGTGCGCACGCCTATGACCGGGAACACCCCACAAGACTTGCTATTTTGAAGATTCTTTGTCCCTGTTGTCAAGCCATCGTTATTTGTCAAAGTCACTCAGATCTTTTTGCTTGCACATTTTTTCTGCTTCCAACACATGAAATTCAAGAAATGACTGCTGCCTAATATATCCCACCCCCTAACAGGTTTGATTGATTGTAATGATATCATTTTATATGTGGATATATTTTGTATTAGTCCACACAGCATAAAATGATCACGCAGTGTGACTAAATCCCAATATGTTCCATATAAGTTAGGTGTGTTTACATGGGTGTTTTTGTCCCCAGACTGGTCATTGGGCAGACTGTGCAAATGCCCAATGGACCGTGCTGCCCATGCCGAGACAGCCTTGTTGTCTGCCTTCAAAGGCTGGTGACAGGATCAAAGATCTCCCTCACTGGCCACCTGATACTTCATTGCAGAGCGGAGTGACCGAGAGGCTGAACTCTAGCCTGCTTCCAGATGAGCTGCAGGCCAAAGTCACTCGCCATCACAGGACCACCAGGGTTTGCAATGTCCCACCTTCATGGCAAGAGGTAAGAAAGGAGCTGGAATATATATATTTTTTTGTTTTGTTTTGTTTTTTCTTATTTAACAAATATATTTGTTCTCTTATCCCCCCCACATACACACTATATTATTATTATTATTTTATTATTTATATCGCGCCAGCAAATTCCATAGCGCTGTACAATGCTACACCCCTCACACATTACAACCCTACACACACTGAACCAATCACACACACTTCAACCCCAATGTCCTGCACCCCTACACACACAGCATCCCTCACACAAACAGCACCTCTCACACTGTTATGTACTCTGTTACATATTTAACAGAAGGAGCCCAGGTAGCAGGAATGAGCCAAAGGGAGGTACCGCAGGAATAAAGAAACTTGTAGTCAGGGAAAGCCAGTGGGCAGAACGGGCAGCACAGGTTCACAGATGATTAGACTAGCGGAGGGTCAAATACCAGATAAATCAGACATGGCAGGTTTAGACGTACTGAAGTTAACACCATAGCGAGCACAATTTAACTGAGCACTGGAGACATGTTGGGATGAGGTTTTATAGGAGAGAGGTTTACACCTCTCCCATTAGTTAATGGGTATTTGCCTATTAGATTCTCTCCCCTTCAAGAGGTGGTTCACTAGGTGTACGCACACTCGTGACAGCCTGGACTGTGGAGTGACTGTGGGCCATGGCGAGATGCGAAGAGCCACGGTGCCACTGTAATACAGGATTCAGATGCTTTCCTCCCTCACCAGTGTGCGCTGAGGAGGGACCGTGTCAGCCGCGGGGAGAGATGCAGCGAGGGAGTCACAGGTGAGTGCTCTGACACACACACACACAACACTCCTAACACATATTAGATCTCCTATAGACATTGCATCCCTTATACACACACTGCACCACCTACACATACACTACATCCCCTATGAACATTCTGGATCCCGTATGCACACAGTAGATCCCCTGAACACAAACACTATATTCTCTAAACACGCACTCTCTACAATGCATACACAAACTATGTCACCTACACAAACATACACTAAAGTCCCTATGCAAACACTCTCTGCATCCTTCATACACACACTGTACCCCCTATATACACACACTACAGTACCAATACACACACTCTCTACAGCCCCTAGCCACACATATCACACCACAAATACAACCTATTTACACAAAACAATACACCACAATCACCACAATCACTTTACATACATTCAATCCCACATGCAGCCTTCAAACACATGTACAATAAGCTCTCTTGGCCCTTTTGTTCTCCTATGAAGATACCAGAGATATGTTACAAGCAAACACAGAGCTAGCGGGTAATTCAATTTGTTTGCACTGCGTAGAACAAATAAAGAGTCTTTTTATCACGTGAGAGCTCTTCAGCATGGCTCTGCGCATGGTCTGACCTGGAAGGACTTTGAATCAACATGCTTACTTCGAGAGGGTACAAGCTTGTCACTGGTGATGACAAAACACCCCCCTCTAAGGCCACGCCCCCTACGCACTGGGCCGCTGTGATTAAAAAATGCCCGGGTGAAGTTTTTTCCCTAGTACAGCCCTGTTCGCAGGGCAGCCATCAGGGCATGACAACCATAACGTTGTCATGGGCCCGCCGGTCCTGGGGGGCCCGGACTGCTCAGGTCGTCCGGGCCCCACATTCAGTGGTGTACATACCGGGTTGCAGGGGGCCCTGCAACCCTGGTATGTACCCACTGGGCCAGCCTCTTCTCCCCCAGAGGCTGGCCCTGCTGACACCTGGCGGGCACGCGAGGGAGCACTCTCCCTGGCTGAGTGCTTCCTCTTCAGCTCCCTCGCGCACCGCACTGATGCCGGAGCCGGAAGATGACGTCGCGAGGGAGCTGAAGTGGAAGCACTCAGCCAGGGAGAGTGCTCCCTCGCGCACGCGCCCGCCTGCAGGACCGACCGCCGGGTGACACCACTGGACCCCAAGGAATCCCCTCAACACTCCTACAGGTAGGGAGGCTGGGGGGATGGAAAAAAAAAGTATAGGGGGGGTGAGGAAGGAAATTTGGGGGAGAGGAGGAAGATTTGAGAGGAGGGGAAATTTGAGGAGAGGAAAGGAAGAGCCGGGGAGATTTGAGGGAGGGGGGAGAGGAAGGAAGTTAGAGGGGGGGAGAAGGAAATTGGAGGGAGGGGAGAAGGTAATTGGAGAGGGGGGGAGAAGGAAATTGACGGGGGGAGGGGGAGAAGGAAATTGACGGGGGAGGGGGAGAGATTGACATCACACACACACAATGCACCCCTTGCACACTGATTAACACACAATGCATTACACACAGACACACATACACAAGCAATGCATCCCTTCCACACAGCAACACACATTGCACCCCTTACACACACTCAATGCATCCCTTACAGACGCACACACTGCATCCCATACATACACAAACTCACCTTGCAGCCCTTACACATACAAACACAGATTCACACAATGCATTCCTTACACACATCAGGACATCCCCCACACACTCCACCCCCTGTGAACAAACTCATTGGTGGAACATGAAGGTGGACCCTGGGACCCAGACCTTGAGCTGTGTAAAGGGCCCCAAAAAAATGGAGCTGCTTCCCGTTCTCCCAGAACATTGATTTTTGTGACCACAGTTACAAACCGCCTCCAGAGAGCCTGTTCTACACCAGACCAGTGGAGCCAGGCGGCAGCTAGAGCCCATCATCATCCTCATCTGGTTGTAAGTAGGCAATCTAGTATATTATTCGTGGCACTAATCTCTAATTTACCTCACATTAAAGGGACACTATAGTCCCAGAACCACTGCAGCTTAATGTAGTGGTTCTGGTGTCTAGCCTGTCCCTGCAGGCCTTTTAATGTAAACACGGCGGCACTGCAGCACTGGTGTTAGTTAACATGGCAGATCATATGGGTGGGGCATTGTGATGTCACATGGGGGGGCGGCAAACTTTACTTTTGCCTAGGGCGGCAAAAATCCTTGCACCGGCCCTGCAGACACGGCAGCACTTTGGGCAGACTCGGGTACAGGCACCGGGGGGCCCAGACCTTGAGCTGTGTCAGGGGCCCCAAAATTTCTGATGGTAGCCCTGCCAGTTCGTGCCTTCATCATCACCACTTCAGGTTTACATTTTGATTTTATTTTTTTACATTTTGTACAATAAAAGTTCTAGTATCCCAATTTTGTGTTGAGTTACATTTGGCAAACTATTTGAGAGCAAAGCAAAGTTATACTAAACTGACCATGAACCAGAAACTATGTGACAAACACTCTCAGGTTGCTGAAGTACCTGTAGTTGTTAAATAATCTACGTTCATGTATGCATGCACATATTTACATATACACACAGTCTTGGGAGATGTCAGTAACTTATCTAGTCACAACAAGATCTTACTAATAAAAAAAAAGCTAAAGAGATATATGATACCAGCATTATTGAGAAGACTCCTGCCCCATCAATAAACAAGGAAACATAACAGAGTTAAAGTATAGTGAAAGAAAAAAAATACATGCAAACCACAGATTTTATCCTATACAGTGTTGGTAATTGTTTTCCCACAGGACAGGGTAGAACAAGCATGTCAAACTCAAAGTCTAGACAAGGTTTAAGTTTATATGGACCACAAAAAAAAAAAAAAAGTACAGAAAAGTACAGTATAAAAAAAAAACAGCATCCCTCTCTACTAAACCACAGCACCCCCTCTACTAAATCCCAGTTCCCCTCATATTCCAAATCCCAGTTCCCCCTCTACTAATTCCCAGCACCCCCCTCTAGCCAACAAGCAGACTCCACTCACATTGTCACTGCCAGTATTTGACTCCGGAGTCAGGCCTCTGGTATACGCCAAATGGCGCCGTCCTCACCCTGTGCCAAAGTGGATCCTTCTGCTACTTTTTTAAACCCCGTGAAGGTGGAGCACGTCAAGGTCACGTTGGAATGTGACATGGCGCTGCATGCCTCCGTGCACCTCCAGGTCCTCCACTGTCCAGCCGCGGCCATCGCAACACTGACCGACACACACACACACTCAGTGACACATACACACAAACACTCACTGACAGACACACAGACACACTCACAGACACACACAGACTTACTGACACACACACACACCGCAAGACACAAACACACTCACTGACACACACACACAGACACACACACTCACTGACACAGAAAAACACAGACAGACACTCACTGACACACACATTTACACATTCTTGCACACACTCACTGACAGACACACAGTCACTGAGAGACACACACACAGATACAAACATTTACACATTCTTGCACACTCTCAAATCATTGTATTTATCCATGGGGTCCAGTGAGGATCTTCTATCTGGAGATCTCCTTGTTGCTGCTCACTGCTCCCTCACGTGCGCAGTATAGTGATGCCGGGTGCAGGAATGTGACGTCATATTCTGGCACCCAGCATCACTACAGACGGCATGCATGAGGGAGCAGTGAGGAGCAGAAAGACTGAGTTCCTTCAGCGACCTCTCCTCCCAGCCGGGTAAAATTTAACAGAGTAGGCACCTGCAATGTGGAGATAGCAGGTGCCTACTCTGCTTTAACACTAAGCATGTACTCGTGGCTCGCTGGCTGCAAAGATGTCCATTATGGGTCGCGAGTTTGACATGCTTGGGGTAGAACATCTTGATAGTGATAGAACCACCCAAAATGCTAGGAATTCACATTTGAATGTATCATAAAGTAGTCAAGGATCTAAAAGGCTATTCTCAGCTAGTGAATGCCGATTACTTTACATTCTGCATCAAACTATTTTTCTGTGTGATATGAATGTGATTCAGTAATTTCTAAATCTAAACCATGGGGTAAATCAGTTGTATCTTCTGTGGCTGGGAAAGTATTTGAAAGGTTATTAAGCGATAATATTCAGGAATATATTTGGAACAACATTGTTATTTGCAAAAATCTACATGAATTATGTGAAACTAACTTAATTGAATTTTACAAAGAAGTAAGTAGAAGTATAGATTAGGGTGTTGTAGTGATTGTGATCTACTTGGATATTGCCACAATAGGTTAGTGTTCAAACTAAAGGAAATTGGTCTAGATGAAAAATTGTTTTCTTGGATAGAACAGTGGCTTAAAGATAAAATACAGAGAGTTGTCATAAATGGTAAATGTTCAAGTTGGACAATAGTGATGTCAGGTATACAGAGAGATCCAACACGCAGTGTACAATGATATATCGGACCTTGGAGTGGCCAGGCTTCGTGTACAAAAGACAGAGAAGTGCCGGGGACAAACCAGAGTCGGGGAAACCAGAAATCAGGAGTTATGAGGTACAATAGCTGAGTCATAGATAGGAGAATAGTCAGTAATAGCCAAGATCAAAATCAGAAATCCATTGAGAGGAATTTAATGCACTATTTGGTAACCAAAACAGATCCACAACAGGACAAGGACCCAGCAAACTATTTATAGCCTGGCACTAATTTTATAGCCGCGCCCCCAAAATGTTAGAATTCACAAATTTTGGCAAGCTGTGATTTCATTGTCGCTCTGACGTTAGTGCACACACACCACATCATAAAATGGGGCAGAGCTACAGCAGCCGGTGTTTGGACCACTGGAGAGAGGAGGGGGACCATGTGGAATGTCCCCAACCCTCTGCTGAGGTCCCCTAGGTTAAGCAATGTTGTACATAATACAAGGTACCCTGACAAGTGGTAAGTGGCATCCTACAGTGTTCTGTTCTGGGGCTGCTTCTATTTAGCATAAATGATCTTGAACTGGGTATTGAAAGTTATGTTTCAGTATTTGTAGATGACACAAAACTCTATAAAGTAATACAATGTGAGCAGGGTATTACTTTGCTGAAGAGGGATTTAGATAGATTGGGGAACTGTGCACACAAATGGAAGATGAAATTTAATGTAGAAAAAATGCAAAGTTATGCATTTTTGGGATAAGAATGCACAAGCAACTTATACCCTAAATTGTAGTGAATTAGAGATAACAACACATGAGAAGGATTTGGGAATTGTTAGAGACAACAAACTAGGCAACAATATGCAGTGGCTAAAACCGGTAAGGTATTGTCATATATAAAAAGGGACATTCTTGGGATGAAAATATAATTTTGCCTCTTTATAAATCACTTGAAAGACCACACCTTAAATATACTGTGCAATTGTGGCTGCCAGGTCTAAAGAAGAATAGTATAGCACTAGAAAAAGTGCAGAGGTGAGCTACAAAATTAATAAAAGGAATGGAACATTTTAGTTATGACAAAAGGTTAGCAAATTTAAATACAAACCATTGTCTGGAAATCTGTTCATAAATAGGACTAAGGTCACAAGGTCACGCATTTAGACTGGAAGAATGGAGATTTAGTCTAAGGCAAAGGAAAGGGTTTTTTGTGTGTCATTGACCCAGGGTTGCAAGGTAGAGGTTCCTCTTGCTTGGCTGTGAATTTTACAAGGGACCTTTTTTGTTCCATGTTGCTACCAGCCGGAACGATAAGAGACTTGTGTGTTTGTCCCGGACAGCCCCAGGCGGACCCATGAGGATCTCACCGGATCTGCCGTATTGTGAACTGGGGGAGGAGTGTCATGGACCTAGGGTTGCAAGATAGAGGTTCCTCTTGCTAGGCTGTGAGTTTTACAAGGGATCTTTCTTGTTTCGTGTTGTAATTATATGGACAAAATGGAATGTTTGTTTTTGTGGGGCTGAGGGTTATTTACAGCAAGAAAAAGAAGGACTTATGGGAAGAGGAACTGTGTGTACTGTTAATTACCCTATTGTATGCAAATGTCCCTCTGTGGGTATAACTACCTCTGCACAGCTGCAATAAAGTGAGTTCTGTTTAACCCCTACATGTAGTCTCGACTCATGGTGTGGGTAAAGACTATAATAACTGCTGATATATAGCGTATATCAACTAAACACTGCTTAATTTTGGACAGTGCAAGGTCCCCTTAAGGCTTATATTAGCAGACCTTAAAACTTTTGAAAGTCATATTATTTGTATCCTGGGACCTGTGATTAATGGGAAAGATTAAAGTATCTCCCCTGCCTGCCGATGCAGGGCAGTACCAGTGTGCTTGTCATTGGTGATGACATAACATGCTCCCCCCTCACTTTGGTCCCCGGCTATCCAATGCCCAGCCCTGATACTTACATATAGGATTACATGCAAACTGTTCTATAAATTATTCACTATATCCAACATTTCAAGATAAAGACCATTGAGGATAATTTTGTTCATTGGATTACATGATGGCTTTTCTTTTTATTGCCATGACGACAAATTGTAGATAATCTTTTTTTATAGTTTTTGTTTTCATTAATGAATGAAAGTAATGAAAATAAATTAAAATATTTGAAATATTTGAATTGTAAACTATTCAAACTGTTTATACTTGCTTAGATATATATAAAAAATAAAATTACAGCCAGTATTCTAATTATTATTATTATCGCCATTTATATAGCTCCAACAGATTCCGTAGCGCTTTACAATATTATGAGAGGAGGAGATTTAACTATAAATAGGACAATTACAAGAAACTTACAGGAACGATAGGTTGAATAGGGCCCTGCTCAAATGAGCTTACAGTCTACAGGAGGTGTGGTATAAAACACATTAGGACAGGAAATAGCAATCAAATAAGGTGTGAGTGAAGCAGATTAGCAGTTGGACATGTATTATATGCTGCGTAAATCAGCTCTATAAAACAGGTACTGGGTTTTCTAGAGAAGGCATCAGGATAGAGGGCAACGTAAAAAGAAAAATTCTAGGTAAAAATTCTGGGCAGAAATATTCAATTGTTTGCAATGGTTATTGCTCTATTTTTTATTTATTTTTTTTATTTGCAAATAACCTCAGAGTATGTTGTTTAATTTATTTTATTTTTTTCTTGTGCTTCCTGTAATGTATATTTCCCATAACAATGTAAAAATACCCATTAAATAAGTTCTTCTAGAGATTCACGGTAGTATTCTCCCCTTACCTTTTCCATGCTTCCCCTCTGTGTACGCCAACAAAATGGTAAAAGAAGAACACTGACTGTTATACGGATGTAACACTTTGCTCCTTCTTATCTCAGGTTCAGTCTATCACATGAGACAGATACGACCTTGTAAATTATTCGCGACTGTATTTCCTTACTGAAACTGTAGCCAGTAAAAACCTCCAGCCAATACGTTTAGGTTTTTTATTTGTTTTGGTTTTTTTGCACGACACAAACTTTGTCCTTTCATTTTTGTAAGCTCTTTCTTCTCAAACTAGAAAACTGTGTGATGAGATCAGTGCTGATAAAAATATTTTCTTTTATTCACTAAACACTGAATTGTAGTGAATTTGTTTTAAAAATGCAAACATTTGTAAAATTTAGCCAAAATTGCAGATTTAGAAAAATTACTCTTACTGTTGAGTGTTACATTGTAACTGGATTAAAACTACTATTGCCCCCCCCACACTGTCACACACCATGACCCCACACTGACAACCACACACCCAGCCCACCACATTGTCACACACCATGCCCACCACACAGTCACACACCCTGTTCCTCCACACTGTCAAACACTCTGCCCCCCTCCCCACATTGTCACACACTCTGCCCCCCCACACTGTCACACACTATGCTCCCCACATTGTCACACACTCTGCCCCCCCACAATGTCACACACTATGCTCCCCACATTGTCACACAACCTGCTCCCTCACACTGTCACACACACACACTGTCTCCCCCCCCCCCACACACACACACAGTCACACACATTTAAAAATAAATAAATAAAACTACAATAAAGTCTACCAAGAGCAATTAAAAAGCAGATGATGAAGGTATTGTTATAACTCGGGTCTCCAACGTGCAACATTCTTAATAGACTTGTGCACAGCTCAATCGTCTATGTGGCATATCAGTTCAGACAGTGTCGTAGGGTATCTAGTATGTAGGATTACAGTTGTGTGTATGTTAGGGGAGCAGTGTGTGCAATGTGAGTGTGAAGCGTGCAGTGTGTGTGTGAGGGGTTCAATATGTGTGTGAAGGGTTCATTTTATTGTGAGGGGTGCAGTGTGTGTGAGGGACGCCATGTGTGAGTGCAATGTGTGTGTGAGAGGGGTTCAGTGTGTGAGAGGCATGCAATGTGTGTGTGTGTGAGGATTGCAGTTGCATGAGTTGCAGTGTGTGTGAGGGGTGCAGTGTGAGTATGGGATGCAATTGCATTAGTGAGTGTTACAATGTGTGCAAGGGGTGCATTGTGTGTTAGGGGTTTAATGTGTGTGAGGAGTAAAATGTGTGTGAGGGTTTCATTGTGTGTGTGTGTGTGACGCTAGGTATAGACTTATATTGTGTGGGGTGGACAGATGGAAGAAAATATATACATATATATGTTTATTTTATTTTTCTCCAGGAAGGGGAACATAGTAAACCTTGTTGGTCAGGTGGTGGTACTGAGCCAACTCTAGCCTTCAGCACTGTTTGAGCATTACCATGGTAACCGCAGCAACGCTCCGAACTCATGAGAGTAACATTTCCGGTGAAGCTGCAGGTTAGAGCCCCCTGGTCATCTCCTCTCCTCTCTATTAGATTGAAGTGCCTGTGGGCCAGTAAGGAAGATTTTTGATCTCCCCCTCCGGGCTGTCATGACACACAGCAAAGCCAGGGCGTGGATAGTGTTGGTCCTGCATGGGCTGCCACGGGAGACCCTAAGTAATTTTTGTAAATCAACACTTTTTAAAAAATTTTACAAATGTTTGCATTTTGTTTTTAAATTTACTACGATTTGGTGTTTAATTAACAAAGTAAAATCGTTTTGTCAGCACTGATCTCATCACAAATAATTTATTGTTTAAATATTTTTTTGTTTTTCTTACAAGGAGACATGTTCTTGTACTCACTGTAATCTATATACTCCATAGCAACGTTAAAATAAGTTCTACATTCTACATAAGTTTTACATTCCTTCCTTTCCATGCTTCCCTTCTGTGTGCACCAGCAATATGGTAAAGAAGAACACGGTTATACAGCTGTAACAATTTGCTCCTTTTTATGTTCGGTTCAATTCTATCAAATGGGACAGATGATACCCTGTGACTGTATTAGTCAGCAAAAGCCTCCAACCAGTAAGTTTGGGTTTTTTCTATGTTGTTTTTTGCACATGATAAAAACTTTGTCCTTTCATTTTTGTAAGCTCTATCACATGGGACAGATACTACCCCGTGACTATATTGCCTCTAGCCAGTAAACACCTCCAACCAGCTCCAAGTTCTGTTTTTTTGCTATGTTGTTTTTTTGTTTTGTTTTTTTGCACATTATGCAAATTCTGTCCTTTCATTTTTGTAAGCTCAAAAAAAAAGAAAACTTTGTATGGGCTGGTAGCCACGTCCCTGGGATGAGGATTCCAACTGTCCCTTTGCAACATGCCTCTGTTGACTACAGGCACTCCAAGCACCTAGGCCACTTCTGCCCATTGGAGTGGTCTGGGTGCCAACTTCCACTACCCTTAAACCTGCAAGTGTAATTATTGCAGTTTTCCTAAACTGCAATAATTACCTTACAGGGTTAACTCCTCCCCTAGTGGCTGTCTACTAGACAGCTGCTAGAGGGCACGTCCGTGTTTATAGCACATGAAAAGGTGTGCTATAACGTTGCTTTACGTCCTCACACTGTGTGAGGACCTCCAGCATCACTGAAATGCCCATAGGAAAGCATTGAAAGCATTTTTCAATGCTTTCCAATGGGGAGGTCTAATGTGCGTGCGTGGCATTGCCGCACATGCGCATTAGGTCTTCCCCGTTGGCGGGCGTGCATGCTCAATAGGTCTCCCATGCTGGATGGCGTCGGCAGGGGAGGAGCGTGGGCAGGCGCTGGATACAGGTAAGTCACTGAAGGGGTTTAAATCCCTTCAGCAACATGGGATGGGGGGTGGGAGGAAGAGCGGAACTGCAGTGCCAGGAAAACGGTTTGTTTTCCTGGCACTGGAGAGTCCCTTTAACATCGCCCCCACTCTGCCAGGTGGCAGGTCAAAAGAAGTGCACAGAATGAGATATAGTATCAATGGTTCATCTGCCTGCCCAAGTACTTTCGTTTTTTACACTATAGAGATGACCCACAGCTCATCCCCTAGTCACTTTTGTCCCGCATGATTTGAATTCTGCAAATCACCTTTTTTTGAGGCACTGAAAGTGATCCAAAATAATGTCCCTATTTTGCTCTATTAAATGTAAGTTTTAATAATTCTATCTTCTCACTCCATTTTTACAGTGTACACTACTGTGGTTGTATTTCTATTTTATAAACAGAGAGACACCTACGCCACCTATATACTAGAGTGGGGATCATACCACTTCACCCTATCCCTGTGAAGCCCCTGTTCAGGCTCCAAAATATGTGAGTGCACATTTTTACATTACTGAATTGATGCTTTTTTATTGTGCATACTACACTATATTATTTTGATTTTCATCCACATATCCACTACTAAGGGGATTCGACAAGGATTCTGCATCACATTGTATCCTTAGGTGTGGATTGTTCCACCTAAGCTTTCAAGTTGGAGCTGAACCTAAGTGTGAGTGAACCATTTTTATCCTTTCTCCATTGTATTTTACATAATACACTATGAATTATTTTTCTCTTTTTCTACATATACCCTCAAGGATCAACACCTACCTTCTTCCTTTTTTTAATTTTCTACCGGACAAGAGAGACTTGGTGATTTGGTTCTTAAACTGCCTTTTGAACTGTATCAGTATTTTATAAGCGCTAAATTCCTTTCTGTGTTTGTTTCTTATTTTATGTTTATTATTATGTTTTTGTTTACCTTGTTTTAATGAGGTGTGAAGTTGTGATGTTAGTGCACTTTAGATTTGATTAGTTTTTTGTTTAATTGCAAGTTAGTTTTTTCCCTTGATTCAATATTTAGGGATATTTCAGCTAGTTAAGTCTGGCATGTAGGAGCTTATTGACTCCAAGGTTTGGAGGAGTTTTTATTACAAGCATGGGCACATATGTAATTTAGGGACCTCTTACTTAGCTGGTCTGATTTGGTATTAGGAGCCCTCATCAAGCCTACAAGTTTTATTGTTATCTGGATAAGCCTGTAGGGAGATCACATTGAGTGCAATTCATCTATGTCCCAGTTTAGATCGTGTCATATGAGGTCTACCTGGATGTGTCGTCACAGCTTTGTTGGCTCCATCTCATCCAGACTTTCAATTACCTTAACTGCTACAATGTATCACTATGCGGATTCTGTCTTTTGGTAGAATTAAAAGATACAAAATAACCATTATGCAGTACTAGTAATTTTTTATATATTTATACAAGTGGGTACGATTTTCTCTGTTTTTTTTTTTTTTTTTGGTTGCACAGTGTTCAGGTCCTCTACATCTAAGAATATTTCAGGACTTGTTATTTTGAAGTGGATATAAAAGAGTAATCTTTTGAGGATATAACAGAGCTACCATCATACCTATTTATGTTTGTTTAGATTATTTTTTATTTTATTTTTGTCAACACATTTGCACATGGAAGCACAATTATCTTGTCAATCCCTGGTTTCTCCTATTTGGGTTCCTCCTTATTGGGGATCTTTTTTGTTTTACTGTAAATTTAGGGTTAGGCCCTTTTCTTTGGGAGACTCTCCTGTTTCAAGTCACGTTTCTTCTCTTTTTTTCTGTAAACACTAATGATGTTTGTATTAGAAACAAGTTGCGTCTCTCGTGATTTAGTTCTGCAGTTTCCTCCCACTTTATTGATGACTGGAGATGCTGCTGAGAGGCTGAACAACCAATCATGTCAAGATTTGGAGTTATTTTTGAAACTATGGCCCTAATCACAATAGCTTATGATAGAGGTTATATTGCCAAGATTCGCTAGGAACCCAACACCATTTCCTTGTCAAACCTGTCTTGGTGCTAGGGAGAACCCAGGTTTTTTTCACAGATGTTCAAAACTACTTAACAAAGAAGCAAAGGACAATAACCAGACTATTGTCAATATGATACTACACTGAGCTGCAATGTGTATGTTTCTTATAAATCCTCTTTAATAAACAGAACATCAGCAGTAAAGATAGATGTTTAACTACCATAGTCTAATGATCCACCTGAGGAATAAAATGTGTTTAGATAGAAACAATTTAAGACTAAGCACCACCACATATTTGGGGAAAGGAAAGAGGAAAACTTAGTTATAATCACTATTACTCAACTGAATAAAAGTGTAATTTCTCTATAGTCCTATAACATCCTTCAGCATCCTTCAGCAAGAGAGCACACATTTCAAGTCAAGAACAATAATGCAAATGTGTCAATAGGATATATGATTGTTTAAAAATACTCAAGATCCATTAAAATTACATTAATTCCACCGGAACCAAGGACACCTGCATGTAGGTCTATTGGCCTCTTAATGGCATCTTATGTTGACCTTCAGACAGGCAGCGATTGCTTAAGGAATATATTTTTGGTGACTGAGTCTTGCAATCAGCAGTGTATACACTGACAGCTTGTATTAGCAAAACTAAGTCAGGGAGAAACGCGTTGGGATCTGTTATAATGCCGAGTCCCAACAATCTCCTATTTAACATATCTTCCCTAAACCAATTCAACTTGGTACAATTTGCTGACAACTTGAATGTGATTAGTATTTTCCAAATGTTGAATCACATTCTGCACATTTGGAGAAAATCTGAAATGTTCAACAAACCGTTATCGTTCTAGTGACACTTCCTTTGAAGGCATCAATGTTGCAATAAGCTTTGGTAGAGCTTAAACTTGAATTCTAGAATATAATCACTGTACAATGTAAGTAGGTGATCCGTGGAAAGGTGCAAAACTTAATCTGCCCAGAAATGATGGCCATTATTTGTACTGTTGTTTCCATGACTCCCAGCCAGCCTATAGGCTTATAGGTTTACTGAGTATCATGGGATTTGTCGAGTGTAAACCTGAGCCTGGCAGAAGTTAGTCTTTACTGATTTGGGCAATCAACATGAAAACTCTGAACATTACACAAGAAGACACAACGCTGGACATTAGAAATGGTAGTTTCTATAGGACAACATGGTAACACTGAGTTTTTTTTTAAATAAAAAATGTGTCTAAATTGAGATCTATTTATAAATACCTATTTAATTAATTAGTTATATTAGATAACATATTGCAACAGCCCAGACCGGTTTCACAAATTAATCTCACTGGGTGTGTTAAAAAAGACTATTTATAGTAGTAAAAGATATGTTTATCTATGGCCTGGCCTTCCCCATAATTAATATATTGCAGATCAAATTCCGGTACAAAATAGAGTGGCATCTCTGGTGCTTGTTTTAATTGATTTTTAAGCAGTAGTAAAAAAATTAAATACCTTTTTTTTATATGTGTTAGAGGTAAAGAAATGTTTTATTTTTCCGGGAAAATCTTAGAATTACAATACTTGCAGGATGCTTAACTTTGCTACAGGAGATTGGGCACTGGATTAAAACAGATCATATTTTACAGCTAAAAATCTGAGAATAATAGAGAGAAAAAGGAAGCTGAGACGATGTGTATTTCCTTCTACCATAGAGTAGCAGTAGCATTAAAGTGGAAACTACCCTTGTGCGGTCATTTTTTTATTGCAAGGACCCACAAGGCAACAAACATTTCCACTTCTGTGGTTGCCACAGGGGGGGTATGAGAAAGGCACATATACTTACCTAAACCTCTCTGTCCTTGTTTCTGTTGGACTCCATCTTCAGGTCCTAGTGACATCTACCAGTCCATTATTGTGGAAAATGTAAGTCTCTTGAAGGTCCCCCAAGACATTGGATCCTCCATACACAAGCTTGTCAATGTGCATTGAGATTCTCTAGGTATCTATTGAGTACAACATAGGAAGCTGCCTGTCTATAGATCCCAGATGTTAACTTTGTTTTTAAGTAGCTGCTTGAAGTGCTGCCCTCTTCTATACTGCTGATTGAAGTGCCACCTTCTTCTATACTGCTGATTGAAGTGCCACCTTCTTCTATACTGCTGATTGAAGTGCCGCCCTCTTCTATACTGCTTATTGAAGTGCCACCTCTTCTATACTGCTGATTGAAGTGCCACCTTCTTCTATACTGCTGATTGAAGTGCCACCTTCTTCTATACTGCTGATTGAAGTGCCGCCTTCTTCTATACTGCTGATTGAAGTGCCGACCTCTTCTATACTGCTGATTGAAGTGCCGCCCTCTTCTATACTGCTGATTGAAGTGCCGCCCTCTTCTATACTGCTGATTGAAGTGCCGCCTTCTTCTATACTGCTGATTGAAGTGCCGCCTTTTTCTATACTGCTGATTGAAGTGCCGCCTTCTTCTATACTGCTAATAACATTAAACAATGAAGTCCATACTACGCCTCATGTAAATCTTCTGATTGCTTTGAAAATTCAATAAAATTCCAATGTAAGCTCTGTGTTTTTTATAAAGATTCTATGAATGAATGAATGAATGAGTTATATTGGTCGAAATCATATGTATTAGAGCCAAAAGGTACCATTTAATGGACATTGACCTAAATAGTTGGCCACGCTTCTTCTTTGTTCCCAGCTCCAATAACTCTTAAAGGAAAAGATGTATATCAGAAGCATCAATGTGTAGCATATCTGTGCTATAACAGTAAATGTCTAAAATAAATGTCAGAGCACAAGAATGTCTAAACTAAATGCATGCGGTTATTCACTAAACACACAAAGTATAGTGAATCAAGATGTGAACACATTCCAGGATATAACAGTCTTTGGAGGCAGTAAAGAGGGACAATTGTAACTTAACATCTCGATAAATCCCTTTTGGAACAGAGAAGATATCTATAGAAAATAAACTCAGCCCTTTCTATTTCTCGAGGGCTGCACTGTTCCTGTGGAACTCGCTTCCCTCCTCCGTTAGATGCTCACCCAGTCTCCACTCCTTCAAAAAATCGTTAAAAACCCATTTCTTCATAAAAGCATATCGATTAGACTGTTAATAGCTCCCGGCTGATTCCTCTTCTGCAACTGTCACTAGTCTAATACTATCCTTACCTTTTTGTGTCATTTTACCCCACTCCCTCTAGCATGTAAGCTCATTGAGCAGGGCCCTCAACCCCTCTGTTTCTGTGTGTCCAACTTGTCTGGTTACAACTACATGTCTGTTCGTCCACCTATTGTAAAGCGCTGCGGAACTTGACGGCGCTCTATAAATATCATAATAATAATAATAATATGCTGTAAGATGCTACGTGATATATGATGTTTAATATTAAGACATAACCTTTATGATAAATGATTACTCATTCACAATAGGACGGAACGGTAATATCCATTGCCACAGAAGCATAAAGCTTTTTGACTGAGGATGCTTTTGTTTCATTGCATTAAACATCTCAAGATCTTTTTCATCCAATAACCATCCATGCATGATCAGCTTATTAAGGCGGTGAAGCCGGGAAACACATTGCACTAAAGCAATCAGAGTTGACGGGTCTGTTTTAAACTGATGGGCATACACCCTGGCAATGCATAGTTCCGTCAAACTTGCCAAGTTGTCTATTGTTAGAAAGAAGTCCCTCCATCCAGCCTGTGTGATATCATGGTTTGCAGAGAGATTTAGCATGCTGAGATTGCTTAAATTGCCTTCTTTTGTCTCGTGAGCTGAAAAAGACGCAATACAGAATTAATTTATGATAAATAACATCTAGCATCAAGAATAAAAGATACCTGCTGGGTTTATTCAATTCAGTAACAATCTAAACATCCACTATAAGCGAAAAAAAAATACATTTCAAAATGAGTAACACTCAAATTAAGTCTTCTAGTTGCAGTTTACAAATACAGATTAAATATCGTATATGCATTTAACCACTTTGACTGCTCTGATATCTCCCAAACTTAAAGGGACACTATAGTGAAACAACTGTAGCAGTTTTGGTGTATAAATTATGCTCTTGCAGTCTCACTGATCAATTCTCTGCCATTTAGGAGTTAAATCACGTTGTTTATGCACCCTAGTCACACCTCCCTGCATGTGACTTGCACAGGCTTTCTAAACATTTCCTGTAAAGAGTCATCTAATGTTTAGACATCCTTTATAGCAAATTCTGTATTATTTAGAATTTCTTATCTGTTGCTTTGTTAAACTTGCTAGACCTTGTGTGATTAAAGTTCAATTTACAAAGCAGGTGATAAAAACTTCTAAAGCAAGCTAACATGTGGTTAAAACTGAAACCATTTTATTCGTGCAGGCTGTGTCATTCACAGCCAGGGGAGGTGTGGCTAGGGCTGCATAGACAGAAACAAAATTAATTTGACTCCTAAATGGAAGAGAATTTAGCAATGAGACTTCGGGGGCATGATCTATATGCAAAAACTGCTTCATTAAGAAAAAGTTGTTTTTGGTGACTATAGTGTTCCTTCAAACAGAATCAGGGTTACTTACTAGAGTGTAATGTGTCGGTAATTCAAAGTGAATTCTAAATCATAATAGCCAAGGTGAAATTATAGCACACTTGGAGATTTTTTTCCACTTCTGTGATTTGAGGTCCCTACATTTTTTAAATCGCTTTTATGTTACAGTTACAATTATTTATATAGTGCCAGCATATTATGCAGCACTGTACAATAGGTAAGCAAGACAAACACTAAATTCTAACAAAACATGATTGACATACTGAAACAGAGGTAGGCTCAAAGTCAAACATACCACAGTTAAACGCATAAAGCAGAATTATTATTAATTATTGACACTGCTTCCCCCAAACTCACAGCCATCCTACTCCTGTTAAAAGATCACATTGTCTAATACATCATCTGGCCAAGATGACACATTGGGAGAGATGTATTAAGATGTATAACCTTTTTTCATGTACTTATTTCTGTAGTGAATTATCAATTCTGACAGTTTTCTCCCTACTTTTTTGTTTGCAACTTTTCTGTAATTTTACTTTTGTGCTAGCTTTTGTTTATTTGCATTACATTTTTTAGTTTATTTTTTTAGTTTATTTTTGCACCAGAAAGACATTTTCAGAACACTTTGATAATTTACGCTAATGTAATGAAGTGAAAGGTGAGATTTATCAAGTTTTATGTTCTGACAAATGTTGCAATGTTGTAAAAGAGGAGATGTCAAAAAGAGGTAATATACCTCCAGAAGTCACTGGTTTCCCTAGTGATTCCCTACTTTAAGTACTTTGTCCCTTTTGTAGAAGATTACATTTTGTTAAATCTCCACCATAGTGGCCTAAAATACATTAGACCTAGGCAGATCCCCATATGTCTTAGGACTACAATTTATTTGTCAGCCACTCTAAGGGGTGGAAAAGCATCGTGGGAGATGTAGTTGTGTAACCGATGGAGATCTACATTCTGAGCAGGAAAGATAAGGAGAGATGTCACACTCTTTGCCAGATGCTGAACATCTAAATAAGAATGTGGGTTAGGGGATATTTATTCAACATCATTTTACGCATTGACATTTCACTATAGGCATCATATCCACTTCAACAAATTTAAGTGATTATGGTGTTTGGATTCCACTGGTGCTAGGTCACACATTAATGTTATCCGTTCACACCAGAGATGCTAGATCACCATCAGCCTGCAACCCAGCCTCCAATTTTGATATGGTAAAGGCGTATATATGCTTTGCCAATGCCATACCATACCATGCCAGTGATGGTCTTTGCCACATCATCATCGAAGTCTGTTCTGTAGCCTGCTAGAGACTGAGCATCTCTGCTAAACAAAGAATAAACAGTTTAACATGTATGTGGGACCGCCAACCAAGGCCTCCAGGCACTATAACCATTTCAGTTTGTTAAGGTAGTTATGGTGCCTACAGAGTCCATATAATCATTTGCAGTACTTCAGAGTTTAAAATCTAGTGCAAATCCATTTCCACTGGTGCATACAATATATCATCACAATGGTAAGGTATCAATGGGCCGATGCAACACATTGAGAAAACATAAAGCATCCAAACACTGATATATGCGTATCATCTAAGACACATCAGCTATTATAAATGGTAACACAGGCTCAAAAACAGAAAAAAACACTAGTTGAAAAACTGCTAAAAATACAGTAGTTAAAGAAGATTCGATAGAGTTTGATGACAATCACATATAAAACTATTATAATCAATTTCTTATCTATGTTAAAAGTGAAGTCAAAAGCGTAGAAACTATTTTACTAATAAGCAAAAAGATACACTGCAAAGGTATATGGAATTTTTACTTGTTTTAGCACTTCAGTTGCTGCATGATGCTGCCACCACCCATCTCACCTAATGCCATCAAGCTGCTGTCATCCAAGACATTATTGGTAAGATAAATGTTTTTAAGGTTCGGTAGATGCTTGAACTGCCGGATGATAACTATTGCAGATTCCTTCATGGCTGGACCACTGGGAAGATACAGTTCTTCCAGATTCACCAGAGATGGTAGTGCTTGAGCTAGACAGAAAGAGTGATGATAGAATAGAAGGAAGCATTACCATAGCAGTCAGTAATCATGTACAGGCATAATGAGTGATTTGGCTGACTGGACAATGAGTGAAGCTGTAGCAAGTGGTTGCACAAAGTACAATATTCTCGGTTTCCTGTTCTACACAATGGTACTCCAGCATTCTCAATCTGTTGTGGTTTGTTGTTCTGCTTTGATACCTGTGTTTTTTACAGTCATGGGTAACAGAAATCACCCCCTCTTTTAATTCTATGGTTTTACATATCAAGACATAATAACAATCACCTGTTCCTTAGCAGGTCTTAAAATTAGGTAAATGCATCCTCAGATGGACATCAACACATGATTTTTTACAACGAGCCATGATTTGTTTAACAAAGACAAAGCCAAAATGGAGAAGCCATGTGTGAAAAACGAAGTAACCAAACTTGCCCTCTGCGGTGATGTTCAATAATAAATTAATCTATTATAATCTATCGTGGGTTCAATTATGAAATATCAGGCAGTTATTCCAGCAGGAAATAAAAAGACAGGAAAAAATATGAGATTGTGGCAAATAATTCAAAACACTACTATATGATATAAGATTTTTTCAAATGCAAAAGCAAAATGGACATCTGTGATATTGCGTATTACCCAAAGCGTTTAGGCCACCAGAGTCCACACAACGATTTCCTTCGATTTTCAAAACGACAAGATCCGTAAGTGATGGCAACACAGCAGCTGAAAAAATATATAAAGAAATGCTTATTTAATACACATAAGTTCTATAAGTACAATGTTATAATTATTATCAAAATAATAACTGAATAAAAAAAGATCCAAGGGTATGATGGCTAAGTTTTCTTTTGTTTTTTTATTATTTGTTTAGTTTTTTTGCAATCTATCCACAATTATGAGAAAAACTTGTTTTATCTCTTTTTATATTAAAACTATGATTGCAGCACAGAAAAATAAGAAACACAAAATTGCCCTGCAGACGACATTTGGAACACACAGAGTTTTTTACTAAAGTTAGAATTCAAATTGAATTTAAAATCTATGGTAAAAATAGCCTAGATGGAAGTCAGCTATGCATTCAATTCTACTACTTTTAAATTATCTTTGAATTCACTTTTTAATTCCTACTTTTGTGAATAACCCTGATACAAACATAGAATGTGACGGCAGATAAGAACCATTCGGCCCATCTAGTCTGCCCAATTTTCTAAATACTTTCATTAGTCCCTGGCCTTATCTTATAGTTAGGATAGCCTTATGCCTATCCCACGCATGCTTAAACTCCTTTACTGTGTTAACCTTTACCACTTCAGATGGAAGGCTATTCCATGCATCCACTATCCTCTCAGTAAAGTAATACTTCCTGATATTATTTTTAAACCTTTGTCCCTCTAATTTAAGACTATGTCCTCTTGTTGTGGTAATTTTTCTTCTTTTAAATATGGTCTCCTCCTTTACTGTGTTGATTCCCTTTATATTTTTAAATGTTTCTATCATATCCCCCCTGTCTCGTCTTTCTTCCAAGCTATACATGTTAAGATCCTTTAACCTTTCCTGGTAAGTTTTATCCTGCAATCCATGAACCAGTTTAGTAGCCCTTTTCTGAACCCTCTCTAAGGTATCAATATCCTTCTGAAGATACGGTCTCCAGTACTGTGTACAATACTCCAAGTGAGGTCTCACCAGTGTTCTGTACAATGGCATGAGCACTTCCCTCTTTCTACTGCTAATACCTCTCCCTATACAACCAAGCATTCTGCTAGCATTTCCTGCTGCTCTATTACATTGTCTGCCTACTTTTAAGTCATCAGAAATAATCACCCCTAAATCCCTTTCCTCAGATGTTGAGGTTAGGACTCTATCAAATATTCTGTACTCTGCCCTTGGGTTTTTAAGTCCAATATGCATTATCTTGCACTTATCCACATTAAAATTATCTTGCACTTATCCACCATTTTTCTAGTTTACCTAAATAATTTGCCATTTGGCTTATCCCTCCTGGAACATCAACCCTGTTACATATCTTAGTATCATCAGCAAAAAGACATGGCTTTTAAGAGTTTTCAGATATTAAGAGAAAAACAAATTGCTTTATTATTATTATTGGGTTTTTTTATAGCGCCAACTTATTCCCCAGCGCTTTACAATTTTATGAAAGGGGGGAATTTAACAATAAATGAGACAATTACAAAATGATACAGGAACAATAGGCAGATGAGGACCCTGCTCAAACAAGCTTACAGTCTAAAGCTTTGCATCAATACTTTAAACTTACAGTGTTCTATCTCCATCATACACTAAATTATTGTATCCATTGTAAGACTTTCTCCTACTTATTCTAAAACTGTATTATTGTTTACTCTGATATAATTTATTAGGAACCTGTCTGTTGTTGGCCTAATATAGTCCTATGTTTAAATTATCCTTACACCAGTCTATTCCGCTTATCTTTACCCCCAACTCCTGCTTTGAAGATTGTTTAACATACTGCTTTTTTCTTATTGTAGAAAAAAATATCAGAAACAACATATGATTACCCTGCAACCAATATTTGGAAGGTCAAAATATTCCAAAATACTTTAAAAAATTTGTTTACGATAACAAAATGGTTATTTTTTCATTTCCAAACTTCTTACCCAAATCTAATATTTCCTTGTTTGTTATAAATAGTCCAGAAAGGTGTATTTTTTTTATTTGTCTATTCTGTGACAATGTTTTAATCAGCTTTTCAAATTCCGGACAGCAGTCACAGCTCAGGACGAAACATGACAGGTTTGAGAAGTGTTCAATGAACTTAGCTGCAAAACACACAAGAAAAGTAGTATTTGAAAAATTAATCAAATTACCTATTTTTTTAAATTTCCATTATTTAGGCCTAAAACTTGCAAGTTAGTTAATAAACGCCAAAATAACCTATATTACAATGTAAAATATCGATAAAATCTAGTCTTTTAAAAGCTCAAATCTGGTTTTAGAAGGCCATTCATCTCCCACAAAAAAATAAAATGTGTCTAGTACTACCCAAGAACTCTTGGACATTAAAATATTTTCACAAATTTTTGGAAGAATACACACTGAAAAATATATGCTGTAGATATTTCTAAGGTTTTTTTTTTTTAACTAATGGAAATTATGCATATGAAGTTGTTGTTTTTTTCATAGAGTACCCAGTATATACTTAAGGGTTTCTCCAATATGGCGCTAAGACTTTTTATTTTTTTAAATAAAATGTGTATTTAATTTATTCTCATGAGCTGCAGAGCAAGCATTCCTGAGATATTTTTTTGTAAATTTTTGTAATGTTTTGAACTACAATCCTCATTATGCTTGGGGCTTGATTATAACTTTCTTGGTAAAAAGAAGTCAAAAGCTTGTCACTAATAACAAACAGCCTTGCAAGAGTAGATGAAATAACCAGGCACTCAAAGTATCTTGGTTTGTGCAGATTTTATTAGGAACCATGTTGGGGGTGTGGTTTAGCAGCTCACCAAGATGGCTGCATGAGCGGTTTGCTCCCTATGAGGGATTAATCCACAGCGACAAAAACAGCGAATGCAAGCCCGCAAACGGCAAGTACCAGGTCCCCACAGCACCCCTACACATCATGGCACAAAAATCTGCCCAAAAAGAGCAGAAATCTACTCTGCAAATCGCGGCTCTGTCCTAGCCGCGCTCCCAAAATGGCGCCAACGGACCGCGATCACCTGCCTCTTGCTCGGACCGCAGTGAGAGCACAAGCATTTCAATGCCTAACCAAGCTCCAGCAACAGACTCCTCAGTTCAAAAGATGCTACACGATCTGCAAACCTCCATGCATGCTGAATTTGCCATCGCAGAGAGAACCAACCAATTGGAAGAAAAAACAGAGGAAATAATTGAAGCTCATAATACATTGGCAGACTCATATACAGAGCTGGATAGGCTGGAAGACAAAGTGGCCAACCACATCCGCCTGAGGGGTATCCCAGAAATCCTTCCTCAGGATCTGGCCACATATACTATAGAGCTTTTTCAAACGTTAGCCCCAGAGCTCTCACATAGAGACCTTCTCCTAGACAGGATCCACAGGCTGCCTAAGCCGCAAAATCTGCTGCAATCACTGCACAGGCATGTAATAACCAAGCTGCACTACTTCACGGCTAAAGTAAAAAAAATCATGCGGGCCTCACGCCGCTCCCCAGATATGACAGGCAGATATGCAGCAGTGAAGCTATTCACTTACCTGTCAGCCTCAACACTCCTGAAACGGAAAAGTCTCGCTCCGATCACGCAAGCATTGCGAGCAAAAAACCTGAAATACAAATGGGGGTTCCCAGCATGCATTATTGTCAACTATAATGGCGTGACGAGACACATAACGCTGGAGGAAGGCGGTAGAACACTCAAGGAATGGAAGATACCAGTGGCTATGCCGAGAAGCCAAGCAACAAAACAAAAGCTGCAGCACTCACTGTCAAAAATCACCACCGACTGGCACACAGCAGCAGCGGTGCAATGATTGTGCCCCATTTCTTTACCAGAAGAAAATTCACACTGTGCCTTCCAAATCTTTATAACAGATAAGAGACATCAATTAAGATATGTATTCATACTTAATATTTTCCTCATTAGATTTTACTTGTATACCGGGTTGATGTTTACTAAAAAAGGGGGTTATGTTTAAAAATCCTGTACCCATGTTTCTCCCCCCTCCCAAACTGCTAACAATACAAGATGCACGTTCGAGGGCCTAGCAAACCGCTCCCAATCACAGGGCACGATATCCCTTTATGGGTTTTCCCACCCTCCACAGGCTCTCAGACCCATGTTTAACCAGTCTGTGCATCCTTGCACTCCCTTAGACGGACCTTTGTATATAGTTCTTCGTTTTCTTTTATGTTACTCGTTTATATGTCATGCAAAACCAAAGATAATAATACAACTCGGTTGGCCAAATCACTCGGTTTTGTACCAACAAAGGCTCCAGGTGGACAGAATCACTGTTATAAATGTTACGTAGATATAATGTATCATCCAACCGATGTTAAATACGAAGACTGGCTGTACAATAAACAAAGATACCTGCAATGTCTGATGTATGAAATATACTATGAATTCCCCCTCCCAACCCCCACATCCTCTCTTTTTTCTGTATCCCGTACCCTTGTTCTATAAGGCAATAAAATATTAATTTCAAAAAATGACAACGTTGCGGCCAAACTGTCAAGTCATCATAGCTTGACAAAGGCCAGCTTGTCTGAAATGTCATTTTAACCCCTTAAGGACCAAACTTCTGGAATAAAAGGGAATCATGACATGTCACACATGTCATGTATCCTTAAGGGGTTAAAGTCTATGGTTCCTAATAAAGTCTGTACAAACCAAATGCTTTTGCAAGTATATTTCTGAGGTACGCCAACCTATTTGTCTGGAGCATCAATCTAGAATACCTGTTTCTACTGGCACCATGGTAGAACCAGGAGTGCAGTCTTTTTTGTTAAATGCTATTAATAACAACCAGCAGCTTAGATCAGCTACAAATTGCAACCAGGTTTATAATTTTAATGCAAAGTTTTTGTAGCCTATCGCTACAACCAGCTCCTGCTACAGAAATGAAACACTTGCATATTAGCCTTTTGCTGGTAAAGCATGTAAATGAACACAGGAACATGCGCACTTCACCCTGTGCGGGCCAGTAAAAACTGGTCGTGGGGTTAGAAAAAGACCTTTTCTTTTAATCGGTTATATAGGGATTCAATTACGTTCCTCTATTCTCAGCAAGGGGCTGGTATTAACTCTTTTGAATTAGAGGCGGCTGTTAAAAAGTAGCAACACGGTTGTAAAACAGAACACTCAGCAGAAGTTAGTGGCTCCCATTAAGGACAATGAGAGCCATTAGCCGCTAGTTTGTGATTTCAGCAGTCAGCAACCCCATGTAACTACTTGTGAAATAAAGCGGTTATTTAGTAGCTGCTGTGACAGGTGGTGACAGGCTGGATAATAAAAAACATAAAAAGCAGCATCAAGATTGTAAACAAGCCCTTAGTGATCTGAGTATCATTAGTATAATTCAGTCTTCCGCTATGCCTTACAAAAACAAACCCGTTATTAAAAATCTATATTGCTTACCAAACTGCAAAGAATGTGTTCTCAGATTCACATTGTTTAGCTCTATTTTTTTTATATGTTGGAGTTTTTTAAAACCATCTGGCAAAATATTAATCACATCCCATTCGTCAGATAAACGACAGGTCAGTATCAGTTCCTTTAGTTCCTGGAATCTATCCAAATGTGAAATTAAATATTCTAGGGAGAAAAAGAAGAAAAAAAAACCCCATAAATTATCTACAGTAGATATAAAACTAATGAAAAACAAGACTGAATTGATAACACTTTGTTAGTGCATAGAGTTTACCACTCAGTGAAAGCAGGATAGAGGGGCTGGCATTAAAGGGCCACACAAAGCATCATGACCACTGAAGCTTAATGCCATAATTATGCTGTCAACCCTCTCCTCAAGGCACACCTAACTGTCACGGATTTAGGTATTACCCGGATGTGTCTAAGGTGTTTAGAAAAAGAAATAAAAACACCTTCTCCAACCCAGTCCTCATTGACCTTCAACAGTCCAGGTTGGATCAGTATCTCCATTGGAATAAAACAGGGAAATACATAAATCATGGACTGTTGGTGGTCCAAGAGGACTTGGTTGGGGACCACTGCAGAGTCTAAGGTGTTTTTTTTGTTGTTGTTGTATTTTTAACAGCTTAGACACACAGGTAATCCCTAAATCCTGCACTGTTAGGAGAGGGTTGAGGAGCACTGGTCTATGGGTCCCAACTTTTGCTAAACTGTTCAGACACAGTTTGACACAAACCCAAGCTCTACCCAGTCGTACTATATACTATAAGATTCATCCAAATTGGGAGACAGTGATAGGCTGAGAGAGGGAGGAGTGGATGAACTATCACGGTAATCAAGGTTGGAAATATTGATACTATTAATGTAGCCCCTTTAGATACTTTCTCATTTACAGCAAAGGATGGTAGTTTAGGTCAGTTTGTTTGTATTTTGTTTTTTTATTATGTAATCATTTAAAATCACTATGTTGGAAATAAAGCTAATTCCAATTATAAAAGGGATTGGACCGGCAAAGGGCAGACTTCTGCATAGGTTGGGGTAACCGGAGTATTAAATGCTCAATCGAAGTAATGTAAAATAATCACCTGGAAGATGAGAGACAGTTACTTCAAGAGTTTCCAGTGATGACATCTGGATAATCAGCTTTTCCTCTTCTGTGCTTAGTCCTACCTTACAAATACTGCACTTTACAAATTTGTCAACATATTTCTCAATGCACATCCTGACAGATGCAAGAAACCCTGGACAGCACTTTACGTACAGTTCTATGCGGTCAGAAAGAGACAAGAAAACCATTAGATTGCAAAGTAAAGTGCCCCAATCTATGATGTGGCCGCTAACCTCAATCTTTAAAACAGGACTTTTGGAAGTTCCTACGTTGAAAACCAAATTGGAAAGGTCCACATTTTTCCTAAGAAGATAGTTCTTAGGAGTGGTTTTCTGAAAGACTTCTGAAACTAATTGGAAAGCTTGAGAATATTCTTGGTCAACCGTTTGAACATCCCAGTGAGATGCAAAGTCATCGTTATGTACAAAATCCAGATCTGATTCACATTCAGTTCCAGATACAGATAGCGTGAGGCTCCTAATCATTGAGAAAGCTTCTGGATATTGCTTCAGAAATCTACATAGCTCCACATTTGGTGAAGTTAAATCCATAGAGAGATCTTGTCCACTAAGGAAACGCAAGATGATGGGAGCACATTCAGTCATCGAATTGCTTTCTTGTGCTACTTTAATAGAGAAATACAATAACATGTAAAATACAAACGAAAGGAGAAAATGTTGTTTGTTGCTACTTAGTAAGCTTATAATTTCTTCTATGTTTGCAAGATCAGGGTGATGTTGCAAATGATTGGTTGTGTCTACTTGACAGTCATACGCATCACTGTTATTCATTAAATCAAACAGGTAGGAAATAATAATGGATGTTGTTTTGGGAGAATGCATGCACGAGTACTTTAAAAAATAATGATAACGTCCAGCAATTTTAATGAAGGTATTAATTTGACGGAGATATAATGTAGCATGTTCTACTTGAACTGAATCAGTAGACTCCATGAGCTCATTGATCCTTATGCCAGCAAGAAACTCCTGAAAAGATGGGTGAAAGAACTTGTAGATGGGATGAAGTCTCTGGGAGGTTAACTTACTCAGAAGACCAAATTTGAGAGCATCATTGCTGTTTACACCAGATGTACACAGATCTCCATCCGTAAACTCAAAGCAAGACTGGATGAGACCATTCAGGGCTAATTGCCCGCATGATGAGATCAGAGCTTTTACTCTGTCTCTTTCTTTGGGATGATTTAACATATTGTGCATTAGATAGGCTTTGCAAATCACAGTATCCCCTGATACTTTTTCGTTAGGGTTCTCTACCCAGTAAACACAAAGAGCAAACGCAAAAAGAGGGGTCTTTAATGCAGCTTGCAATGTTTTTGAAGATATTAACTCCAATAAAAAGGTCTCCACAAATGCCATGTCATGTGAAAAAAGCTGCCTACAAAGATATATTGAGCTGTACAATGGGAATTCTTGAATGCCAATTACATTCCTTGCATATTTCCGCAGCTTCCTGCCCGTGCCAGTACATGTGGTGGCTGCAACACTCACTCTGTTGGCAGGATTATTTAGCATAAGGTCCTCTATGGCTTCAGGAGCCAATTCTGTTTCACCATAGTCATCCACAAGAAACAGGACTTGGTTTCCTAAATGTCTTATAATTTCTTCCAGAACATTTTCATTAAGCAATGTCGTGGATCCAACGAGTTGTTTTCTGATTATGTCACTTAATGTTTGTTGGTTTTCAGTGGAGGAAATTGAGATATAAAAGACAAGGCTGAACCGGCTGAGTATGGGACAGGTTCCTGAGGCCCAGAGAATGGCTATTTTTCGGAGCAGAGCCGTTTTCCCACTGCCAGCCTCACCTTCTATCATGGTGATATCACTCAGAACGGACAGTATATCAGGTAATGTCAGCTGCCGAACTGGCTGATTCTTGGTGTCCTTCAAGACCACAGATATGTCTGCAAAGAGGGATTTCAGGTCTATGGAAAGATGGGAGGAATCAGGAAATGATGACAGTTTACTGAAGTTCCAGCTATTGTAAAATGCCATCAACTGGTGCTTTAGGTTTGCTGCTTCTTGAACCCAACACTCACTGGAAATGTCTGTGCCTGAAAGAAATGATTTACACAATTAAAAGCTTATTGGAAGTGTGCAACCGGGCCGAAGATTATTTATAGTAAGCAGGTCTCAACATTTCAAGTCATACGCGGTTATTTCAAAACGTGACATTTACCTGGAAAACCAGGATGATGAGTGGAACACTCACCAGGGAGTGAATTTTAACTTGACAAAGGCTAGTCAATGAGTGGACATTTTGAGCCCTATACTAATATGAAGAAAACTAGCAACAACTGGTCATATGAGGTAGATAATATTTTGAAAAAAGGGATATTCTGTGTATAAAATAAGCGCTTAAAAATTACGTATAGAAATGTCAATCTTGTAGCAGACTGCAGTTACCCCACTGTTATGGAAATCTCTCTTATCCACCCAAACATAAACACAATAAAATAAGGAGGTTGGAAGGGAACAATCTGCCACCAATTTCCTAAGTGGAGAGCTAGTTTCAAATGCAAGTACCCCTAATTCTTAAGAGAGATATTGGACATAAAAATATAGAAAAATATATTTTCTCTTTTTTACCCTATGTCCAATACAGGACTATTTAAGAATTAGAGGTAAGTGCATTTGAAACTAGCGCTCCTCTTAGGAGATTGGTGGCGGATTTTTCCCTTCCAACCTTTTTATTTTATTGAGCTAATATTTTGAACTTCGAAAGTTTTTATTCATCCTCATCTGGGGTGTTCAATGAGATGTTATCATTACAGTGGAAGAGCCATAAAATAAAGACTGGTCTCATACATCTTCATATGGAATATATTTTTACAGTTTTAAAGACTACCACCATTTAAGCTGCATATACACATATATAACATATACATACATATATAATCTAATAATATATTTTACATATATTTTTCATAATCTTCCTGTCATTTCAAAAAGCAGATTGTGTGTTTTCAAATCCCGTACAGGAATATACATGTTCTAGCCTTCTTTCACAAGAAATGCTGTTTGCAGAAACTGCTTATTGCAACTATTGTAATCAATTCAGGCAACTCTTCTTTTAATGGTATGCTGAGAAGCTAGAGAGAGTGGATCACATTCTGGGTTATTTCCTAAAAAAAGAGAGTTTCAAATTCAAGGTCCAAATAGCCAATCTGAGAATAGATAGATAGATAGGTAGTCAGACAGATAGATATTTAATTATATAATATTAATAAATATAATAGAGAAAATGTATATAACAGTGTGAACATTCTAGAAATTAGACATTATGACTCAGTGTAAGCTTCCAAATGTTCTCCTACCTTAACAAATTGAAGTCCCTATCTAATAATAGAAATGGTTCCTGTATGAAAACAACATAATTTGTTCCCACTAATATTATACATCATTTAATAATTTTAGTTTACAAAGAGTCACTTACCATATATTTCATTGTTCAGACAGGTTTTCTGTATTTCTGAGACACAAAACTGATCAAGAAAGAAGGAAAATTGTTAATTTGTCTATATTTGTTAGTCTACGAGACATTTCCAGAACCAGGGGTTATTTATGAAAGTCTGAATGCTCCATGTCCAGATTTGCCGGTAAGGCATTCGGACAGCAGAATCCGGCCATTCAGACAATAAAAATGTTCATACTAATTAAACAAAGTCCAGATTTTGCAATACTGGCTACAAATGAGACAGAATTGTGTCTGTCCAGATTTCAGGGACTGGACGGCTAAAACTCACTTCTGAATTATTAAAATAGGGGCCAGATTGTTAAAATCCTGACCAATATTTTAAACATCCAAACCAAGGACTGAATTTGCCGATCGGTAAACTTCTGAGGAAGCCCTGTTTAGGGCGAAACGCGTCAAGTGGAGCTAGAGACTTATTATTGATTATATTATTGTCACTTATTTTATATTTTGTACTATTTTACAATAAATTTATAGTTTTATTTATTACTCTGCTCCCTCATATATCTTCCGTTCCTGGTGCACCTTGGACCCTTCCCAAATCCTCAGGTGGGGATTATACCACCTCAAGTTTTCATCACCAGAGCAAGTTTATTGCTCTGGAAATTGTAAGTAAGATACTTACCTTCTCTACTATACATTATTCACCAGATATACTGCACTATTGGATTTTATCTATGTTCTTTGTTTTATGTACTATTGTGGAGACTTAGAAGCGACGCCTCATCATTGATCTCATATCCTAAGACGGGGATTATACCGTCCAGGCGCTATACAGTAGAGCTCTTAGTAGCTCTGGAAAGTGTGAGTTAGTCCTTCTACCAGTTTTCCGTATACCTCATAGGAGAATATATTATCTTATTTGACATACTGCACTATTATTGTCTATATTTTATTTCTTTTCTCTATAAGGTTGACATCCAATCATTACATTGTTGAACAATTCTGTATGTATATATATACTTTTTACTCTTTATATTTTATTGGCGCGGTATTCCACTTCTGTTTCTTGCACTTTTCTGATTATTAGCAGGTACTGGGAATCCCTGCTGGTTTGCTGCTGCCGCATTTGTAGTCACTATAGAGAGCACCTATACCTGTTTCTTTTTCAAACTATATGCCTTCTGATGGGATTAGTCAGTAGTGTTAGCAGCCAGTGGGGAAAAAACCCACTTAGTAGCACAAGGGCCAGGTCTTGCTTGCCAGTCACCACTGTAAAAGTAAATTAATTACGATATGCAGAGCTTATTATGAGTAACTATAGGGAGGACTAAATAGTATTAACATAAGGGTGTCCTGTCTATGGTCCCCCTTTATCTCCTCCCATTGTCCTGCAGTGAAGATATTAAGAAGATATAGTGATTGGACAGTTATTGGCTGATTTCCAAGCCAACTAATCAGAGATCTCTGACTGAGAATAAATGCATAGTAAAGCCTTTATAAGGACCTTTTTTTGTGGCACATTTTTTTATTTTTTTATATCATTGTTCCAATTGTAATATTATTTGTCAATGGATAGGGTATACAACAGTGGTTTTCTCAGACAACCCGCTGTGAAAATACATTATTTACATTATGCACTTTGATCTTATAATGTTACTGCATTAAAAACAGTGGTGACATTATAGTGTTAAAGGGAAACTCCAGTGCCAGGAAAACAATGAAAACCCCTTCAGTAACTTACCAGAGGCAGCGACGATGTCCCATGTCGCTGCTTCTCCCTCCGCCGCCGCTCCTCCTCTTCATTACGTCGACTGATCCCGCCCACCGGCCGGGGAGACCTAATGCACATTGCTTTTCAATGCGGAAAATGAGCGACGCTGGAGGTCCTCACATAGTGTGAGGACGTCCAGCGACACTCTGGCACTCTGCTAGGGACACGGAAGTGCTCTCTAGTGGCTGTCTAGCAGACAGCCACTAGAGGAGGAGATAACCCTGCAATGTAATTATTGCAGTTTATAAAAAAACTGCAATAATTACAGTTGCAGGGTTAAGGGTAGTGGGAGTTGGCACCCAGACCACTCCAATGGGCAGAAGTGGTCTGGGTGCCTGGAGTGTCCCTTTAATGGTAAACATTAGTGCAGTGCATTGTACAATGCTGTAACCAATGCAGTAATGACAAGGAATTCATCAGTGAACCCATGCAGGAGATTTAGAGGGACATTGTGTTGAGGGGAATTAGGTTTAAAGGTGAACATAGGCTGGGACCAGCCTTTTTGATACTGTGATCTGCAATTCCCATCACTATAATCCAAAGAACAATGGTCTGCCCTTTAGCTCTTTGTCATGTTCCTCAAACCAACCATGCATTTTTTGCAGTGTGGCAGGGTGCATTATACTACTGAAAGAGGCCACTGCCATCAGGGAACACCATTGCCATGAATGGGTGTACGTGGTCTGCAACAATCTCTAGTTAGATTGTACATATCAAAGCAACATCCGTATGAATGCCAGGACCAAAGGTTTCCAAGCAGAACATTGCCCAGCACATAACACTGCCTCGGCCGGCCTGCTTCCCATAGTACATCCTGCTGCCATCTCTTCTGCAGGTAAAAAAGAGACATGCACCCGACCTTCTACCTGATCTAAAAGAAAACGTGATCCATTAGACAAGGCAGCCTTTTTCCATTTCTCCACAGTTTATTTCTGGTGTTCATGTCCCCATTGAAGGCACTTTTGCACTTTCAATGGTGGACAAGGGTCATCGTAGGAACTCTGATTGGTCTGCAGCTAAGCAGCAAACTGCTATGTACTGTGCGTTTTGACACCTTTATATCATGGCCATCATGATATAGGTTTTTCAGCAATTTTAGCTACAGTGTGATCATATTAGACAGCCTAGCCTTCGCTCCCCACATGCATCAATGAGCCTTGGGAGCCCGTGACCTTCACCGCTTGTCCTTCCCTGCACCACTTTTGGTAGATACTAACCACCGCATACTGGGAACACCCCCTAGACTTACCATGTTGGAGATGTTCTGACTCAGTCGTATAACCATCACTATTTCCTCTTGTCAAAGTCACTCAGATCTTTTCTCTGGCCCATTTTTCCTGCTTCCAACACATGAAATTCAAGAACTGACTGTTCATTTGCTGCCTAATATATACACCATTCCCTTGACAGGTGCCATTGTAATTATACAATCAATCTTATTCAATTTATCTGTCAGTGGTTTTAATGCTGTAGCTGATCAGTCTAACTATAAGATAAGGCCAGGGACAAATGAAAGTATTTAGAAAATTGGGAGACTAAATGGGCTGAATGGTTCTTATCTGTCACATTCTATGTTTCTAGTATGATACATTTCAATTTTTTTTGTTACCTGAGTTTGAAGATTTTTCTTAAGTTTTTCATTTTCCACCTCTCTAGATTTACTTTGTGCCAGGTTTTGTAAAAACTCACACCTGCAATAACAATAATAATAACAAAATGGCATTCGAGAAGCGGACTAGGAGGGGTAGTCTGGAACACACTTTTGCTTGCCCAATCAGTTTTCCAGTGCGGTACCTCCACTACCATAAATCTTTTCCTTAAATATGTACTAGGATAGAGTCTCTGTAACTAATCAGAAAAATGTATGAATAGACAAAATGTATTTGGTGTCATTATGGCCTTTAGCAAACTTGTCTGAATATGATGGAGTGGCAAAGTCTCTATATTCCCAGTTTGCTGAACTGAATTTCAGACCCATCTGTTTCTGCACAGAATGGAGATACATTAGCAGATGGTTCCTCAGTAGTCCACATGATCTTTACAATCTGCACGGTGAGATGCAGAAGCGTAACTACAAACTACCATGCCCTGGGGTAAGAATTAATCTGGGGCTCCCCCATGTGTCTCATCCCCCCCTGCCAAGTGTCATTTTCCACCCAAGTTCTTCCATGTGTCTCACACCCACATCCCCTTCATGTGTCTCACCCCACCTATTCCCTCCATGTGGCTCATTCTCCCCCATCCCCTTTATGTGTCTCAATTTTCCTCCAGCCCCTCCATGTGTTTCATTCCCCCTTCCATGTTTCTCAATTCTCCCACCAGTCACTTCCATGTGTCTCATTCCCCCCCGTCCCATCCATGTGTCTCATTTCCCCCCAGACCCATCCATGTGTCTCATTCCCCCAGTCCCATCCACGGTCTCATTCCCCCAGTCCCATCCATGTGTCTCCATTTCCCTCCCCAGTCCCTTCTATAATGTCTCAATTTCCCCCCTCTGTCCCTTCCTTATGTCTCAATCCCGCCTCCCCCTCCCCCCCGCCAGTCCTTTCCGTGGGTCTCTTTCCCATCTCCCTCTGTACCTGCTCTCCATGCTCTCCGTTGTCCATGTAGCGTGGCCAAGCGGACCGCAGCACCCATTCTGACAGGAAGTGCTCTCAGTGAGCACCTCCTGTCTGACGGGGAAGAGAAAAACAGAGGACCCTCTACCCGCAGTCCACTCAGCCACACTACATGTTGTGATCGGCAGGAGGGGCGCGCTGTGCTGTACGTTCCTCATTTGACGTCACCAGTCGACCCTGAAGTTATTCCGGCCCACAGGCACAGGGGTCAAAAAGGCGGCCGTGCACGTTGGAGTGGCAGGCCGGTCGCAACTGCGACCTCTGGGACCATGGTAGGTACACCACTCGTGAGATGAGCTCCAGATGAATTTTGATATTCCACCAAAATCCAGGAACGTTAAAAAATTATAGATTATATCGAGAGTCAGGTATATAAATTTAATTTCTTCAAAACTGTATACTTACGAAGAGCTGTGTCTCAAATGTTCTGTATAAGGATCCTCCCCTGGATCAAAACCAATAAGGCCAATTCCACATGTGAAACACTTAACAGCATCAGCTACTCCTAAAATAAGAGAACATAGAATTAGCTTGACTTATCTAAGGGATTAAAATGTTATTTCATGTGATAAAAATATTTTTTTTTTTGCTAAATTATGATAATCTATCAGATTGTACACTATCTTTCATTTTCAAAACGCTGCATTATGTAGATGGACTAGGCGACATTAAAGAGGGTTGGTGACCATGCAAAGCCTAAACACAGTTTTATTATATAGGGATAATGGAAGTTTTAATAGAAGTAAAATCACAATTAACCTGTGTAGTAAAATCCAGCTTGAGCAAGGTCAGCAGGCATTGCATGGGCATTTTCAGGCCATTTCTTAAATGAATCCAGACGTACGTCTTCATCTTCGAAGATGTTGAGGTGGACAACTCCTGTCAGAATTATAGATACAACTTTGTCATGTTTAATGGTAACCAGTAGGGAGTACATATGAGCCATCAATTCAAGTTATGCTTGAATGAACACTAATGCATAAGGAATACAAACCTTTATTCCCAATGCTTTAGTGATCTTGTCACTTGTTATATAGGTCCGTCCCATAACAATTTGTAAGATAGAAGTATTACTTACCTTCTATTTCCAGCACCGAGTCTCCCTGGGAGCTGCATACCTCTCTGCCTCCCGAGATTTCTTGGAGGAGGCATGGCTTCCTTCAATGTGTTCCAATACAATCCTTCTCATAGAGGAGCACTGGGAACCAAAGCTTTTTTTCGGTGGCTTTCGCGTCACAGGATTGATTTTTACTCGTTGAGTGCAACGGAAGAGCCACTAGTGGCAAAATGATTACATTGACAGGACAGCTGCACCCAGACCACTTCAGTGAGATGAAACAGCCAGGTTGACTTTAGTGGTGCTTTAAGAGGTAAATCACTGATCACCAAGCTGACCAAAAAACAATGAGGCCATAATTAAAACCTTGACAACTCATCAACGAGTAACCTGGGCCAACAGCAGCTAGAGCTGTGGGAGCCATCCCACTTGTAACCCAGATATATTCTATACCATTGTAGCAGATAGCACTGTGGCTGTCCTTAAAAAACTATGAGAATCCTGCAATTCGTGTGTTGTCTCTGATTTATATTCCCTGTAAATGGCATTCGTATGTTTGTTCGGTAGTTTCCATCTGTATTTCATACGAATGGAAACTACCAAACTAATAGACCTCCCCAGAGTGAAGTGTGTTCCCAATTAGGCTGTCGAACATGTGTTAACCGCAGACTAATAGGTGGTTTATTGATGTATCTGGGTGGCCGCCATTCGAACATGTGGCGGCGGCGGCCATTTTATGCACGAAAGACTCAGCTGTGTTTGGTCGTCGAGTGTCTGGAACTCAAATCGGACACTCGATTACCCGAACACCGCTGACACCTCCAAAGCTCCATAACTCCCGAATGGGAAGATGAATCAGCACCCCGTTCGGTGAGTTTGGAGTACCATGCAAGGGCATTCAGGCGAATGACAGTTTAATCATGGATGGCATGTATTTCTATGTATTTTACCTCCTGAACGGAGACCGACCACAGGGCCAAAACGCATGGAACCCGTTTCGGATACCCCCTCGTGTGCAGGCGGTCAAATTTCACCCTCCACCTAACTCCCGAACCCCTGGTCTGATCTGGGTGAATTTTGGATATGTTGGTCACCCAGATCAGGGCTACCAGGGAATACTAAGTATGGGTGTACCTGCTAATCTTGGGGTACATCCAGAACTTGGGGAAAACTGTGTCTGGTATAATGGGATTAGGTGTCATACTAAGGGGAGGAGATGGGTGGGAGGTAACTACAATGCCATTGGGTACTGTCCTAATGAATGTGAATCCCTCCCTTGCATGGGAGAAATGCTTAAAAGGAGGTTGTGTGTAATAAAAGTCAGTTCTGCTCCTGATGCTGTGTGTCGTCCAGTCATTGGGATCTGTATGGGGATAATCTTGGATTGCCTTGCTTATTGGAATTATTGCTTCATGGGATTTTTCATCACTTGTTCCTGAGCCTCACTGGGATCTTGGTGGAGTTAACCTGTGAAATACCAGGCCTCCGCTACAATCATCTTCTCAAAATATTTATTAAATGGGAGTTATCTAATTCAATGTTCTGTTATGTTTTGGGAGCGTGATTACAACAAACACACCCCCAACATATAAATCGGAGAATATTACAGCCCTCTGCTGTTGTTCCTAGTGTCCCAATAGTGTGTTTTGATAGTAATTTCTAAATTTCCAGTTTATGAACTCGGCTATTCATGACTATCCTGTTATCTAGCTTCCCTGATGTTAGGCTGGAAATCACAACAGGGTCTGGAAATCTTTAGGCTGCCATTGACTTATGCTCCAAACAAAGACGTTTCTGCTTTCTTTTGTCTCTTTAATCAGCTGCTGGGAATACTCAATGAAGTCACACCACTCAGATGTAGTATCAATAGGCATTCAAAGGTTTTAGTACATGGTATACATAAAACACAGTTTGTCTAGGGGTGTATACATCAACAGAAACATTAACTAATCATAGGAGTCTCAGAATAGAAAGTATAATTTTTCACATGACATATCGTAATGCTGTTAGTTAGTTTAGTTAACTAATCATAGGAGTAACAGAACAGAAAGTATAACTTTTCATATAACATTACCTATTGTTGTTAGTTAGTTTCCTGTTAACTGATGCAAGTGACAGTCCTTGATTTAGGAACCCAATTAAAAATTGCAGGGGCTAGAAAGAATGCTACTTTTTTCAAGTGCAGGATGTTTATAAAAGATAGGGAAAGCCGGTGTCAGGCGCAAGAACACAAGAACAGAAAAATATTGTATGTTACAACATGCGAGTTTAACTCTTTCAAAGCATGAGTATCTTGTATTATAATTAGGCCTACTGACCATTTGGTCTTTCAAGCTATGTATACAGTACTACTTTAGCTACGTAATAAGAAATACAGATGTAGAAAGCAGGACATGAGACTGACACCCTGTAACATAGAATATATAGCTCTGTATGACTAGGGGAATATTTACTAAGCATTGCATAGATTTAAAAAAAGAATTCTAACACCTGACCTGGCTTTGTACCTTGAATAATCGATTTCTGTCTTTCCTTTGGGCTTGGTTTATCCCTGTTCACTATTTCTTTTACACTCGTTAAGCCCAGTCACTGTAAGGACCGTTATAGGTGCATTCTACAATCTGCTTTATAGGCTGTGTGTTGGGTTATATTTATACACCGTGACGAGCAGAATATTATAGTGTACAAAGCAGAAGGGAGATAGTAGGCACTACCACACCATAGGAGGGTTTTAGCCCTCCAAAAAATAGATCCAAAGCGTACACTCTTGATGAGTTCTGTCACTGTGCTCCTCTGTTTCTATATTTAGAGTACAGGCAGCCGGCAAATAAGTAGAGCCAAACCATCCGTTTACCAGCCTTTTACAGACATAGTATGTTATAAGTAACGTCTGCCTTTAACTTTACGTTTACTGTGACTCTGCACCATCTTGTGGTAGAGCCTTAATTTGCATATTTACATTGAAACCGAAAAGTTTAAACAGGTAATGAGTGCCTGACTACTTCCCACTACTGTGTGTTACACTCCCCACGGATACAAAGCCTCTTTCTGGTGGATTTCAAAGTAACAATTCTAATACAGCTTGTATAGATGTTGTAGTACTTTAGTTGCAGGTGTTTGTTATTAACTTATCACTAATAGTAATCATACACATGGCCAGATTTTCCACATGGCCACCAAGGGCCGGCACTGAATGGAGAGGTGCGCTTCCTATCCCTCTCCCCTCACTGTATCAGAGCACTGCTGCAGGCAGGGACATTTTAGCCGCAAGGCAAACAAGGCATTTGTCTTGGGCGGTGGTTGCGCACACAGTAAATGATATCTTTAGTCTAGGATGAAGCCCCTAGATTCTGTAAGCATAAGAAACCATCATAGGGCAATATATCTTAGACTTAAATAAAATGTAAAGAAAACTTGGAAAACTCACAATATTTAGAGCCTATCAGAGTTGGCTCTAAACTTTTAAAGCAGGTTTATCAATCTGGTGCAAATAACGTAGTATAAATCCAATGGTAACCATCAAACGTCTTCTTAATGTAGAAGTCAGGAACCAGGATGACCAGGTAAGTGAAAAGTGAATACTTTAATTATAAAACAAATAAAAATACAGCACAACGCGTTTCGACCTAGTGCAATAGGTCTTCCTCAGGTGCATAATAAGACAGTCAAACAACATGCTTATATACCATACATAATTAATCTAATTACTGGTAAAACCTTTACAGCTGTAAAGTCCGTCCTTAACTCCATATATGGAGTATTTCCGGCAAAAAACGGCATGTATATGCCTCCTCCAAGATGGCCGCCGTGTATTATACCCAAAGGTAAGGAGGCTGGGGGGTTAAGGGCAGCACAAAACCAAGATACACCACTGGCTGCAGGTTACCATAGCAATGCTCCGATACATTTTCCGGCACCAGCCAGAAGATGCCATCTGCACCACTAGGAGAATCTGTCTGCATCTCCCACTGGACCACCAATGATTAGAATTCTCATAAGCCTCAAGATAGACCTCAGGAAGAGGGGAATAAATATTAGTTTCAGTTTGTTTTTTTGTATTTTGTTTTTAATAGTACTACATGGGCCCCTACTCCTTACTAGAGACCCTAGAGGGACGCTAGTTTAGTGACAGGGGCTCTAAGGGGGGACTCTACTCCCCACAACAGCTCCTGTCACCCCACTACAGCCCATACCAACCGCTAGAGCCCCTGTAACCCCAGTATAGCCCCTATATCCCCATGACTATCCTGGTCACCTAACTATACCCACTATCCACCCCACAATAGTCCATATCCACCCACTACAGCTCCTATTCTCTCACTACCACTCCACTATACACACAGAATAGTCCCTATCCTCCCACAATTGCCCCGTCACTAATACATCCAATGTCAACTATATACAGCTCCTGTCACCACACTAGACCCACTGTCCACCCCACAATAGTCCCTATCCTCCCACTACAGCCCCTCTTTCCCATCTATTGCTGCAATAGCCTCTGTCATCCCACTATAGCCCTGTTACCCTACTATACCCATTATCCATCCACAATAGTTCCTGTCCTCCCACTCAGTGGTGTATCCTGGTTTTGTGCTGCCCTAGGCATGACAAAACTCAGGCAACCTCCTCACCAACTCCCAACCCAACCCTCCCTCCACCCCAAACAATAACACACACACAGACAACACACACACAGACACACAGTCAGGACAAAGTTCACACAGTCAGACACATACCAATAACAGTCAGCACAAACACACGACACACACACACATAGTCACAAGGTCAATAAAACACACACAGCCCAGACACGACACACACAATAGTCAGACACACACACACACAAACACACACACACATAGCCCAGGACACACACACACAGCACACACACACACACAGTCAGACAAACACACACAGATCAGACACACACACACAAACACACACAGCCCAGACAGACACAGTCAGACACAGACACAAACACACACACAGCCCAGACACACACACACAAACACACACACACACACAGCCCAGACACACACACACACACACACACACACAGTCAGACACAAACACACACACAGAGTCAGACACACACACACAAACACACACACACAGTCAGACACAGACACACACAGTCAGACACAGACACAAACACACACACAGTCAGACACACACACACACACAAACACACACACACACACAGTCAGACAGTCAGACACACACAATCACTCACATTAAGACTTTTGGAATGCTGGGGGGGGGGTTCCTCTTTCTCCCTGGGGGTCCAGTGGCTGCTGGGCGCTGGGCGCTGGGCGGGCGGCTGGCGAGGGAGCTCTTCCTCTGAGCGGTCTGTTCAGCTCCCTTGCGCGCCGCAGAGTGAGGCTGGGAGCCGGAATATGACGTCATCAACCCGCCTTCCAGCCTCACTCTGCGGTGCGCGAGTGAGCTGAGCAGTCAGCTCAGAGGAAGAGCTACCTCGCCAGCCGCCCGCCCGCCCAGCGCCCAGCATGTCAGTTAGCCGCGAGGCTAACTAGGCATTTGCCCTGGGCATTTGGGGAGCGGCAGTTTTTGCCGCCCCCTGAAAAATGCCGCCCAAGGCAAATGCATTGTTTGCCTCGCGGCTAATACGTCCCTGCTCCCACTGTATCCTCTTTTACCCCATTGCATCTCCTATACCCCCACTATAGCCACTACTCCCCCTCCCCTAAAGTCACTATTCCCCCACTACAGCCCCTAAGCAAACACAACAAGCAGCCACTCCCAGACAGGCCACCCCATGAGCGACATACAGCACCACAAGTAGCCTCCACACACAAGGATCAAGGAATTTTTAATGAAGCGCTATTTAAGAATTTTTTTAGAAATGTCACTCCTTACAGTAATGGTGGCATCTGTTTATCCTACTTCTAGCCCAGAAAATAATGTCACTTACGTGTCTCCATGGGTAAAGTCTTTTCACTGAGAACCGTCGTGAAATGTTTGCCCTGAAATATAAATGGCCACGATCAAGGCACAATACATTTATATTCTAGGCATATTAAATCTTTTAATTGAAGGGACACTCGAAGCACCATAACCTTTTCACCTTATTTTAGTAGTTATGGAAGCTGTACCTGGAAACTTGCCTTTTAATTCTTTAGCATTTTCTTAATTTCTGTCCTAATCGGCAGTGTCTAATCTTCACCCCTCTACCCAGTGACCTTATATGGAGAAATCTACATTCACCAATAAGCTGTTAGTCTCCTTCATTTGCAGGACGCTGTGAGCTTTTACACACAAAATGCACAGCTCCTACAAGTGAAGGATAATAACTTGAAGGGCTAAATGGGAAAGCTGGGTTTCCTGATACAATGTCAGCAGGTAAGTGAAAATTTGGGAGAAAATTAAAAGGTATGTTTCCATGGGGAGACTCCTGGCATCACAGCCATTAAAATAAACTGTAGTATATATATGTTCAAAGTGCCCCATAAATTCATATATATGGCGTAGGTTTACCATCTATGGCATCAATGTAATATTTCTGAGCAAGCTTTTAAAATGATTTTTTCAAAACAAAAAATAAACTTTAAAAATATTTTTTTTCATTTAAAAAATATATATATTATATATAAAAATATTTCATATCTTGATATTAAATCGTTCTAAAAGTGTATTTCAAAATTATTAAATCATTTAAAAAGCTTATCCATAAATATTAATTTCACGCCTATGATAGAAATGTGCAAGTTAACCATTCCTCAAGGTGAAACAATGTCAGTAATTTATGTACCATCGGACATGGATTTTTTTTCTTATGACAGCAATTATCTGGAAGGGTGCTGCTGTAAGTTCCGCTATGAATGACAAACCACAGAGAAGAGAATTCACATTATTTTGATTACTTTTGAGATGATTTTCAAAGCAAGCAAAAAACTTATATAGGATGGCCAAGCACCATAGTTGTAGTTCTACAACAGCTGGAGGGGTCGATTTTTGGCAATGCTGGCATTAGGTTCTGTTACCAAGGCTATACAGTAATAAACATCACAACATTTCAAATGACCAAAGAGGTGCAGTTTAGGGTAGGAGGTATGGCTGCAGTGCGGGATATTCTGGAATGCGATTAATGGCCTACTAATAGCATTTGTGTAACTTGTGTAAATGATCAACTTATACGGCCTGTCTCTTCACGCAGCATTTTAAAAGATAATAATGAACAAAAATTACCATAAATCCAGAGAATCCATCGTAAGATTTAATATATTGCTTTATTTCAACTTGGGTTTTCTTACTCCCAAGAAAATTGCACCTAAATAAAGAGAATATAATATTAGTTCACGGATAAAAATTCCGTTATATCCTCTTATCATCTCCTCATTATTCTGCCTGCATCCTCTTTCATGTATCATGATGTCTCAATTTGTTTTTTGTCTCCTCTCTATCTTATTACACTTATACACTTCTCATTTTACGTCTCTGTGTAGTTTCAATTCTCCCTTTTGTATGTTTGTTTTTTCCTCTTCCTTTTTTTAACTCCCACCTTCTCTATTGTGAGATGTTTGCTATGATTGCATTATATTATTTTTTTCACACTATAAACAGACCGTGAAGGTATTATGGAGACAAGGGGCTCACCCTTATAAACGGTCTCTGTTTGCCTCTTGTCATTAATAAAATTAGGATTACCTCTTCACTAAAGCTAAGAATTTAAAATTCCATATCTTTTTATTTATACTTTGAAGTAACTGTTTGGTCTTTCTGGATATCACTATATTCTGTATAGTGTATGCTACTCTACTATCTATTTTGTGTTCGTTACTTCTGTGATCTCTTTTTTTTTCTCGTTTTATATATTGTTCTGTTTTTCTTGTCTTCCTGGCTGTTTTGGGTCCCTGCCTCTTCCATTGACTGACTCCAGTCAAATTTAACTCACTCAGGAAACCACTTTGTATGTTCTTTCCAGGGGTCATCCTCCTCTTCCCAGTTTCCCAGGCACCCTCCACATGAGAAGCACTGCACAGTGTCCCTGAGCCCTGAAGACATGACATGCAAAAACACGATATGAACACAAATGGTCATGGCACAATCACAGATTCAAAGATCACTAAGTTTATAACGTTATGCATTTGAAAATTATATAAAACATTTGGCTAGCAGTGGCAAGTAGCTGGAGGGGTCTGCATACATTTTTTTAAATTTTAAACACCAAACCCTTAAACACCAAGAAGAGGTGAGGCAGACCCAGGCTGTAAGGCAGAGCGGGCAGACCCCGGGAAAAGCCGCCGCGCACCGACAGGCGGAACACCCATCCAGGCAGGGGAACATTAAGAGACTCCCTCCTATCCACCGACCACACCGCAGGAGAGCCGCCCGCCGCTGGCGGCGGACAACCACCAGGGCCCTCCACAGCGATCATCATGGGAAAGACCCGGCCCCGAGAGGCAACCGAGTCTGTGTCCACATGGTGCCAACCCCACATGATGCCGGGAATAAGGGAGAAACCCCCAGCCGCAACCACCTCTACTCCTCGCTGACCCACCTGAAAATGCTGCCGGAACTCCCGCCCACAGGGAGCCTGTGTGGCCTACACTTACCCAGTCGCTCAAGCAGAGCCACCAGAACGGGCATAGGGTGAGGCAACCCGGACTCATGCAGGCCGCGGCCCGCAACCAACAACCTAGCCCACAACGCAGAGACTAAACTATTAACCAACTGAACTATAGACTCTAAAGCATGCCACCTACAATGGTAATCAGACCCAGCCATACGCAACACATACTTTATCCCTACCAAGAGAGTACACTCACCCGGCACAGCTGGCTGTACGCAAGCACCACACATAAGACCAACACTACCCTCGCCACCTGCATGGCGGTCACAACAGCTTACCACTGCACACATATATCGACACACCAGCCTGACCCCGAGAAGGTCCATCACAGCAGACTCTGATAGTACAGCTCCATCCTCACAAACCACTATAGTGCCGCAGCATGCACCCACACTATACCACACACCTGTGTTACTTTCATTGTCATGCAATGTCTCAAGCCACTCTTGCTTGTGACTGTGATTTTTATCAATATGCAGCAGTTAAATAATCATAACGCAATAGCTTGTTATAAACTACCCTAATGATTGGCAAAGGCACACCAGTTGACTCATGGTTTAACCTACTCTGTATTATACTGTTGGAATATTAAGATTAGTACATGCACTGTTAATTTAGCATGTTACATACTGGATCATACAATCCATAGCCTGAATTTCCATGCTACAGTTTAAACTTAAAAAATAAGGCATTGTTACCCTGGAAATGATACGTAATGAGTGCTCATAAGCCGCAGATATGTCTATTCTGCACATCTACGTTTACGCATATTTTGTTGGTTACCTTGAAATCGCATGTTTACTACCTACATAGTGTATCAGCAGGTTGCTTTGCACTGGATAGCTATCTAACAAGTTTCTAGACACGCTGCACTCAGACGATTCCAACGTTTTAACTAATGTCTAGGTGAATAGCATGACTGTATTTGCACTGTATATATATTGACTGCAGGGCTCCAAGCGTGGCTCCAGTATTATGATAGTAACTTAACATAACCGTTGTTTGCTTACCTTCAAAATGCTTTATATATGTTTTCGTTAATCGACTTAAACAAAAAATGTGGCAATACTAAACGTGGAAATGTATCTACCTAATGCTAACGATGTATTGACCCCACCCTGTGAACAAACCGTACATTTCCATTTTCTCTCTTCTGTATCCCATCTCATATGCCGCAATAAAACAAAGATTGACAAAAAAAAAAAAAAATGGAGGGAAAAACAACATTATCCTCTTAAAAAGAAACATAGAAACATAGAATGTGACGGCAGATAAGAACCATTCGGCCCATCTAGTCTGCCCAATTTTCTAAATACTTTCATTAGTCCCTGGCCTTATCTTATAGTTAGGATAGCCTTGTGCCTATCCCACGCATGCTTAAACTAATTTACTGTGTTAACCTCTACCACTTCAGCTGGAAGGCTATTCCATGCATCCACTACCCTCTCAGTAAAGTTATACTTCCTGATATTATTTTTAAACCTTTGTCCCTCTAATTTAAGACTATGTCCTCTTGTTGTGGTAGTTTTTCTTCTTTTAAATATAGTCTCCTCCTTTACTGTGTTGATTCCCTTTATGTATTTAAATGTTTCTATCATATCCCCCCTGTCTCGTCTTTCCTCCAAGCTATACATGTTAAGATCCTTTAACCTTTCCTGGTAAGTTTTATCCCGCAATCCATGAACCAGTTTAGTAGCCCTTCTCTGAACCCTCTCTAAGGTATCAATATCCTTCTGAAGATACGGTCTCCAGTACTGTGTACAATACTCCAAGTGAGGTCTCACCAGTGTTCTGTACAATGGCATGAGCACTTCCCTCTTTCTACTGCTAATACCTCTCCCTATACAACCAAGCATTCTGCTAGCATTTTCTGGTGCTCTATTACACTGTCTGGCTACCTTTAAGTCAGCAGAAATAATCACCCCTAAATCCCTTTCCTCATATGTTGAGGTTAGAACTCTATCAAATATTCTGTACTCTGCCCTTGGGTTTTTACGTCCCGGCACATCCACATTATCTTGCACTTATCCACATTAAATGTCAGTTGCCACAATTCTGACCATTTTTCTAGTTTACCTAAATCATTTTCCATTTGGCTTATCCCTCCTGGAACATCAACCCTGTTACATATCTTAGTTTCATCAGCAAAAAGACATACCTTACCATCAAGACCTTCTGCAATATCACTAATAAAAATAGTATTTCTTTGCTAGTGGGTTGCCATCAGTTTTAGATCCTTCAATGCATATCAGTTTGTGACCAACGCATATTTGGGCTCCTCCCCGCATGTATTTTAATACTGTACTAGAATAAATATTGGAGCATTCTCTGTTACTTTGATCTGTATGTCTCCTGCAGAGAGGTAACATCGCAGCCGGTACAGGCATCCTGGGATGCCTTACATAGAGCCTGATACTGCTCTTACACATGTGAGTGGTTCTTTTATAAAATTATATTTGTTGCTTATCGAATAGATTGCACTATGTACATTTTCTATTTGCCTTTTTAAAGTTATTTTATATATATCTGAACATTATAAGAGCACTTTCAAGTATTGTGTTTTTCAGTTGATGTTGCACACTTTAATTTATTTTGTCTTTTTATTACTTTTCTTGCAATATGCCGTGGGTACCCTTGGGAAGTAGAGGGTGTGAGAATGTGAGCTGATATTCCGGTGGATAACCCAACCAGAAGAAGCAGGACCAGGTCTTTGTGTCACAATCAACAGCTCTCCTGCTCCCCCTAGAAGCCAGAGACACAATCAGGATTTCTTACTTTACCTCCCTTCTTCTCATTACCAGTAGAGGTAGAGAGGGCATGACTCTTCATTTACTGATAGTATATGTGTGTGCAAGTGGTCTAAGCTATCTAAACATGTATTGTGTGGTTAGTTTTGCATGTGTAAGAGATAACGTGTATAAGGGTTGGCGGTACATAGACCGGCTGGGGCAGCCAAAAATATAATACTAAATATACTTCTAATTAATACACATGGAAACAAAAAATATATAATCGGCCTAAATAAATATATGTTAAAATTACAGTGGCCTTTGAAGAGGTTTAGCCAATATTTTAATACCCTCACCAGTAAAGAAGAATCCTGCTCTGGCAAGTTCAGCTGGTTGAGTCCTGGCATAGAAAGGCCAGCCAGAAAAGGTTGTTTGCCTTGATTCCTCTGTTGTGAACTGAGGAGAGGGCTGTAGATTTGTACCATCAGTCTCTGACTGTTGAACACGCACTTCATACTTGGGGATGTTGCCAACATCTTTGCCTTGAATGAACATGCATGTAGGATTGTGTTTCACATGATCTTCATACGGAGGGATTCGTAGGCTCGTTGTACAGAAAACAAGGCCACAGCAGAAGCACTGGACACTGTGCTCCACTCCAGTGAAATAAAATCCTGCGTTGGCCATCAACTTTGGACACCATGATGAAAGTTTTATATATGAGTGGAAAGATTTCAGCCTCCTGGTTTCACTTCTCATGGATGCATTGTAGCTGTTCCCCAACTGCTGGCGTATGGCTGCATATTTCGCATTATTTTCAGCAGCAAGTTGATGAAAGTCCGCATTTACAAAAGACATAGATTTTTCCATTTCCAAGGGATTACACTCTTGAATGTTCATTACATCCACTTTCTTATCTTCTGATTCTCTCAAATCCTCAGAGGAAGCCATTCTCAGTCTAGAATAATATTATGGAGAAGTGTTGAAAAATCACGTTGACATTTCTAACCACTGCTCATCTTATACATCACAGAGGCTTAATCACTAAACTCCAAATTGCAGTAAATTTAATTCTGAATGGCAAAGTGTAGGTTATATTAGCTGAGCTGAAATCAATGCTCCCACTGAGCCATAGTTACAGCTTGAATATTTTAAACTACCGGTAAATGTTACTATTAGGATTACAATTTAAAGTTTAGTGAAGAAATGCCCCTAATCATTCGGATATCATGCCCTATGGCAGGGTTTGGACAAACAAAAGATCTCCAGATGTTGTAGAACCAACATTTAGAATAGCAAGGCATCATGAAAGTTATGGACTTACTAAGCATGTATGATTTTTGCCATTAATATTTACCCAACCTTTGTAACAGGCAACGGCAACCTTCCCCTGATGACTTGCCAGCATTATGGCTGTGAAAGCCTTATGGGAGTAGTCCATAACATCTGGAGTGCTGAATGTTGTCTACCCCCGCTTTATAAGAAGCAGACATGCCCTGCAGTTTTGCAGAACCCTTAAAAAGAACACCAATGTTCAAAAAATATATAAATATTTTTAAAAATTTATTTAATTTTATGGTCAATTTTTTTATTGAGGTATACGTGCGCAATAAAGCATGAATAATACAAAATAATGTTTTGTAAGTGCAATACATTATGGAATTTCTAGTTACACAGACTTTAAATAATTCCTCACTTTTGAAAGTTAAAGAAAATAACAGAATATTAGCAAATTCTTGACAAGAAAAATAAATGAATGAAAACTAGCAATCGACATTGTTGAGGTGAGGAAAAAAAACCACCAAGAAGGCACATAAATAAATAAAACAAATAAACAAGCTTGCCGAGTCTAATATTAAAGTCCTCCTAAAGGACAATTTGGGCTAGGTTTGAAAAAAAGTCAGGTCTAGTCAAGTCCTAGGCTTGACAAAAGCAGTCACCTATGTTGTAAAAAATGAATGTGATAAAGGCTCACTGGCACCAATAGCAACATTGGTGAAGAAGAGACATGCATGTCCAGCCAAGTATCAAGACACTTCCCCTTGTAAATAGAAAAGTACCAAGGCCCTCGAAAGACTGTCGCTAAGATGATAGAGAGGCATTCTGGACTACAGAGGCTGTGGTGCAGAAGCAGGCCACACAGATTTCCCACATAGTGTCGATGCCTTCCCATGGTTGTGACCGCATTCTGTGGAAGACTCTGAGGTCAGGAGGAATTCCTCAACTAGATGACGGCAGATGAGAGGCTAATGTCACCCAGCAAAGAAGCAAAGATGTATTAGAAGGTGGCTAACCTTAGAAGTCCAAAGGACACAGGGCATCTGCCATATTGTTGCACTGTTGCATGTAGCCACAGAGGGGAACAAGGCACACTCAAAAGGCCACCAATTGGCCGGAATGCACCAAGCTAGCACATCGGCCACCCTACTGTCCACAGGCTGCTCTAGGCCACAAACGTAAACTTGAAAACTGTGGTCAAGTCACTCCAAAGCCAGACCAGGGTGGTCCCTTAACTCTTCTAATAAGAAATAGCTATAGAAATTAATAGAATAGCTTGCAATTTAGGCTTAAATTTCACATTTATTCAGAGGAACTCCACCAACATGCCCCTGCTAAAAAAATTTTTTAATAATAATTAAAAAGCTATTAAACTTACCTGGAATCCAGCAGGTAGCCTGAACTGCCCACTGTGTAATCATAATCCATGATCCTCACTGTCCAATTGTGCTATGATCTGTCAATCAAGTGGTTCTCTTTGAGAAATTGCATTAGCATAATCATGCTGCGAGTGATCATGTTGAACATGTAGCCTTTCAAAAGTTGAAGGGTGTGAAGGAGGAAAAGGCGTGTTTTCAGCAAAGATTTTTATATTTATATACACTGCTCAAAAAAATAAGGGAACACAAAAATAAAACATCCTAGATCTGAATAAATTAAATATTCCTCTGAAATACTTCTTTGTTCTTTACATAGTTGAATGTGCTGACAACAAAATAGCACAAAAATGAAAAAAATGGAAATCAGATTTTTCCACCCATGGAGGTCTGGATTTGGAGTCGCACTCAAAATTAAAGTGGAAAAGCACACTACAGGCTGATCCAACTTTGATGTAATGTCCTTAAACCAAGTCAAAATGAGGCTCAGTAGTGTGTGTGGCCTCCACGTGCCTGTATGACCTCCCTACAACGCCTGTGCATGTTCCTGATGAGGTGGCGGATGGTCTCCTGAGGGATCTCCTCCCAGACCTGGACTAAAGCATCTGTCAACTCCTGGACAGTCTGTGGTGCAACATGACGGTGGATGGAGCTAGACATGATGTCCCAGATGTGCTCAATTGGATTCAGGTCTGGGGAACGGGCGGGACAGTCCATAGCATCAATGCCTTCGTCTTGCAGGAACTGCTGACACACTCCAGCCACATGAGGTCTAGCATTGTCTTGCATTAGGAGGAACCCAGGGCCAACCGCACCAGCATATGGTCTCACAAGGGGTCTGAGGATCTCATCTCAGTACCTAATGGCAGTCAGGCTACCTCTGGCGAGCACATGGAGGGCTGTGCGGCCCCCCAAAGAAATGCCACCGAACACCATTACTGACCCACTGCCAAAGCGGTCATGCTGGAGGATGTTGCAGGCAGCAGAACGTTCTCCACGGCATCTCCAGACTCTGTCACGTCCTTCACATGTGCTCAGTGTAAACCTGTTTTCATCTGTGAAGAGCACAGGGCGCCAGTGGCGAAGTTGCCAATCTTGGTGTTCTGGCAAATGCCAAACGTCCTGCACGGTGTTGGGCTGTAAGCACAAACCCCACCTGTGGACGTCGGGCCCTCATACCACCCTCATGGAGTCTGTTTCTGACCGTTTGAGCAGACACATGCACATTTGTGGCCTGCTGGAGGTCATTTTGCAGGGCTCTGGCAGTGCTCCTCCTGTTCCTCCTTGCACAAAGGCGGAGGTAGCGGTATTGCTGCTGGGTTGTTGCCCTCCTACGGCCTCCTCCACGTCTCCTGATGTACTGGCCTGTCTCCTGGTAGCGCCTCCATGCTCTGGACACTACGCTGACAGACACAGCAGACCTTCTTGCCACAGCTCGCATTGATGTGCCATCCTGGATGAGCTGCACTACCTGAGCCACTTGTGTGAGTTGTAGACTCCGTCTCATGCTACCACTAGAGTGAAAGTGTCGGAATCTGTTGACGCTATATAAATGGCAATAATAATAGTAATAATAATAATAAAAGCACCACCAGCATTCAAAAGAGACCAAAACATCAGCCAGGAAGCATAGGAAATGAGAAGTGGTCTGTGGTCACCACCTGCAGAACCACTCCTTTATTGGGGGTGTCTTGCTAATTTCCTATAATTTCCACCTGTTGTCTATCTCATTTGCACAACAGCATGTGAAATTGATTGTCACTCAGTGTTGCTTCCTAAGTGGACAGTTTGATTTCACAGAAGTGTGATGGACTTGGAGTTACATTGTGTTGTTTAAGTGTTCCCTTTATTTTTTTGAGCAGTACATATATATATACACACACTGAACAAAATTATAAACGCAACACTTTTGTTTTTGCCCCCATTTTTCATGAGCTGAATTCAAATCTCACTTTAACAGTGCTCTCACTACTGCAAGGGATTCTGGGTAGGCATATGCAAATTAGCTCAACAAAGAATTTTTGCCTCATAATTCCACTTTACACATGGATTCCTTGGAGTATGTGTCTGCTGTATACAAAAGTTTGAAACAACTTAGGAAGAGGAGCAAAGCCGGTGAACCACTCATGGTCAGCTGTTTAGTTGTTAAAGGGACTCGCCAGTGCCAGGAAAACATATTCATTTTCCTGGCACTGCAGTACCCTACAGTGTCTCTCTCTCCCTCCCACCCCCCATCCCAAGTTGCTGAAGGGGTTAGAACCCCTTCAGTGACTTACCGGAGTCCAGCGCCGATTTCCCTCGGCGCTGGGTCAGGCTCCGCCTGCTCTCCCTCCCCCGCCGACGTCAGCCGAGGCAATGGCCACGCACGCGCAATTATTCAATGCTTTCCTATGGGGATTTCAGTGACGCTGGAGGTCCTCAGATAGCATGAGGACGTCCAGCATCGTTTAACACACTTTTTGTGTTCTGAGAACACGGAAGTCCCTCTAGAGGCTGTCTGATAGACAGCCACTAGAGGAGGACTTAACCCTGCAAAGTAATTATTGCAGTTTATAAAAATTGCAATAATTACACTTGCAGGGTTAAGGGTGGTGGGAGCTGGCACCCAGACCCCTCCAATGGGCAGAAGTGGTCTGGGTGCCTGGAGCATCCCTTTAATGCAACTCATCAGCATGAGGTTGGTTATTGGCTCGCTGGTTCTTTATTGAGCTCATTTGCATACGCCTACCCAGAATCCCTTGCAGTAGTGAGAGCACTGTTAAAGTGCGATTTCTGTGGGAAAAGCAAGTCTTATGGCTTGACTGATGTGTGTGTATTTGTGTTTAGCAATGTATCAAATATATATATATAGCCAGAGAAAATTTAACAGCATCTATGCACTAAAAACATTACTTTACGATGTAGTGGTTTTTGGTGCCTAGAGTGTTCCTTTAAGCGAGAATTGTAACATTTCCAAAATTAGTACAGTATTGTAACAACAGCAAAAAGTACATAACCTTTCTGCTAGCTTGTTCTTTTATTTATTTTTTTGTGCACATTTTGATACTATATTTGAATAAAGCAGGAACAAAACGGGGGAGGAGGAGTTTTATTGTCTTCCTTTAAATATTAAAACTTGATGTATTCCAATCTGTTATATTAAAAATCATGTAACCCTAAAACAAATCTTTTGTATTTGTAAATTGCATTTCCTCAAGTCTCAATGGTTAATCGTATATCCAGCAATAAACAAGAAGCAGTACGACCTACTCTAAGAATTATAAAAAATATTTTAAGAAACTCCAAGCACCATAACCACTACAGTTTGTGGCCTGGCGCCCCTCCATTGTAAGTGGTAAAATCATTTGGCACTGCTTCCCACCTCCCTCCCGGGGAAGTGAGAGCCAAAAGCAAATGTTAGCTCACCTGAACCACACACTGAAGTGTTTAAAGAGGGGGGGGGGAGGGTGCCTGAAGTGTTCCTTTAAAACAATTTAAAATAAATGAGCAGCTGCAGAGGGTCAGCACACAGACAGACCTTGGCCTAATGGGGCCATAACCATTAAGACAATCATATTGTGGTTATGGTGTGTAGACTGTCCCTTTAAAAATTAGGTAGCAGAGGACTAGAACCAGAAAGATGTAGAACTGCACTCCACGCAATATTGGTGATCAATTTTTCTTTCTATCCTTGACCCGAACACACATTGCAAAAGGCTGTTTTTGTATAAACCATCTATGTTGTTAAATGCAAATATCTCAGGGCCTTTTATAAAATAGGTAAGATTTCAAACAAATATTCTAATCATAACAATACATTCAGAAAGCGATTTCTTACCCTGAAATGCTTGTGCTTGCCTTGCACAATAAAGCAGGAAGTCAGGAACTGAACAAGAGTGTAAAATACAATGTACAAATTCCCTCCCTGTTAGTTAAAACGCTTGAGCAATTCTGCCCTTAAAGGGACACTCCAGGCGTGGTTTGGGTGCCAACTCCCACTACCCTTAACTCTGCAACTATTGCAGTTTTCATAAACTGCAATAATTACTTTGCAGGGTTAACTCCTCCTTTAGTGGCTGTCTACTAGACAGCGACTAGAGGGCACTTCCGTGTTTATAGCACATGAAAAGTGTGCTATAGCGTCGCTGGACGTCCTCACGCTATGTGAGGACCTCCAGCGTCGCTGAAATCCCCATAGGAAAGCATTTTTCAATGCTTTCCTATGGGGAGGTCTAATGCGCGTGTGCATGCGCATTAGGTCTCCACCGCCGGCGGCCGCGCATGCTCAATAGGTCTCCCACGCCGGATGACGTCGGCGGGGGAGAAGCGTGGGCGGACCCTGACCCAGCACCGAGGGACATTGGCTCTGGATACAGGTAAGTCACTGAAGGGGTTTTAACCCCTTCAGCAACATGGGATGGGGGGTGGGAGGGAGAGGGGACCTGCAGAGCCAGGGCAACGGTTTGTTTTCCTGGCACTGGAGAGACCATTTAACAAGAACTAGTTCCACAACTGTGTACACAGCCCTGCAGCACTACACCCTCTAGTGGTGAAATTATTAGAAGCAAATAGCACACGTATGGATAGCCTAATATTCATAGTAATTCCTTTTATGATAATGTACATATAGTCATTTTGCTACAATAGAGAGAATATTCAACTCGAAAAGAAATAACTTTTCCAGATTCCCAAACTACTGCTTAGGTTTCATTTAGCCCCAAAGGCGCATGTTGAGCGCTACAGCGTTGGTTGGACATTTAGCTTCTTTTTAAATCTCTGTTATGGGATTTAGTATTTGTTATCAATATTTTTTTTTCTCCCAGATATTTAGGTATATGTAGAGGCCTCAGCTCACTGTTTACCAGGGCTCGGAGGTATCTCGCTACTTTTTCTACTTACATTGAAGATTATGGTTTTAGAAATGTTATTTCTCTGTAAAAGACTTATATTCAATTACCTAACCACTGATTGCTTTTGGATTACGGACCATAATGCTTAGCTTTGTGTTCGGGAGGTTTCTATCTGGGAGATATTGAGTGTGACTAATTGGCTCAGTACTTTGATTATAATTAATTCCTGGATACTAATCCATGGCAGCATCACGATAGGGTTAGCTCCTCCCCCTTGGCTGTTTAGGACAGGAAATACTTACAAATAGGCCCTCCTTGCCTGGTATCATCAGTCTTTTTTCCTGTCCTCTTGGCTATGGACATGTTTAATTTAAGTTCACCTCTTTAATTCCCGGAGTTCAGCCTCTCTCTCCTGGAAGAAATGGAAATTTCAAATGTTATTAAACAAGAAAATATACAAGGCAGATATCCTTACTATTAGAAGAATTCCGCAATAATTATCTATTAGCGGTAATATAATGGGTACAGGGCCGGACTGGCCCACCGGGATACCGGGAAATTTCCCGGTGGGCCGCGGCACCTGGGGGCCGGCCGCGTTCCTGGGCCAGCCCTTTAAATACTGCAGCTGCCCGAGCACTCTGTGAAGAGCGGTCAGGCGGCTGCAGCTTCTCCACCTCCCCCCCCCCGTAGCGTGGCCGAGCCGGCCGGAGTGATAGGAAGGTGCACACTGAGTGTGCACTTCCTGTCAGTCCGGCCGGTTACAGGAAAGAGAAACTCCTGTTCCGCGCGGGGTTTCTGTTTCCTGTAACCAGCCGGACTGACAGGA